TTTTTTGAAAACATTACTTTTTTGAAAATATTATTTTTGTTTTTTTTTATGAATGAGCTTAACCTTGCCCATGCATCCTACCATCAATAACCATATCATATGAACCACCCTATACTCCTATTTCCACTCAAGCATCCTAGCAATGACAAGAATGATGGAATAGAAAATGAGAAAATGTGACTTTTTTGATGGATTTTGAGGTTGAGACTGTTATGAAATGTTTTGAGTGGAAATATGCATAATGAATAAGGATGACGATTTGAATAGTGAAAAAATGGTTGAAAATTGCTGTTCTTGCGTAGGGGGGGGGGGGCACGCTAGGATACCTAAAAAAGATGGGCAAGGCCCACCCTAACTTCTTTTGGGTGCCAGGGGCAGCCTGCCGAGCTTGTCATCGTTTCTGTGACAGATGTCATCTCTGGTGGTAGTTTGCTCTCCAGGAACACTTGGATGGGAGTGGTTTCCCAAAATAGGCTGAACCTAGGATGTAAATCTTATCTAGTTGTTCTCTCCCACACTTGCTGGATGTGCCACACGGAGGGCGGGTCTGCCAACCATGTCAAAACTAGCTCTTGCGAAGCATCATCGGTCAAGTCAATCTTTGCAATCGTTGCCAAAGGGCGCTTTGGGATAAATTTATCGATGGCCACCCGCACCAAAGCCTACTTTGCAGAGTGCGGCTGAGAGTCCTCCGGTTCCTGCAAAAATCTCAATGACACAAAGCTCGTCAATGCATACTGTACTCAAGGTCACGAGTCCGATTGCTTGTCGTCCTTGTGCACCTCGGAAAATGCATGCACCTTGTTGCAACCCACCTTTGCACAGATGTGCCTGCCTTTGCGGCAGGTGCCTCCTGCCGGTGCGTGCGGGCACCCGTTGAATCTGTAATCGAAACAGATGCGTCGTCCCGTTGCGTCCCTGCCGGAGCATCCTGGCAACACCTTCGGGGCAAAACTGGTACCCTTTCCTTTGCCCTTGCCCTTGCCCTTCTTTTTGTCGAATTGGTCACTCCATGCGGATCGGCTAGGCTGTGCAACTCTCCAGTTGCTGTTGGCCGGATGTTACTCACATTCTGGCACACATATGCAAAAACTGCTCGATCAGCTCTCAATACTTCGGTGAGGTGCATGAACAGCTTGGAAAGATAGCGTTCGTGAGCCTCGAAGTTGATAAGGCGTGCGAAATGGTATGCCACCCCGCGCCTTTTCAGGCACTGCTGTGCCAGGAAGGCTGATGAGCAGTCAGCTTCAGGGCACTCCTTGCTCTCCTTCACAGTCAGCGTATTCGAATCCAACTCGCGAGCTTAGCAGCTAAGATGAGAAGTGTTGTGCAATTCTCCACAGGCTCATCGGGAGATCAGGAAATTGATAATGCAGTCTATGAGCAGACGTTGCAGGAGGTTCGATGTGGGTGGTTGTCTGGGCCTTTGAAATGGTCCGATGTGGACACCTCATGGCCCGTGAGCAGGCGTTTTGGATTGAAGCAGAAACATAAAAGTTAGGCTAATTGACGACTTTACCGCTTCTGGGGATAATGATGCTGTAACGTCATTCGAGGCGCCTACGTTGCACACGGTCGATGTGACTGCATCGATGCTCCAGACTTGGTTTGCAACCGCAGCGAAGTGTGGGAAACCTTCAGCATTAGCTGCCAGAACCTACGACTTGAGCAGTGCTTACAGACAAATCGGCATTTCGGAGCAGAGCCTTTGTTACTCTCATATCTCTGTGTTCAATCCGGCAACACGCAAAGCCGAAGCTTTTCGCTGCAATGTGCTACTCTTCGGAGCCACTCATTCCTGAGGTGTGCGCGTGCCTTGTGGTGGATTAGAGCGCACTCGTGCAAACTGCTTTGGACCAGCTTTTATGACGACTTCATTTCGGTCACGCCTGGCTGCCTGAAAGCAAATTGCGACAAGACCATCACATGCATTTTCAATCGCACCGGTTGGCTTTTTGCAGAAGAAGGCAGAAAATGCATGCCCTATGGCCCTGCTTGTGAAGCACTTGGGGTGGTCTTTGATTTTGCGTTGTTGTCTGAGGGCATTGTCCAAGTAAGCAAGACGGCAGCTTGAGTAGATGAACTCGTGGCAGAGCTTGAGTGTGTTGCTGCTGAAGACAAGCTAAGCCAGAAGCGTGCCCAAAGACTCTACCTTGAGTGTGCTGTCCGAACATGCTAAATACCAACTACAGATGTTTGTCATCCTTCTGAGGTCCAATGCCCCAAGAAGAATTGGACTTGGCTCAGGGTTTTCTTGATCTTCACCGATGCTTGCTTTGAGCCGGGAGAGTGCAACACCATGTGTGGCGTTGGTGGAGTGCTTGTGGACGGTTGCGGCACGATTGCAAACTTCTTTTCGTATGAGCTGTGTGATAAAGCGAAGGACTTGCTTGGAGTAGCCGACAAGAAGCAGTGCATTTATGAGGCAGAAACTCTTGCTGCAACTGTGGCCTTTCATTTGTGGGGCCCTTGCATTCAAGCATGTAAATGCGTGATTTTCGTGGACAACGAAGCCACTAAGTTTGCACTCATTTCCGCACAAGGTGCCAATGATGTGGTAAGCTCCCTAACTAATAAATTTGCCTTGTGTGAAGCCGAAAAACAAATCCACTCCTGGGTTGCAAGGGTGGCATCGAAAAGCAACATTGCAGATGATCCGTCGCGAGGAGTGTGCCAACCTCTGTTATCCATGGGTGCGTGTGACGATTCCGGTGTTGCGCCGGACCTTACCATGAACCTGCTGAAAAGACCGGACAACCTTCAGCTTGCTTCGAAGGGGGAGACGAGCTGAGGTTTGTGTGTGCGAGCAACAACGGTAGTGAACACCCCGAGGAGAAACAGTGCTGAGCTTTTCCGTTGGTTTTTTGTCCTCGCTGTTTCTTACACGCTTTGCAGTTGGCGGTGTGGCTCGAGGTTAAGCTTCGGTCAACTTGATGATAGAGCTTTAACCTTTAGCCACAAACAAATTGTTGTGCAAAACTTTAGCCAACTGCATGCGTGTGTGTACTTCTTGACCAATGCTTAATTGCAACCCTTGCTATGTGCCATGACAATTTCACTCTATTGCAGCCGGCCGGCTCGCAGGTGTGTGGGCGGGTGCGTCACATGTCGTGCCGTCGCTCGTCCAACCTCTCCCACCCGAGCTTGCCATTCTTGATCCTTTCCTACACAGACAACTTGCGATATTTGGCGCCGCCCGGGTGCCCCGTGCTTACTTGACGTGTGTGCCGCCCAGCCAGTGGGCCACGATCCAGATAACTCTTGCAGTGGCGGCGCCCGCTGTGCGCCTGTGTCCTAGCCGCAGCCTAGCCCTCAGCCTAAGACGGGCTGAGGTTTTTGTGTGCGAGCAACAACGGTAGTGAACACCCCAAGGAGAAACAGTGCTGAGCTTTTCCGTTGGTTTTTTGTCCTCACTGTTTCTTACACGCTTTGCAGTTGGCGGTGTGGCTCGAGGTTAAGCTTCGGTCAACTTGTTGATAGAGCTTTAACCTTTAGCCACAAACAAATTGTTGTGCAAAACTTTAGCCAACTGTATGCATGTGTGTACTTCTTGACCAATGCTTAATTGCAACCCTTGCTATGTGCCATGACAATTTCACTCTATTGCAGCCGGCCGGCTCGCAGGGTGGTGTGGGCGGGTGCGTCACATGTCGTGCCGTCGCTCGTCCAACCTCTCCCACCCGAGCTTGCCATTCTTGATCCTTTCCTATACAGACAACTTGCGATATTTGGCGCCGCCTGGGTGCCCCGTGCTTACTTGACGTGTGTGCCGCCCAGCCAGTGGGCCACGATCCAGATAACTCTTGCAGTGGCGGCGCCCGCTGTGCGACTGTGTCCTAGCCGCAGCCTAGCCCTCAGCCTAAGACGGGCTGAGGTTTTTGTGTGCGAGCAACAACGGTAGTGAACACCCCGAGGAGAAACAGTGCTGAGCTTTTCCGTTGGTTTTTTGTCCTCACTGTTTCTTACACGCTTTGCAGTTGGCGGTGTGGCTCGAGGTTAAAGGCCTGTGCCACACACGTGGGTTTGAAGGCTGTCAGATTGGTATTTGGATTCAGTTGCATCATTGCGTTGTCATGAGCGCACGAACCCATGGCTACAAAGGCTCGAAATAGAATGGAAACAAATTGCTCAGCCGAGACGTTTAGCTCCTCTTCTTTACGCCGCAGATTGATCTGTTGCCATGGCTGCGCACATTCTTGCGAACTGTCGTATTCGTGGCAAAAGGGCAAAAAAGAACTTCAAAAACATCCAAATTGTATACACGGGATTGGCACAGCCTTCTTGTGGGCAGTAGGATTGACGAAGCCAAGAGTTTATCAGAATCTAGGCACAAACACGCTTGTGTAGTAGCGAAAGCGCGACGTGAAAAGACCGTGTGCCTTTGCAAGAGCTCAAACAATTTTGTCAAAGCCATTTGCTGTCAGCTTGGTCTCAGGCTGCATCATTTTGTCTCGCGCTCGTTGAGGAGCGAGGGTGTCCTTGGTCAAAAGTGTGGCCTTGGGCAAGATTCGCAGCTCTGCCTTCCATTTTTTTGGGCAGACCCCATCAACAAACTGTTGCGAGGTGCAATGAACGTGGCGGAAACGCTTTCAACATGTGGATTGGGTTTCGGTATGTTATGTCCGTCGAGTTTTTGTGCCCGTTGACCGTTGGGTTTCGAGCAATGCTTCCCAAGCAAATATGTTTTTGTTTACGGTTGTGGTTGAGTTTGCTTGGGAGGTTCTGATTGGTACAAAAGGGTGTGATGTGCACACCGACATGAACTCCCAATCGATGACATTTTTGGCGGCGTGTTTGATTTGCAAGAATTGGCAGCAACACACCAAAGTTGGCTTAAACACATATCGAGCTGGTGTAGCGTAGCGACAACCTACTAAAGCACGGGCTTGGTTTTGTGCATTGGGTTGGTTGAGGACGGACGCGTAGCTTGGAGAGCTTGTGCACTTTACAAGTTTCTTGTGGAAGTTTTGGTTGACTTCTTGAATTTTTTGCTGTGGGCTCTTGTGTTTGGAACGAGCCCTCGGCATTGCAGCCGAACTGCCGATAGAGGCCTGGCGTTTGGCATTGCGGCGTGAATTCTGGTCGTGGGGGTATTGGTTGTGCTGGTTCTACGTTGTGGCCTTAGATGGGTATGGGTCAAAATTAAGCCACCAGGATATGGACCGCAGATTGTAGTCCATGTTTCCATTTACCAGGGTGTCATTTTGGGGTTACCCTAGTTTTGAGCCACAGCCAGATGCTGTCAGACATTTTGAATGAGTCGTGCAAAGCCCAGGCGGCGTGTGCCATCCGCTCGCCCCGATCGATCGAGTGATCGGAGTCGAGGTCATGGCTTGGTCCCGGCGCTCGGTGGCGGCCCCAAAGCAGCGGGGTGGGCAGAAGACCTAGGGATGTGACAAAGAAATTTCACGCAGGCCATGTAAGTTTTTTTTTTTTTTTTCAACTGGGTCACCTGGTTGTCTGTGCACGGAAGGGTTTCAACAAGGTTTTCTTTGGGAAACATTTTACACTTTTGCTTATTGTGGTTAGTGGGAAATCCCCACTTAACTGCTTTTTATTCTCCTTTTTTTTCTCCCCTTCCAACGTCAACCAAGCCATTCAGGAGACGTCACCAAAGAATGGAACCTGACAGAAACATGTTGGACAACTTGACTTTGGCGGCCTCCATGCATTCACCGTATCCTGTGATACGTTGAGTTTTGAGCAACCCCATTACAGACTCTCGTTTTTGTTAACAGTTGACAAAACCTGTTAACTTGTGCCCATGAAATCCCTAGTTCCGCTCCCATTCGCTACTGTTGGAGGGAAATTCCTTGCATTAGCAGGCTCATGACAGTTTCACCTGAAACATCAAGGCCAACCATCAAACATGTCTCATAAACATGTGATCATGTTGACTGCAAGAACGAACAAGTTCATGTCAGCTCCATCAAACGCGCTGGAGAACAATCAAGAAAACAGATGAAGAGATGCAAAGGCACCTCAGTCAGCCGCATGAGAAAGAGAGGCAGAGGCAACCAGTTTAGAGCTTTTAGAAGCAGGCCTACTCCCGCAAAGTTAATATGGACTGTCCCCCGAAAAGGATGCCTTTTTGTACACTAGTCGTTTTTTTTTTTTTTTTGATTTTTTGCTGCGATTTCCTTGGGAGACCCGAGGCTTGGCTTCGGCCGCTGCTGTTCTTGACCGGCCTTTGCTTGTTGCCGCAGGACGGGGGCTGTGAGAACAGAAAATGCGAGCTCGGTAGGGGGGAAGACAGGTGCTGTCACGAAGGTTACGCGAGAGTTCAGCCGAATTTCTCCGGTCTTGCGTAGATTTGGCGATTTTGACATGGGTTTTCCCGTTTTGAGGCCTTGACTCTCAGACGAGGTCGAAGTGTAGGAATTCATCATAGTGCATTAAAAGGTTCCTTGCAGCCAAGGTAGTACTCGGGTAGTGCAACCACAGATCAAATGTGTAAAGTTACATGCTAAGGTGTGTGTAATTTGAGGGCAGTATGGTTTGTTCAGGATGGAACTCTTACGCATGTTCCTTGAAAGCAAGGAATGGCTGCAGATTATTTGCTCGCAACCAAGCTGCTTCGAATGTCCCAAAGCATCCACTGGGAACAACAATTGAATTGCAGCAGGGCAAAGCTGGCTCATACAACATGTACGTGGAACGATGCGAGATATCGGCTCCTGTGGGCGTCCCAGCATAAAAAGTCGAAGCAGACCTTGCTCGAGGCAACAAGTCGCCTAGACCCCAAGGGCCTCCAAAACTGAGCGGACAGATGCAAGTTCTTGCTGAGCTTCAGATGCCTTGAATCGACTAGCGAGGCACACCAGAAACCCGTGAGTCTCAGGACCAGGGTTGTGGGATCAAGGGGTTTCTTCCCACTTCTGATACAAGGGAATCCCCCTTTCTGTTAACAAAATAGTCTTTTGGAAGCCCATTCTGTTGTGTCACAGAAGTGGTCATTCCCCACAGCACTGCTCAGGACCCAAAGCCACATTGTGACACAAGACAGCTGACTATGGCTGTGGTTGTCAAAACTGTTTTGGGATCCCATTTTTGGTGGGGATTGGGATGTTCACTGGGGGTACGGGATTTTGACCCATGTCCACATTGTGACCCAACACAGCTGAATATCAACAGATCAGCAGATGCCACACATACACTTGATGCGGAGACCCGTCACGCAAGGGATGGTGTCTTTTGCGTTCCCAGCGACCTAGACAGCATCATGAAGATGCAAGCGAAATACAGAATCGCAAGGATTGCGACCATAGACTGCCAAGGGCTTCATTCATGACGGCGAAAAAACACCAAACAAATGCCTCGTGGAGTCAGGAGCAATCCTCGATCCCATACATCAGCCGGAGGTGTCTTTTGGCCCAAGTCTATGCATGTCCATTTGTTCCAGATGTCCGGCCTGGGTCAAACACCTCCAGCTTGACCATGCTTGAACCACTGGTTATGATGATTCTTCCATTGTAAAGGTGGTGTTTAAACCACATTTTGCCCCACCCAGCTTCTCAGAAGCATGCTTGGCAGGGATGGGAGTTTGTCGACTTCGGGATGCGCCAGGTGTGCACATTCCTGGCGCCAGCTGCCCCTGTGTCGCCGCCAGGTGCGGGCGGCTTGTGGCTCTCTTTCCCCCCTCTTCCGTGCTGCGATTCCTTTGTCCTTTCTCGTTTTGGATGTTTTTGACGGGGGTTTCTGTTTCTTGGTGCTTTCAGTGTTTTCTTTCCCTGAACAATATAATAAAACATTCAACCAAAAAACACACAACAACAAGAACCCCAAAATAAGGGGGTTTCCGTTTCACTCCAACCCCAAAGAGAGGGCGCCTGTGTGAAAGCCGACCTGCGGACCCGCCCGCCCCGCCGCCCCGCCGAGCCCAAAACCGCGGACGCAGGCCGGTTCGGGCTGGTGGCCCAGCCTGGGAGCCGGCGCCCCACAGCGCAGCCTCGGCCGGGAGATCTCCGTTTGGACCTTTCACGGGAAATTGGAGAGGGCTCCTTTCCTTTGCTGATTTGGCTGTGGGTCAAGATTTTTAACCACCATGGGACCACAGGTTTAATCCATGCTTCCATTTACCAGGCGTTCCCATTCAGGGCTCGTTAAGAGAAATTCATTTTGCAACCATTTGAAGCATGGCTGGCTTTTTCAACCCAAGAATAAATGGAAACCACCATTTGCAAGTTGCAATGTTCAAGTGTGTAGTTTAAAGATCCCTGTTGGATCCACCGGGTGTTCTATTTTGAGGGTACCGACTTAAAATGCGTGCTTTTGAAGGGCCGAACGTGGGAGTTTCCACTGGAAAAACCGCCAGCTAATGGGATCGACATTTTTTTTTTGGGGTACCCATTTCGAGGTGTTTTTTTTGGAGGGAAGCCGAAAGAAACCGCCATTGTTTGGAAATTGCATCATGCTGAGCCTTGATTGCTTAGACCCCCCACTCGCAGTTTTTAGTCGTCCCGGAAGAAGAAAGGGAGTCCTCAGTAAGACTCTGGGATCATGCACTTCTTCCAGAAGTGCGGGTTCATGAATCAAATCCTGCCGTCCACGTCGCCATGGACCCCCCCGAGTCACATTTCTTGGGAGGGTACCATTGCTTGATTGTAGAGCTTCAGAGTGGCACAGAAACATTTTTCCTGAGCCACAATGAAAACCCGGGCAGACGAAGGTTAGTGAGGGATACTCCCCCACCAGAAATGGCTCTGCGCAACCCATTCTAGTACGCAGGTTTTGAGTATGACTCACCTTATGATGGTCGCGGTATAGCATTCTTCTCTGGCAGCCGCGTGTTTTCCAGGCCCCTCGCGCATCCCGCTGAGAGCAGAAGAGGCCGTCGCCTGAGTTTGTTTCTCGCTGAGCTGGTCTGGAACCTGGCCAGAGAAGACGAAACCACATTGGAACATGCTCCGCTTTGGGTCACGCGAGCGCATGTTGAGGGACCCGTTCCTTTTGAAGAATCCGATGTTTCGCATGGAACAGAGGCGCCAAACCTTAGGTCTTTCTTTTGGGGTCTTCCCTGCGACAACCGCCGGATCCCGGCTGGAAGGGTTTTAGTGGGGCATTTGTTGACAAGCGAGCGGCCTTTTGTCCGCAAGCTGTTGGGACGTTTCGCTTTTTTTGCGGCTTGCGGCATGTTGGCTTGCACGAGCCTGACATCTCTTAGGCATTTTGGGCATTCGTGAGACAAAGGATGTCCAGCCTTGGCCAGGCAGCATCCAGCGGGGGGGAAAAGACGGAGGCCGGGCAAGCAGTGGAGCTTGTTTGTGCCGCCGGCATTTTGTCCCCAGTTCGCCTCGCGTTTTTTGTTTGGCCAGGGCAAGAAGTTCGACTTTGTGCTGTTGGCCTACTTTGCCCTGTGGTACTTGGGCAACTACTACTACAACATCACAAACAAGTGCGGCGCTCGGCGAGTTTCTTTTTCTCCGGTCTCCGGAGAAAAAAAAGCACGGCACCCTGATGAGTCGATGGTTAGTTTGGGGAGGACATGGGGCAAGCCGGGGGCCATCAACAGTTCTTTTAAAGATGTAATTCTGTGTGAACCAATCAGATTGTTTCTGGGTGATGTACAGTGCTTGTGTTTTGTAGCTGCTAAACAGCTTCCAAGACAGCTTGCTGATCAGCTGAGACAGGTAAAGGGGCTCAGGTTCCCGTCAACCACTTTGAGCGGCGGCAATAGTACAGAACCAGCTTAGCGGTGATTGGTGAGACGGCACATGAGAGAGGTCAGCCGTTTGTCGAAGGGCTCATGAAGCCCCTCACCAGTTCACGATCACGCGTATGCCCGAAACAAGCTGCTTATGCCCTTGCTGGTCCACCCCGGCTCCAGCACATTGGCTATTTTTGCGTCCAAATGCGAGGGATGTTTTGTCATTAGGACCTCCGAGCTCGTGTCTCATATTATCACTTTCTGGGTGTTCCTTTTGCGATTCTTAGTATCTTGGCATCACTGGGACAGTCACCGTGGCAAGTCTTTGTTCCAGTCCTGGGATCCTGCCTTTTGCGCATCCCTAGGCGGGCGCTGACGGCCGCAGGAGGCGTACATGGCTTTCCCATGACGATCGCCACCATGCAGGTGCCGAAAGAGAGACCTCGTGCCAGTTGCCTTCGGTTTTGCAGAGATTGCTATCAAGTGTGAAACAACCCGGCGAGTGTTGAAAGGAATCCTGTTGAGGGATGCCGACAGTTCTCGATACGTGTTTTTCACCATGGTAAGCTAGTGTTTTGGCTGTGCATCACGGGTTGGCGACACTCGACTTGACACATAAACGTTGCTGATTCTTATTCTTGGGCTTTGCGAGCTTTGCGAGGCCTTTGTTCATTGGCTAGTTTGCGGAGCTATGTGGGACTGTACTGTACTGATGGCAGGTTGGATGCTAGGCAGGCCCTGAGAGACATTCTCCGAGTCTACGAGCTGTGTCTAAGAAGGTTCCAAAGCTATTTGCAGAGATGGAGGGAAAGCACCGGTTGGGATGCTTCGGGCTTCCCTTCCAGCGGCCCCGTGCCACGGGAATCCCGCGTCCTCGTCGACCGCTCGGCGCTCTCGTCGCTCTCGTCGCTCTCGCCGTCAGCTGGGCGTGGGCTGCCTCTGGGCGCTGCTGCTCTGGGGCTACCCGGACGCACGGAAGCTTCCGAAGCTCACCACGGAGCCCGGGGCCCCGGGCTCCGGGGACCCGGCGCCGAGGTTTCGATGCCGCGGGGAGGCGGTTTCCGGGGCGTTCAAAGGAGGGGTTTTGGACGTTGGGTCTGTGGGATCTCCGAATTTTTTGGCCCGGCTTTGGGCCTTGGAGCGATGATGCTGATGGGGTCGAGCGCTTCTGGAGAAAGTTCGGGGGAAGGAGATGATCTGGGAATCGCCAGGGCAACTGACGACCCAAACGCTGATGCCTAGTCAATATCACAGTGAGACAAACCTCTTTTGCAACCCTGAGCAAGTGTTTCCCCATGCGTGACCTGGACGAGATCGCATCGAGTCGTCGCTGAGTTGGTGCTCGCAGTTTTGTTTGAACACCCCCCAGGTGGATTTGGACCCGTGGGTTGTTCTCCCAGAAAAGGAACCCGGCTTGAAGTCCACCTTGGCGCCCTGGTAAGAAGAAATAGATGAGGTTCCGACCACTGGAACTTATACCTTTTTTTGTTGTTGTGGTTTTAGAGGAAGGCGATCGTTGGAAAGAGGGCAGTCAGGCCTTGGTACTCTTCAGTTTTTGTCCACGGAACGAAGTGACAGCACCGGTTTTGACACCGGAAGTTCCAGATCCACTTGCCCGGGGGCCACCGAAAACATGGCCAAATGAAATTTTTGCCTTGGCTCTCGTAACATATTTCAGATGAAGTCCGGACGAGAGCTGCCATGCATGTTCTCATTCCTCTTCCATTTCCTTGGCGGCCCCCAGCCGTCCCCTTAGCTTTTGAGGCTTTTAGGGTTTAGTGGAGTTTCAATTTCACCCACTAAAAGGTAAACTTTTAGCCGGGGATTTGAGGGCAGCCCAGTTTCATAGGGGGCGAAAAAAAGAAAGACCATCCGCATCGCCCAAAGGGATGCTGGGTATCAGGATTAGGCATCCAATTTCCGGGGCGCGGAGTTGAGATGAGGTAACAGTCCGATGGCCTAGAACAAATGCAAGTTTCTATTTGGTGTGTGTCAAAATTAAACAGCAGGGGTGGGTGTTGGTCCATGTTTTCACTTACCAGGGTTCCATTTTGGTACCGGCTTTTTGAGCCACAGCCATTGGAAGCATCAGCAAGAGACGACCAGGCCGAGTCGAAATCTTTTTGCTTCTGCGAGACATGACATTTACCCTCCCACCAGCCAACATGGAAGTGCACAGACCCCTGTAGAAAGACGACTTTCCTTTTGGAAAGTGCCTAAAATATGCACAAACCCATGTTAGTCGGGAGGGTATGATGCAAAAATCTTGCAACAGTTTCTTGGTTTCCAGAAGCCCAGCGCTTTGTTATTTCAGGGCTCCCTATATTTCCCTTTTTGGGTGGTTTTAAACATCAGCTTTTTCAACGTGAGTATCCCTGGGTGATGTTTTAAAGGGACATATCGGGAGCCCGGTTTTTTTTTCTTCTTTTTCTGCGCCCAGCTGCCAGCTCGTCCTTTTCCGTTGCGCGCGCTCGTCTTTTCCCGGGCCGCGGTTCCGTTCCGCGTCTTTTTTTTTGGCCAGGGACTACACCAAGACGCTGATTGTGGGGGGCACTTCCGCAGGCCGGGAGACGTTTTCGGGGAAGCAAGGGGTGACACTGGTTGACCCACTGGCTGGCATTCTTATGGCCGTGTTGGTCAACACTGGTAGCATTTTGGGGTAGGTGCACCACCTATTTTGGTCTATTTTAGTTGGGATTGGAATGTTCACTGGGGGGGGTTTTGATTCATAGCCATCCTATTGCAACAGGATTGGTATTTGTATGGGTATGTGTATGGGTCAAAATGTTCAACCAGGATATGGACAGCAGGTTAAATCGTCCATGTTTCCATTTAGCGGAATCCGTTCTGGCTACCTATTTTTGTCACCCACAGCCTTATGGCAACAGGATTGGGAGTCACCAATCGCCTTTGTGACGTTGCAACTTTTTTTTGGTTAAGCAGAAATTGGCTCATTTACTGAGGCACTGATCCGATTTTTGAATGGCAGAGCCACACCACATATCAAAATTCAGCGAGTGTTGTTTTTGCTTGGATCTGTATATACGGGACAGACAAGGGGATGCCCTTCTGCACTAGGAACCCACCTTGCGAGAGGTGCACATGCGGCCTCGGTCTTCGCGCTGAATGCCGGGGCTGTTTCCTTTGGGCAGATCGTCAAGGCCGAGAACTCAGCAAGGAGGTCAGTCCAAGCTTCCAAGTCTTTGGTATTCCCCTTCCACCAATTAACGTGGAACCTGACAGGGTGGTGATCTCCACTAAGAAGCAATGGGAAAAAAGGCATCACATTCATTCGGAGAGGAGTTTGTTTTTGGTTGGGCCCCCGGTGTCATGCTTTTGCTCGTCGAATACAATTAGTCTGTGAAAAAGATCACACATGAACCTGGGCATATCTCGTTTCTCCGTTTGGATCAAGGCGGCGGAGCCTGCCTTTGCTGCACTCATCGGGGTGCTCTTCTACAGCTCGCGCGCTGGGCGTTGGTTTCGGTCGGGTCGACGTGGCGTGACCCCTCTTCTCTTGGGGAACCCCCCAAATGAGTGGTTTTCCTTGTGGTTCCCTGCCAACCCCAGCAAAAAGGAGCACCCTCAACAAAAGACGTGCCACCCACTTGGTTGGTGGTTTCGATGGTTTGGATCGGGATTTGAGTCGTCCTTGAGGGGAAAACGAAGCTTCGGAGCACCTCCGAACCCATTGGATGTTGTGGTTTACCCAAGGGTGCGCTTCCCGCGGGCACCCGTTGTGAAGGTTCTTCCGCGGGTACCAAAACGGGTCACAAATCTTGTCTTTTTGTCGGCAGCCCGTGAGGGTGAAAGCAGATGGCCCATTTGGCTGTGGGTCAAAACCACTAGGATTTCATTTTGGGGTAGGTGCACCACCCATTTTAGAATCCATTTTACTTCGGTACCACTTTGGGATTTGATTTCGCCCACTTTCTTGCCAGGAAGGTGAGCGTGGGGAAGTGGCTGTGCCTGATCCCTGTGATTGGTGGAGTGGCCGCTTCCTCGGCTCATGGGGCGGACCTGGGGTTGAGGTCCGCGGGTGGGGATTCCATCGCCTTTGGATGGGACCGGGGGTTGAGGTCAAAGCTTCTCTCAGTGGATTGCTCCCAGGTCATGTTTTTTTTTTGTGCGACTGAAGATGGATCCTGTTGCACGACACCTGTGTCAATGCTGAGATGTGCCGAGATTGGCTGGCATCTTAGGCGGTTTGAAGAGAATCATCGGCCCTCAAAGAGTGCCAACCAATTTGCAGAATCAGACCTTGACATCCATTTTGCGGGTCGGCTCATGAACTTATCCAAACAGATGCATAGCGTATCCATGGCTCCGTCGGCAAGACTGGGGTTCTAGCAAACGTGTTCCTTTCGGACGCTGCACACACAGAGATGAAACCAATTCATTAGACGCCGTTAAATGGGTCCCGTGAAACATAGCACGGTGTATAGAGTAAGCTACGGGCAACTCTGGGCACCCAACTGTTTAACGGGACCGCTTCCTATGTCGAGAAGCACTCAAGCGGCCCCAGAAAAGGTTAGTTTTCCTACACCAGCTATTGGACCATCATGGCTCGATCCGTTGTTGCTTCCGGTGCTTCCGTTTTTTTTTGCCAGCGTCGGAGCAAAAATGCCCCTGCTCCCCTGTTGTGTCTTTTTTTTCTTCTTCGAGAAACACTCAAGCGGCCCCAGGGTGAGATTTCCCTTGCATTGATGCCTCGATCAACGAAGCGAAGAGCTCGAGGTCTTGGCGTCCCTGGGGGAGACGAGCTTCGCCTGGGCTGCGCTGGTCACGGCGGCCATGGCCAACGTCTTCGCGGCCTTCAAGGCGCTCTGCTGGGGCGCTGGGGCGGCTTCCCCTACCAGGGGTCCGGTTTCTTTGGGACTACCCCCAAGTGGACGCAGAAATTCAGGGGTGGTTGATTTCCCCCAAAGGGTTTTTTTTTGGGTTTAAGTCTACCTTGAGGTAGTCAAAAAGGGAACCTTGTCCCCACCGGACCTTTACATGGTTCTGGGTCGACCATTTTACACCGGGTTTTGATTATGACTCACTTTGTCCAAACGAACCTAGCAGAGGCTTCCTTTTGAAGGAAAAAGGGCGTGATCCCGAAACCTCAGGTTTCGTGTTAGTGGACCTCACCAAAAGGGACGCCGATTTTTTTTTGGGGGAGGGGGGAGGTGATGTCTAGACGCCAACTGTCCTGCATCGTTAGTTGGGAGAGCATGGGCCGACCAAAAATCGCTCCCCCAAAAAAACGCGACATAATCCCGGAACAGAATCCAAGATTGCTAGCCTCAGGCCAATCCCTTGCAAAGTGATGCAGGGATAGCGATTTTTTTCTATCTCTTGTGGACACACATTTTGCTCGGGCTCTAATCAAAGAGTCTGGGAACCTTCAGGATACAAGTCTATGGGACTTGCTTAGCTTAATGTACGGAGCCCTTCGCGAACAGGGCTTGCGGATCAAGGCTTTGACCAATCAGAGTTGTTGGAGAATGGATTCATCAGGTGCCTTTTGGCTTTCCAATAAAAAAGACCCATCCAACCAAGTTGCCTTTTCTTCCTTTTGGTTTTCTTATCAAAAAACGGATTTATCAGGTGCTCCATCCACAGGCTCATTCGGGCAGTTTCATGAAAGAAAACACATGGGGAGATCCTCCAGTTTCTTGTTTCTTCCTCTTGGTTCTTCAATCAAAACAAAAGCAAACTCGGGGCGAACCGGGTCGCCCACCGCCCCCATGTTCGCAGCGACTTCCTTCGCTCGCCTTCGCCTCGATCGCCTCGATCGCCTCGACCGTAGGCCAACGAGAACAAGAAGCTAATGGGCACCGAGGGCCTCAAGGACCGCATGGGCGGCGTGGGCAACCAGCCAGGGGCCCCGGAGTGGTTTTCGTTTTTGGCCCGGAGGGGGTGGAGGGGGTTGGGTTTGGTGGTAGTTTCCACCAAACCACTAAAAGTTAAAAGCTTCTACAGCTCTCGGAACAGCGCCGCCCAAAAACGGATTTTCGAGTTCTCGTTTTAGGGACCTCGGCCGCCAGAAAAGAAGGTCTTCCCCCTACCAAGGCTTGCAACTTGGCTTCCCATGGGCGAAGAATTTCTCCCAAAACTGGCTTCCCACAAAATCCAACACAACGAGCCCCTTCAAATTTCTTGGACACTTGAAACGTCTGGACTGCACAAGGAAGACGACGAGAGTGAGACTTTTTTTGGGGTATGGGTCAAAGCTACACCAGGATACCCCTCAGGAATTTTTAAGCCTTGCCACTGACCAGGGTTCAAGCCATTTGGGGTTACCCCCCCTATTTTTGACCCACAGTCTCTTAGTTTCACTCCGGGATAGTCAACTAGATTGATTGCGCAAAAATTGCCGAATGATACTTTTGGTCTTCGTGAAGGACATTTCCCCAGACTCTGTGGGACTTGTCGAACCCATCGCAATAAGATGAGGTTCGCTATCACGATGATCAACTCCTTCCTCTTCTGCCTAGTGGTGATGTGCATCACGGAGGCCGGGGCATTTCTGTGGCGGTGTTCGTTGTGTTTGTGGTCGATTCCCTATTGCAAGTGAACCAACCACAATCCAACCACAAAGCCCTGATGAATGACAGTAAGATGCAGGGGTGTCCTTGTTCCGCCCTTGCCTGTTTTTATACACTACACAAGTTTTCCTTGGAGATAGCCTCACCATTCTCTGCCAATGAAGTCAAGGACAGGCGCTGATTTTTGCATACCCACGCCCTGTACGGCAAGATGGTGTGTTTTTTTTTGAGGGTAGCTTTTTAGATGTGTTTAAACAGAAGCTAACAGGAACAATTTTGGGGGGTGCCCCTATTCTGAATTTGAGAAAACGCACCTCCAAATCTAGCTCAGTGCCAGCATACACAACTTGGGGGGGGCGCTTCCGTTCGCCCAAGGGCTCCCGGTTTGGCGAGTTCGTGAAGCTTGCCTCCACGAACAATACGGCAACTTGGCCCAAGAGCCTCCGGTTGGCTGAGGAACCAAAGATGAAGCTGCGTGGTCTCTTTCGTTGTGTTGAATTGTGCTGAGGTTCTCTTCAACCTCATCTTTTCCGGCCTGTGGTTCTACGCCTACAACGAGCCATCTCCTCAGTGAGTTCGCGCAGATTATTCGAAATCCTATTTCTCGGCACCTGTTCACGAATTGAAATCCAGGGAACCAACTACTACTGTTTGTTACTCGGCGACGTAGTTTGTTGTGACAATTTCATACTTTTCTACATTTGAAAGCATTGCTAGCGGAATCATACCTCTGTACTGCTCGCAAACGGGTGCTAGCAAGCAGAACAATGCCGGCACACATCCCCCCCATGCCAGATTTGTGGGGGTTTGTCACGTGCCTCCCTTGTTGGATCCTGCCTTGGGCTGTCGTTGAATGGGGATGCCAAAAAGTTTGGAATCAGACAACAATGTATCCAACTGGCGCATAGCACTCATGGCATGCAATGCATTGCCATTGCTTACAGCCAGTCTCCGCGGTAGCGGCGTGCCCTTGTTCACACAGCTTAACTCCCAGGGTGCTGCACACTATATCTTGCAATGCCTGCTAATAGCGCATTTGTTGTTTAAAGCACATACTCCTGAACGATTTTACTGTTTTGCTTGTGATTCGTCGTTTTGGTGTTTCACGGGCGTGTGCAAAAAGTCAGCAATCCTGTTGTTTGGGCAGCATTTATTGTCTGGAGCTCAGCTTGCTTCATATGGAACCAGAGGAATGCTTGCATATTCTGGCACGTAGCAAAACTGCGTTAGTGCAATAAACATTTGTACACGTTAATATGTCATGCAGCATGAAGGTTGACATCCTTGGTACCTGAAGCCTGACGCTTTTCTTCAAGGCCACTTCCGCAAGGATAGGGATTTCATTGGCTTCTCTTTGGCGCTCGGGCTTTATCACTACCTGATTTGGGTGTGGGTCAAAACCAGTGGTACCATTTGGGGGTAGGTGCCCCACCCATTTTAGTCTATTTTAGTGGGCATTGGGATGTTCCCTGGGGTTGCGGGCTTTTGACCCATGGCCATTTATCAACTGACACCAGTAGATCTTGGGACTGGTTTGAATATCGGAGAAGCAAAGGCCCAGTTGCTGTGGCAGTCCTAGAGGGCGACCGAGGAGGTGATCACCGATGTTGCAAGACCGCTCAAAGTGCATGTGCCGAAGTGAGAGCACCCCGCCAAATGTACCGAGACCCTGAATGATACTCAATGCCATGGGTCCCTGCATCGTACGTAGAGCAGCTATTAGAAGACTCAAAGCTTTTTGTCGTTCTTCTTGGGAAGCCTCGTCATTTTGACCCTTGTGATGATATGTCAGTCCAGGTGTGGGCCGGCAGACTTGTCGCAGGCTGGCCACCTTCACCATCAAGAAGACCAATGCAGTGACCTCTTCCGTGGCGAACACCGCCGCTCGGCAATGCCGTCTGGAGGAGTTTGTTTCATTTGGTTTTCGAACACAGGGTCCGTTGAAGGACATGCCAAACGACCACCTCATACATTTAGAAACCCTAGCACAGGTGAGGAAGGTGGCGAGAACCGCGCCCTTTCAGGGTAATTTTTTGAGGGAGGAAGCGGAAGAAGAGCCACTGTGTTTGGCTAGCTGTCTTACACTGAGGTTGGCTTGAAATGGTGAAAGCCATGGTTCGTCTCATGCAAACATGGGAGCAGCCATACAAAGGACCAGGTACTGTGGTTTTCAACGTCCCCGTGCAAATTTGTCAAATTTCTATATCCAAAACCTTGTGACAGAGGAAAGGCCATGGGCTGTGCTATGACCGCATTGTGTACTGAGCACGTTTTGGGTCTATTCTGGAGCCACGTTGAGCGCACAAGCAGGCGTGCAACACCTACCCCGGCCTCAAGCACTTGAAGGGCACATAGCACCGCACTTTGTTCGGCGAAACCAAGCCTCAGCGCACGTGACGCTTACATGCGGACCCGGCCCGGGCCCACGACGCAAAACCTAGGCGAAGCGCGTCATCGTCATTGTGGGTGTGGCGCTGGTTATGCACGAGAGCTTGTCCCCGCTGAAGCCGCGACCTCAAGTCGCAGGGGAAAAGGCTTTGTTCGTCCAACGTGATCTTTTTGGAGGAGTTGAGGGGAAGCCGCACATTTTTGCAATGTTTTTTGCACAGGCCGGGTCATTGGGATTTGTGTTGGCTTTGGAGCTGCATTCGAAGGATTGGCGTTGGTCAAATTTGTTTCGTGTTTGCCGGGGTTTGTGGACGTCCGTTTGAGATGCGAGACAAAAAACCGAGACACCTGCTCAAGGTCCGCTGCCCCCAATTTACATGCATGTTGCATGCGGGTCTCTGTCAAACCCTTCATTCTGGCAGTTTCCCGCTTTTCGGTTATACCGGAACAAGGCTGAGATTACAAAAGGGTATCCAGATTCAAGCCTTTGGTGAAGAGCCTGGACCCTGAAACGGCCAACGGCAGTTCTGGTCAAGACCGGTTCTCAAAAAGGAAACACATGCCCTCGACAACCCATTTGGCCAACTCCGCACATGCCAAGCAGCAACATGGCCCATTTGCCATGCGAGGCTTGCAGGATGCACGGTTGGCATTGGCGGCGTGTTCCTGCCGGGGCCCTGGGCGGTTTTGGGCGTGGCACCGGACATTTGGCCGCCACAGTTGGCCGTTGGTAGCGCCCATTATTTTGGCTTCAAGGGGCAGCCAGCCGGACAACCCACCCGTTTTTGGGGGTAGCGTGAGAAGAACAGCTCCACATATTTTTTTGTGGGGGTAGCCTTTGTTGGATGGTCCTCAGGAAGCCATTGGGGTTCTATTTTGAGATAAGCTCAAATGTGGGAACAGTGCCGCGAAGGTACTCTGTCATCGACGACCTGCTCAAGAAGAAATGAGGGTCAGTCACCCTCCACAGCCGATCTTTTTTGACGATTACTTGGGACATTTTGAGTCTTGGCATATCAGTGGCAGATTGCTTCGTCATATGATGTCTGGCTGCAGTTTTGACTGGGGATTGACTAGAAGGGCTCAATGAAAACCTCGGCGTGGTTTTCTTGTGGCGCGGCGAGTGCTTGTGCACTTGCTCAGTTCACTGCCGTCCAAAGACTCTTTTGGCATGTCTGGGATGGCGCATACTTTCTAAGGTGGGTCAACGTTTGGGACATACATCTTTGCCCTCGACTATAAGCGAGCACGGTATTTTGTTTTGTTCCTGGGATTGGGCTTGAACGTTGACCAAACTAAAAACACGGTTTCAGTTTCAGGAATCACTTGGCGCGAGAGTTCGGTGAAAAGCAAATCGCATGAGAGCGAAAAGCTAGCATGGCCGATGGCCCTGACCCTTGGCCTGGAGGGTCTCGCATGAGTGAATTGAAGTGCAAACGAGGACAGCTTCAGCACCTTTTTATGAAAGAAAGCTTTTTTTTGGTTTTAGCTTTTGTTTTTGTTTTTGAGAATAATAGAAAACATAGTTCTTCTTGTCATGACTGGTGCTGCGCGCAGCTGGTCTGGCTCGCACGTTTCTTCTGCCTCGGACTCGTTCTCTCGTTGCTTCTTTCCGACCATGGCGACGGCCTCGGATCGGTGGGGATGGATGGGTTCAGGGTTTAGACCTCTCGGCCCAACTTTGGGCGGCACCCCCTGGGCTGTACCACCTGACCCTGGAACATACCCCTTGAGGATAAGACACAAATCAAGGGTACATAGGCTCTAAATCAGGCTTAACTGGGTTGGAACCGGGGGTCACTGGGGGAAGTCTTTGAAACTAGGCTGGGCCCAACCAGGTGACGCAAAGGAAGCCCACAGAGGTTTTCCTAGGCCGTTTCTGGGCTGGGGACTTTGCACTTTGAAAACCCCAGTCCGGAAAATCAAGCGCCCCGATCCCAAAAAGCAGAGGCTGTGGGTTCGGGCTTTTTTCAGGGCCTCAAAGCAAGAGAGGCCCATAGACAGGAGCTTCAATTCCCAGAATCATTTCAGGAACTCCAGGAATTCTGGAAACAGCTTCCGGAATTTCGGGCAGAGGACTTCTTGGACCGGGACCATGGGGGAGATATGGCCATGGGTCAAACTCCAAATCGGTTAGCCCAAAGTGAACATCCGATTCAATCCAACCACTAAAATACAGCCTAAAATGGGTGGTGAGTTCACCTTGAAAGCCCCGTTGGTTTGACCCACCGCCAGATGAAGGAGTTTTTTGCTATTTTCCCCTGTTGGTTTCAAAGGGAACCCGTGGCTACAAGTATTCATTTTTTTTCTCCGCAAGTGGAGAGCCACAATCAAAACCCGGGTAGATGAAGGTTGGTAAGGAGCAGTCCCAGCCGGAAAGAGTTGCGGCCTCCTTTCTAATTCTTTACAGGGTTCTAAATTCACCATTTTTGTACCAGGTTTGTATTGTGACTCAGCTGTCCATGTCCTTTTGAAGGGAAGCTCTTCCACAAGTAAGCTGAGGGCAAGCGCGCGGCACAGCCCTCGGAGAAGGCTGTCGTGTGATGCTCAAAGCCGAGTCTCGGGCGGCTGGGGAGAAAAAACCAACAACGTGGTATCTGGCTGCGGGTCTAAAACGGGGTATCCAGACAAAAAATAAAGTGGCAGTGGGTCAAAACCAATGGGATACCATTTTGGGCTAGGTGCACCACCATTTTGGTCTATTTTAGTGGGGATTGTGATGTTCTCCCACGTTGCCATGGCACCTGTGGGAGGGTACCTGGAAGATCAGTTTCCTCTTGGGACTTTCTGTGAAGTGCCATGCTAGTGGGAGAGAGTGTAACCCTCGTGGGGTCTTTGTCCCGGTGGTGACTAATTTAATTTGGACCCATACCCATCTGCTTATATGAGCAACTGACAAAACTGCCGCAAGCGAGTCTGCTGCTAGTTTGGGGACAACAAGAAAAAGGGGGGGGATCTAAATTTTCCACCTCGAATGAAACACAGAATGCATACTTGGCAACCTTGGATTCTTGCCGGGATCCTCTTTGTTTTCCGCTTTGCCAGTGAGAGGATGGCTCTGCAGGTTTGGTTGAAGCAGGAGGTTTGGTTGAAGCAGGAGGTTGAATTCTTATTCTTGGGGCCGTTTTGCTTGGTTGGGTCTGTGGTATTGACGGGATGTTCCCCTCGGAGGCATTGTGTGGGACGAAGGGAAGTATTGACAGGGATTCTTGTTTCCTGTTGACATGTTGAGTTGGTTGGGACAAAGTCTCTCTCGCACTCTAAGTTTCCCGTTTGTGCTTGTTGTCCAGACGTCCAGTCAACCACTCAGTGGTGATGACAGTTGACTTACCTTGTTAGGGCATATCGGCATATCATTGTTTCAAGGCCAGCAAATGAGCAACGGTCTGAATTTACTGCCCTCTTTGAGGGTGTGACATTGGGAACACCAAAGTCCCGTTCGGAAATGGATGTGGGTATCGGTCAAAACTCAACCACCAAGATATGGTCCTTGCCATGTCCCCGGGCAACCCATCTTGGGATACTTATTTTTCACAACTTCACCCATGTTACGCACCAAGCTCCCATGTCATTTGAGTCACAATCAAAACCCGGTATTAAAATCGTCTACCCAGAGCCATGTAAGGAATGAATTTTGGGCGGATATCCGCAGCTATTTATGGTTGGGATTGTCCCTTACTAAGCCTCATCTACCCGGGTTTTGAGCACGTGGCTCATTTTGTCCACGCCGGCAGGCTCAGGCGAAGGTTGCCAAAGTGGAAGCAGCTCCTGTCGACCCCTTCATGCAGGATGCAAAATTGGGAGTTTGATGTGGGGTTGTCTTAAAACTCGGGAACCCCAAAAAGGTTCTCCTTGAAGTTTTCCTTAAAACCAACCAAAACGGGTTCCCCCAAGAAAGAGATCCAAGTGTCCTTGGTTGCGACGAAGTTGTTTTTTCCATCAGAAGCAATTGATATGTATTGAGAGCGCGGGATCACAAACGAAGGCTCCATCGGACTTTGTTGCCCTTCCCAAGACAAAAATAACATGCTGGTGCATCTGCCATTTGAGTGTGTCTCAAACCAGGAATGACGCAAGCTGTCGGCTTGCATTTGGTTGTCAAATCCCATGCACATGATGTCCACCAAAGGATTCGGTATATATATATATATTATCTTTGGTGCATTTTGCTTGGCTGTTAGGACTTTAACTTTTTGCCAACTAATTGGTTTTCTACTAAACCACTAAAAGTTAAACTCTTAGCAGGGGAGCAGAAAGCAACCGAGTTATAGCACACACACACACACCCAATGTTTTGCTTCATGCATCTTCTGTCACCTTCCGCAGGAGCTGGCGCCTTTGTTGACGCAGCTGCAGCGGGCGGAGGCACGACTTTTTTTTTGCTCGGCCCTGGGGACGGGTGCCGATTTTTTTCGGGTCGGTTGGAAGGGAGGCCCACAGCGGGTTGCTGATTCATTTGTTGGGGGGTCCCTTTCTTAAGTTTTTTGGTTTGAAGGGAGATCTACTCGCTGGCAGGGTTCAATATATGTTGAGACGCGCCTCTTCAGGGCTTGTCCGAAAGTGGCTCCACCATGGCACCGGTCTCCTCCTGTTTGCCATGTGCATGAGGAGATGCCTGAGCCACGAGCAAAATTATGCATGTGTCTTCCCCAAGACATGGGAAGTTGGCAGGGTGTCTTTTGCGAGCGACCACCATAAAGGATGTTCTTATGAAGCCGCCAAAATGCATGGGTGGTGTCTTTTGTTAGGAGGTACCTCCCCCCCCAAATATATATATATATATATATATATCGTGGGTTTTACTTTTGGTTTCCCTTTTTGTTGGTCCACAAACGATAAACCAACTATCAAGCTCTCAATCATCGCGTTTGTGCAACATATCCAGACAAGCCAAACAAATGAACCACCGCCCAAACAAGACCTCCCCCCCTCCCCTCCCCCAAAATCATGTGTTTTCCTTCTGGCTTCCCGTTTTCTCCCGGCCAAACACGGTTGGGGGGACCCACCGCCTCTTTGGGCGCTTCCAGCGCGGGCCTTTGGCGGCAGGCCGCGGAGATCCTGGGCGCCTCGGCGGCGGAGATGCTGCGGGCGGTGGCGCCCTTCTGCCTGAAGACGCCCCAGGTGGCGGTTTTGGCTTCTGCCCGTTTTGGGGCCGGGGGATGGGGGGTGGCGTGTTGGGGGGTGGGGGGGGGTGGGGGGTGGGGGCCGGGGGATGGGGGGTGGGGAGGAACACGTCGGATGGCAGGCGTGTTGGGGGGGGTGGGGGAGGAGGTGGGGTGGGGGGGGATGGGGGATGGGGGATGGGGGGGGGGGAGGCGTGGCTGCGGATCTGGATGGGCCCATTTTTTGGGTGTGTTCTTTTGGGGAGGGATGGCTGGTTGGTGAAGGCAAAGGGCTTCATGCAAACAGAAAATGGTCAGGGTTGGAGCTTAGGCGCATTTTCTCTTCTAGGGGAGGGACGTGGTTGGTGAAGAGAAGGGCTTCATTTAATCCATCAACCCCACAGTTGGAGGATTCAAGTGCTTTTTGCGATGGTTTTTGCGCCACTTTGGTTTGGACCACCTTTTGTTTTTCTTCTTTCAAGGGGCCTTGATCGGGGGCTGATTGAATAGACAGCAACCCTCAGTGCCATATCGTGTCACTCAGTTTTGGGTGACCCAATGTCGAGGCATACCCGTTTCTATTAGTAGATAGCCCACTCATTTTGGAATCTTTTGAAGGGAAATGAGAAGGACACATGGAACCCAACCTCGTGGATGCTGACAGAAACTCAATGCTAAAGGGCCTTTCTCGGACCCCGCGTGTGCTAAGCTCGGGTACCAACCTCACTCAAATGCACCCAACACGAAGCACCAAGATAGCGTGCCACTCAAAACCTGCCCGCAACCAATTGGCAGAGTCGGTACTCAAAACAGTCCCAGGAAGACACTCCTCGACCCAAACCAGATGGAAGGCTGACGCTGGCTATTTGAATATATTTGTGACGAAGCTCATGTTGGGACCAGGCGAGTAGGCTAGTGGCCAGCTCGTGACGCAGCACTCTCTTGTAGAAATTGTCATCACTTCTCAGAAGCATTTGGTATTGGAGCGGAGAAGATGGATGATCGGCATGAAACAGATGAGTTGCAAATAAGGAGCCGTTGAAACGTGGATTCCATGAAAACGCAGCTGCAGGAAGTGCTTTGCTAGAATGAGATGATCAACTCATCGCACAGCAAGGAAGTGCGATGTGTTGCCATCGCTCAGCAGCTGTCACACAGCTGTTGGGCTTAATTAAGGCTGCCAGCATGGAGGTGTCCAAAGAGGGATCAAGTTTCCCGCTAGAAATCAAGACATGACGGGTGCCCAAACAGGTTTTTTGTTGCATCAGGGATCCAGACATGTAGACGAAGATTTCTTTTTTGTGTCTCCACCCCCAGGCCTGGGCAACCGCGTCATCTTTTTTAAAGAAGCAGTCCGTCTTTCGCCGCGCTTGGGCAGGCGGAGAGGCATCCCTACCAGGCGCAGATGGTCGACTCGCTGGAGAGCACCCTCCAGAAGCTTCAGGCCGGCAGATGGGCTCGGTGCGCGGTTCGATCTGAGCGACTCATACACATACTATTTTGGTGCGTCCTTTTTTTTTTTTGTTTTAAAAGAAAACCCAAAGAGGTGGTGTTCCTTTTGGTTTCCCTTCCAACCAAGAAAAGGGTACCCCAAAAACCGAAACACCCATGTTGGTCTGCTGTCTTGGGGGTCGCTTTGGCCCATTTCAATCACGGAAACCAGGCCTCTTGGGGAAACAAGCGGTTGTGTTTGTGGATCATATTCTGAATCTAAATGAAGGTTGGTCCAATACAAACCTGGTATGCATGTTGGCTTGATTGAACAATGACATTGCTTCCCCATGCGCAGCTTGGATTCTTGCAACATGTAGGGGCTTGGTGTAAGTTCTGAGGGCCTAGGTGCCGGGCTGCATGTGTTTTGCTTCTGCATTCAAACATATACAGCACCTTGTAACTGGCCGCCACGTAGAAACGTAGAATGTTGCAGCTTATGCAGGCAAAAGCAACAACGATTGGAGACATCATTCAATGGTCCTTTGGCCTTTGGGCGTGTCTTATTTTAGCGGATCCCCAAAACGGTATGGTGGTTTTCCTTGTAGCTTCTCTTCAAAAGAAAAGGACACGGTACCCTGAAAAACGACACCACCATTTTGAGTTTGCGTATCTTTTTTTGTTGTGCAGCGTTGTCTTTATCCAGCGTGCTTTGGCTTTTTCCTATGCCTGGGTGCATTTTTTTGTGTGTGGGGGGGATCGATTGTGTTGAGGGAAGCCAATGGTCCATGTTGACACCATGCTTTTGCTCAGGGTACCCTTTTTGGGGTTAGTCTTCAAGGGACACGGGGGCTCCAAATTTTGAGTACAAAGCCATACCCTCAAAAACCGGACCCCCCCCCGCCCATTTGTCTATGACGGGTTCCACAAAGCACCCCGCAAAAACCGCTTTACGTCCCATTCCTTTTTTCTCGGGGCTGGAAAATGGCCGTAAAGTCCGGTATCTCCCCTTACACCCCTTGGGAGACCGGCTTGGGGAGAGCCGATCGCCTCAAGCGATCGCCTCAGGCCGCGGAGGAGGCGGCGGTGGCCGGCGCGGAGAATGGCCTCACGGAGGCCAAGCAGGAGCAGGACGCGGCGTGGCGTGCGAGCTGCGAGCTGTGAGCGGCGTGAGAGGCGGCGGGGAATGAGAAGGGGTTTCTGACCATATGTGTCCGTTTTGGCGGTTTTGCTCGAAAAATAGAGGGCGATTCCTGGTTTGCCTGGTGGTTTAATCATCTACCCCAAGGCAGACTTAAACCCAGGGATGAATTGATTCCCCCAAAACGGACAGTTCTGGGTTTAAGTCTAACCCAAGGTAGTCAAAAAAGCGGAACCCTGGGTGGCAGGGAATGACGATTGGCGAAGGCTAGGGTTTTGGGTTGGGGTTGGGGGCTGGGCTCGTCGTTGTGTTTTTGCTTACCTTTCAAAACCAAAGGAGGAAGGTGGCAACGTTCAAACCACACCAAACCAAGCGGGGGTAAGACGATTTTGGGTGGTTTCAAAGGACAACCAAAGGGAACACCAAATGCGCTTGCCGAGTCTTTTTGTTTTTTGGGGGTCCCCCCCAACTAATGTTTAGTTCTAAGACCGCATTTTGATGTCCACTAATTGGCCTCCAATTCAAACTCACCTAGAAAATCGTCAACGGAGCTGCGCCTTTGGCCCCCGGTGTCCTGTACAAAGCCCCAAGCCACCGTGGGAACCCAGGGCCTAAATCCCTTGGTTGTATGGGAGATGCCCAGCAAGAGGGACTGCTTCACCCGACATGGAGCCAAAGTAGTAGGACGCCACAAAGGGGCACAAGAGAATGTGGAACGCGTGTTTTTGTCCCATGAGGCAATTTGAGTCAATACCCCACCCACCTTCTTAGGAGTCTCCTCAAACTCTGGGAACCTTCCGAGCATTTTGGTTTGGGTGTTTCTCCAAATGGTGGGCCCCCTTTTGGTATTCAGGAGAAAACCAATCGGACAACCGCCATAGAGAACCCCCCACTTGGTTCAAATGGAGCTCGCTGTTTTAGAAACGAATCATTGCCTAGAGGATCAAGAGGTCTACTGGGTACCTTTGGGGACTTGTGTACGCTGTTTGCTTGCCGATTCTGGAGGCTTTTGCAAGAATGTACCTTGTTTGATTTCTCGTGACACGTCGTCTCACGCCAATGTGCTTTTGTTGATGTGCTTTTTTGATGGCATCCTTTCTCGGTTTGGCTTGCAAAGGGAAGCACGGGGAAACACACCATTTTGCCCTGCTCACAATCGTGGATGGACATCCAGCACCACTTTTTTTTTTTTAAATCTGGAATGATGATTCCCCGGCAAATATTAACAAACACCGATTTCAACCCTCGTGGTTTCATTTCGTGGTGCGGTTGCGGATGTCGCAACCATCCACTTAACAAGCTATGATGGCGTAGCCTATGCAACCTTTGTAGCCTATGGACAATCTATGTAAGCTATGTCTGGTTTAACAGTGTTTCAATAAGCCATGTCTGGTTAACAGTATGTTAAGACGCCCAACTGCACACCTTTTTTGGCGAGTCCAGCTTTCAGGAGACCTGTGCCATGCAGCTCGAGGCTGCAGCGGCCAAGGTGCGGTGGCGCGAAGCTTCCTTTCTGGGCGCGCGTTGAGGCTCTCAAACGTAGGGTTTAGGGTTTAGGGTTTAGGGTTTAGGGTTTAGGGCTTAGGGCTTAGGGCTTAAGGCTTAGGGCTTAGGGCTTAGGGCTTAGGGCTTAGAACAAAATAACTAGGGATCCTGAAACTCCCCTAAGCGTTGCGCTTCCAAGGACTGCCTGAAGGGGAAATCGCTGGAAACCTTCCTTTTAAAAACGCAGGGAAAGGTAGGAACTTCAACTTGTTTGACACTGCAACCCGTGGGTGTTCGGATAAAAACCTTCGGCGTGTTTTGCAGCGGCAAGTTGGGAGCCTTGGCTTGTTTCAAAATGGGTTTGACCTTTCCAAAATGCATGACAATAAAGTGAGAATGGCACCTGCTTCACCCCCAAAAAACCAACAACAACAAACAAACACAACAACAAAAACACACACAAAAACAAAAATAATATCAAACACAAACACCAAACAAACAACACATGGCAACCAAGCGAATGGCACCCCGCTTCCTGCCAGCCCCCTCTCCCGGGGTTTCAAACGTCCAGCTCCGCCGCGAGGCCGAGGAGCGGAAGCAGGAGCTGGAGACCAAGGCGATCGATCCGATGGCCTCGGCTTTTGTCCGCCGTTCGGTCTGCCTGAGGTTTCCAACGCCAAGGGGGAGCCCGAAAAACCGAAAAGAAAATCGGCACGGCCACAAATCTGAATTACGGCTTTCAAAATGTCGCCCAAGGGGAACCCTAAAAATAGATCATTATGTGGGCTGGGGGGGACCCTCCCTCCCCCCCAGCCCCCCACAAAATCCAAGGGGAACCCGAAAAAACAGAATCGACACGGCCACATCTTAAGGCTTTCACGAGACGAGGTGCGGGGAGTTCTTTGAGGGTTCCCTTTTCGCCACCGTCATTTTTGAGGATGTTACAGTGACGTATCGCACTACCAACAGGAAACTCACTCAAAGTGGGTTGACATCTAAAAGAGAAATCTACAAGGATTTCTGCACCGTTGAGCCTGCTTCGAACGTTTTACACTGATGTTTTAGGAGGGAGTCTTTGTTGCTCTCGGCGCAGCATTTGGAAGCCCGCTTCGTGCAGGAATCTGTCCGGAGCGAAATGGAGGCGGGCGACAGTTATTGGGGTTTGTCTCTATGGCTATTTGTGCCAATCTTGGGACAATGTGACTGGAGAGTGGCATGTCGTTTGTTCATTTGAGCGGTTTTGAGAAGGGACGCAAGTGAGAGATGATGTGCTCTCCATGGAATTCCGTTGCAGAAGCCGGCTCGGCGAAAGTGCTGGCGAGCTTTGTCTCCGCTGAATACGTAAACACAAAGAGCCCTCAAGAATACAGGAATTTGTGCAAGTGAGTGTAGGGTGGCTTGGCGTTGCAGCGGGCTTCTCGTTTGGCATCCTAACAACACACTGTAGCGTTAGGTTCTTGCGAAAAGTGGCAAGTAGGGAGGTTGAGTGCTTGAGTGGTTGATTGAATAGTTCAAAACATGGGGCAGTGCGAATTTCTAGGCGACAAGTCAATGCTGATAGCAGAACAGCAAGTGCAGCGATTCACGCTGCTAACGCAAGGGGACCTTTCATTGCGTGTGAACAGCGATCTTCAAGAAGGCTTGATGATCAGGATGTGCTTAACGAGGCTCGTAGAAGAATGACGACTGCTCTGTGGTAATTCTGCCTGGTCAAGTTGGGCCTGTCCTTTTTGTTTTGACCCTTATTGGGTCGGGTTTAAAGGGAGACGGAAAGCGACCATTTTTGGGGTCCCCTGTTTTTTCAGGCAGACCTAGTTACCGGCCTTTGGAGGCAGAAGCGGCCACGGCGGTGCAGAAAGCACGCGAGGCGCAGGCCAGTGGAGGGATGGACGGGACTGGTGAGTCTGAAATGGTAGTGGGCGTACACTCCCTCACGCTAACAGCCGGAAGGGCTCCCAATTGGCCTCCGTAAATTGAGCATTTCTTTTTCAAAGGGGTCCTGGCAGTTTCCATGTTAGTCTGAGCTTAAAAGGTTCCCCCCCCCCACCCAAAAAAAAAGGAGAGTAGTTTTGAGAGCTCGAAATGGGTATGTCTTCTTGGGGTTCCCACGTGAAAAAGTCCATTTCGAGAACTTCCTGGGCCGGGGTGCAGCTCTCACCTTCTCCAAAGCGCGCCGCGACCGCCAACACCTTCGCGCCTTCGCCTGCGAGGAGCAGGCGCGAGGCGAGGCGCGCGCGCGCGCCGGGCGAGTCGCGCGAGGAGCAGGAGCAACAGCTGGGCAAAGAGAAGGCGGCGGCGCTGGAGGAGAAGGACTCGGCACTGAAGGCGGGCGAGGGCGGAGAGGGCGGAGGGGGCGGAGCGAGGGCAGAGGGCGGAGGACTTCTTGGGTGCAAAGCTTGGTGGGTGCGTTTTTTTTTTTTTTTTTTTTTTTTTTTTTTTTTTTTTTTTTTTTTTTTTTTTTTTTTTTTTTTTTTTTTTAAATATATAAAAAATTATTATTACTAATATATATATATATATATATTATTCATTATCATTTATTTATTTAACGAAGCGTGGTGTTTCAGGGTGTCACTGTTTTTTGTTGTTGGAGGGTGTGTGTGTGTGTGGGGTGGAAGACGGGCATGGGGCAAAAAGTTCTGGCCATGCAGGCAGTTTGTCATTGGCATGATCTATACAAAGCATGCAATGTCAATAGCCCCAACATGAGGGTTCCTTCGTTAGTTAAGTAGCTTCTTCGGAGCCAATTGCCTTAAATTGCACAGATTCCCTCAAGGTTTGCTGATGAGCGGCCTGTATGTCTATTTGGTAACAGATAGTTGCACCGACGAACTTTTCGGCTGCAACTTGGTGGATTTGGTCCGCAGTGGATTTTTTTTCGCAGCAGAGAGGGCGAACTGCGGCAAATGGCTGTGGTTGTCAAAACCAATGCTACCATCTTGGGGTAGGTGCACCACCCATTTTAGTCTATTTTAGTGGGGACTGGGGGTACGATTTGGATTTTGGCCCATGGCCAAATCAAGCGGAAGACGTCCTTTCAACGCCCCCTTGCAACGCCCCCCAAGTGGCACGCAGTTCGCGACGACCTGGGACGCCTTGAAGAACGGCACCTTCGCCGGCAAGGAGCGTGCACCTCAGGGCGAGCTCAGCAAAAACACACCTGGCGCGGGTGGCTCGCCTTTTTTGAGGCTACCCTTTTTGGTTGATCATTTCGAAGGGAAACCAAAAAAGAGCCCATTTTGGAGGTCCACCAATTTGACACGCGCCCATGTAGTGGCTTTTTTTTTTTGGTACAGCGTGGACCATCTAAGGCCAGCGTGATGTTTCCTCAGAGCATGCTGCGAGGTGGCGGGAGCGCAACAAGGCAATCGACGAAACTCTCAAGGCTGGATTTTGAAGTTTGCGGACGTGGGAGGGATTTGCCAGAGGACCTCGTCATGCATGCAAGGGCAACACAACATGATCCTGTGAGGTTTCTTCAGTCGGTTTCGTGGTTGGGTTTCCGAATTTAATCCACAAGTCTAGGGGTAGCTTCCCCATTTTTTCCAGGGATCTTTCTTTCTAAACAAACCTCCGGAAACCCAGGGAAAACGGCCGGTTCTTGGAAAGAACGATGGTTGAAAAGAATGGACAAGGAATCAACCCCTAGAACAAATTAACTACTTTTAGCCGGAGATCTGAGCCCCTCCCAGCTTTTGACAAACCCAGCGGCCCGGTTTCTGCATCTCCCTCGGGCAGGTCATGGGCGGCATTGGCCTCGATGCGAGCCTCAAGGCTGGCTGATGCTGATACTTTTGGGCACCAAGAGTTGCCACCCACTGCCATGTGGCTGTGCGTCAAAACCAATGGGATCCCATTTTGGGGTAGGTGCACCACCCATGTTAGTCTATTTTAGTGGGGATTGGGATGTTCACTGGGGGTACGGGAATTTGACCCATGGCCAAGTTGCAAATGGTGCATGGGAATTCCGGGGTTGTCAGTTGTCAGTTGAAAGCTAGGCCTGCAGTTTCGAAGCTCGCAGTAGGCTCGCAATTCTTGGCGTCTAGGACTGGTCTACAGCTTCCCAAAGATTTTGCTCAGACCGATTTTTGATGATGTTTCTGTGAGTCTACCCCAAGCAATTTGAAGAACATGCAAGGGGTTTGGTGAGACTTCACACAGGCTCCTGTGTGTGTGTGTACTCCAGATGTGACCTATGGCCATGTTTGAAGGCTAGTTGTAGGCATTCTACAGTTGAACCCGGCATAAATCAACCCAAGTTTATTAATTTAGGGGGGTGGTTTTGGCCCCTCCAAAAGTGATGATTCGTCGCTTCACCCATGGACACCCCCCTATGAATAAACAGGGGTTGATGAATATGTGGGACTGGGTTCTGGCTCATATCACGAAAGCTAGCTTTAGCTAGCTGAAGTTTCTCCTTGCGTAAGCAAGGTAAGGGGCTCAAATGCCGAAAGATTGATTTTTTCAATTGTTTGAGCCGAAAAGATTGAAAAACATCAATCATTTAGACCCCCCCCCCCCTCCCCCCCCCCCGAGTCTCAGGCTCGATTCCTCCCTGGTCCATCCCCCCCCCCAGGCAGCGGCTCAGTGTTCAGCAGTCTTGGTTTGCCCGTTTTGGACTTGGTGCTACGAACTTTTACATGTTCCACCGATTCAGCTTGTTCATTTGAGACCTCAGTCTTCTCGGTAAACCACCTCGCAAGAATCTTTGCACACGCAGCATGCAGAACCCAGAGGTGCTTTAAGACAGCTTCTGACGCCTCTTGTTGTTTTCATTTTTCAAGGTTTGCCACGCCACCATGTGCGTTTGCGTGTCGCATCCTACGAATCTTGCCGGGCCTCTCGTTGTACACAAGCTACTTATGAATCCACTCTGTCACCGACCCATCTCATGCAACAACTGCTAGCTTTCGTTCACCCGCTCCTCAAGTATACCACCAGTATGAGCTTGCAAGGCGTTTTGTTGGCCTGATTCCTACATGGAATCTGCAGACCATGTTTCCAGGAGTCCCCGTTTCGGATGGAAGCCGAAAACGCTCCAACCAACCTCTTAGCCTCTTTTTTGAAGGAAACGGATCCATTTCAACGGCCCGGCCCCATCTCCAGGCGCCCTTTCTGCGTCGCACCCGCGCGCGAGCCGGGGTCAGGCAGCCTCTCAAGGCGTAGACCCCGCACCTCCGCGCGCGAGCGCGCGCGCGCGCGCGGGGTCTGTCTTCAGGCGTCCCTGCCAACGGCTCTGCGCACCAAGCCGGCAGAGCGTCAGAGGCGTGGGTAGGGGCGTGGGGTATGAAGATTCTTGGATGTTTCTCAAGATGGGGTGTGTCCTTTTAAGCTTGTGTGTGTGTGTGTGTCATTTTAAGGTTGGACCCCCAGAGTCATTGCTAGCTTTCCTTCTGGTTTCCCTCAAAGACCACCCAGACGAGGGTACCCTCAAAGAAAGACAGCCTCAGATGGTTTCCTGAAGATGCTTGGTTTGCTTGTGGTTTCCCTAGGTTAGGTCACCCTTCAAATGTGTCGTGGCAGCTTTCTTTGGCCATAAGGAAGCCCACCACTGGGTCCGCGTGCCTTGCTTTTTGTTAGAGCACCCCCCTTCTTGGTGCCTTCTTTCAGGTCATTGTTTGATCCCCTTATTGATTCATCACCTTCTGGTCAAATTTTCCTTTTGTATTGAATTCCTTTTGCTTTTTTGTTTGTTTGAAACAATCACATGATCTTTGTTTTATCCTCCCTCTAAAATGGTGTATAGGGGAGATTGACTAAGCAAAGAGGATTGAATAAATCGCTGAATCAGAAGGGGGGCATTGTTTAAGGAGTTTCAGGCTGAAATTAATCCCTGTAAAGCATAAACGAGAAAAAGCAAAAAACATAAAAAAGAAAACAAAACAAAAACAACAAGGTGATTAAAAAATGACATTTCAATTCTTCGGCAGCTTTGCGTTTGTCACACCTACAAACTTTGTGGCACGAATGGCGAACCGACCGTTGTCATTACAAGTGCGCTCACCTGATAGACAGAGATCGCCTAGCAAGCCAGAACAAACAAAACGATAACAAGATGTTGAATTCGTCCGCACCTGAGCTCTCCAGGACAAAAAAGCAGAGCGACTTTGAATGGGTGAATTGAAGCGCCCCTTTGTGCATATTGAGTGTTGAATACTTTGGGGTTAGTATGTACGAGGCTGCTAGTTGCAGTTTGACAAGTTTCATGAATAAACCATTCAGGAAACAATACATTAACTGGTGTGGTACAATCTTCCTATCCCACATACAATCCCACGTTATAAATAAACACCATCACTTTTACCATCTTTTAGACGTCATACTTGTAGGTTGAATGACCATTCAGCTAATTGGGAAGCAAAAAGAGGCTCACGATTTGGGACTGTTTCAATCATCACGTCGTTACTGCGAAGGTTAGAAAGGTTTTTCAAGGGATAACTAAAGAACCAGCTGGTCCAAATTTGTTGTATCTCCAAAAATTGACGCCTCTGTCTTGGTTTATGATGCGTCACGCAACACATCGTATGTTTATGTTGACTTGTGGAGGTTGAATCACTACTTTTTACGACAATTACCATACCTTTTACTACATCTTACCTGATGTTCTTTTACCACATCTTACCTGATGTTTGTACCATCAAGTACAATATTCTATAGCAATCTAGTTTAATCAAGTCCGGGTTAAATGATTTAATTCAATTTCACGGTTTCAATTCAATATAATCCCAGGGGCAGCGACCGTTTAATGCCCTAGTTACTGACCGTGACACAACCAGTTGATTCATCGGAGGGTGCAGCCCAATTTGGAGGGGATCAGGATTGAGAGGAAAACACCTCATGGGGGCTGGGGGGAGGGAGGGAGGGAGCTCAAATAAGCTCTTATCAAGCCCTTAATAAGGCCTTACGAAGGGACCCCCTCTCCCGTTAACATTAAGATGTGAAACGGTTTCATCAAATCAACTCGAAGACAATCACCAAGATCATTCAGTTAACTGGCTTCTGAAATCAACTCGAAGTCCGGGTTAAATGGTTTGATTCAAGTTCATGGTTTCAATTCAACATAATCCCGGGGGCAGCGACCGTTTAATGCCCTACTTACTGACCGTGACTGGCCGGTGATATTGGGTATCCTCTGGCGGCCATGAATTTTGACCGGTGGGTCGCACTCTCCAAAATGGTTGGCGGCACAAACGCAGCACGCATGTCTGTTTAGTGGCTATCAATGTGAAGAGGAACCACCTCAAATGGCTGTGGCTAAAAATTAAACAGCTGGGGGTACGCAGGTTTTAGTTTTTGGTTCCATTTGCCGCGGTGCCATTTTGGGCACATGTTTTTGAGCCACAGCCCAATGTCGGTGGAGCCCCTTATGAATGGACCACATCAGTTTTTCACACCCACGAAATGGACAGCGTTTGCTTCAGGTTCAGCCTCAAGGCGGTGGAGTTTTGTGAGGTGGGAAGCGCGTGTTGTGGAGTGGCGCGCGAATGTGGCGCGGCCGTGGACGAGCAATTTGGGTGGGTCGCTTCCGAATTGGAGTTGTTCTTTTGAGCTGGTATATATATATATACAAGTATATATATATATATACATGTGTATATATATATAGATGCACACCCTTTTAGGGTTGTTTCAAAGGAAAGCCAATCATTTGAGTTCATTTTCTGTTGTGACGCACATTTGTTGAGTGCAAAGCGGGGGGCAAGGCGCAGCAGTACTTCCAGTGATTATGGAGTTTTTGGTAGAGTTGTACTCCAATTTTGTACAATACTCCTAAACAAGCTGCATTTTTCTTTTAATTCTGGAGTGCTCCAGTGGGTTTCTTCACCAAGCTGGTTGGAGTTTTTGCAGATTGCAATGGAGGACAATATGCTGCAAGAACTGGCTGGGCAGCCCGTGGCGCTTTTGATCCAGTTGTTCCCCCAGCTGGGGTCATTATTTTGACCGTTTCTAGGGGTTATCAAAGTCAGAAAATGGGGTTGTTTCCCTGTAACTCATCACTTAGGGGGTGACTTTGATCATGGTAAAATAATGAGGCCAGCCCTGGGGCCCTGGGGCTGGTGTTTGGGTGCCCCTCCTCGCCTCTTTCCGGCCTGGGGCGCAGAAGAGAAACCATGCCGTGCATACTGTGGATGGACGAATCCATTTCGCACCACTTTGAAACCATGGGCATGTACAGGGGAATCATCATTCTAGGGTTTCTTAGGTGGTGCAGGATTCCGATTCCGTCCACAGTAGTTAATTAAGCCTTGGTTTGCTTGGATTGGACAGCAAGCCGAAGCTGGGAATTGGTTCCTTCCGTCCTTGAGCTCGGACATCTGAATTGAAGTGATTGCCGCTTCACATGTCTGTCGAATCAATGATCCTCTGACGCAGGTTGGGCTTAAAATAGAGGACCCAACAACGGCCTCCGTCTTGGCTCCGTTTGAATTCCTTAAACGGGGTATGCGTCGTACGAGGCCCCAAACCTTGGTGGTTCCCAGCCCTCTCTTTGGTTTTTTGGGTTTTAGTTGGTTCAGCGGTGGTTTCCGCACCAACAGCTAAAAAGGCTTTTTGCGGGGGATGGAACAGAATCATGGCCCAGAATCATGGCTGGGTTGCCCCCACACATTTGTTTCCTGTGGCGGGGGACCCTCCAAAGCAACCCACGCATCCGTGTCTTTCTGTGACGTGTCGGTCGCCGTGGGCCAAAAAAAACGTGGGGAGGTTGCGCTGGAGAGCCACCGGGGCAAGCTGGAGGAGAAGATCAATGGCTTCGATGAGGAGGCGCTTCATTGGGGCTTCTGGGGGGAGGGGTGGGCGTGGGGGTGGGTGTGTGTGGGTGGGTGTGTGTGTGTGTGGGGTGCGGTGGGTGGGGTGGGGTGGCTGTGAACACCTCTCAGCCGATTAATTAAGTCAAATACTGGCCGCTGGTCTCGCCTTGCAACGGAACGAGGGGGGGGGGGGTGGTTTTGGGTTTGGAGGGTTTTGGGAGCGTGAACCTCCTTTGTCGTGCGGGGTTTCATGCACGAAACTTGGACCTTTGAATCTCCCAGATGGCGGCGCTTTTTTCTTTTCGGTGGGGCTGGGGTCGCGGAAAACCAGCCAGAGGAAAAAAAAGCACCAGCCCTAGTAAAAAAAAACACCGTTACCTAGGGTAGCAGGCCGTTTTTTTTTGGTTGGACTGGGCTCCCCCATCTCAGGCCGCGGCGCGGGCAAAGACGCGGGAGCAGGCGCAAGAGGCGAGACGGGAATGGGGAGGGGAATTTGGGGGGAATAATAAATTTGGGGAATTTAAAGATTGGGGAATTTGGGGAGGGGAATTTAGGGAATTTGGGGTGTTTTAGGAGGGAATTTGGGGTTCCCATCAATCTTTAATAAGGAACCCCCTAGAAAGTGGTTGGTGGACATACAACCCCACCTAAATGATGTCCACCAGGGGGGCCCTAATCAAAATTCAGACCGAGGCCAGTTCACATCGCATGTGCCATCGCCCCAGCAAGCCGAAAACTTGGGGTCAAAGAGCAAAGATAATCATCATCTCCAAGGTTTGGATCAACCAGTTTCAAGCGTTCCATTTTTTTTGCAGCGCCATGACCATGTGACAGTGACCCACATGGTCTGGTGACCATTTGTAGCGACCCACATGGTCTGGTGTTTGACGGCACCTGGAGTTTGACGGCACCTGTGCAACGAGGGTGTTGGTTTGCGAGGGTGTTTCTTTTTTGGGTTGGTTCAAAAGGGAGGTGATCTTCACGGAACCCTAGATGGGTGCCAACAAACAGCGGTTTCAGCTTGCATGAAGTTTGGTCAAAATATGGAGTAGTCTTGCTGGTTCGATAGGCAGGGAATGAGGGAATGACTTTTGTAAACAATCCCCAATGGTTTCCTTTAGAGAATCCCTAGGTTCAGTCATTCCCTACTGAGCACCAGCAAGCAGTCTATGGTACATTTGGGAGGACGGGGAGACTCACTTCGGGCCGCCCAGGCTTTGACCCACCAAGAGCACGGGGGACCCTTCTGGGGTGTGTTCATCTCAGGGCAAAAAGGGGCGGCAGCTGAAGCCAATTGCATCCCTCGACGTTTTTTTGCCCCTCGAACGACGAAAGGCCCCCTCCCTTAGACAACAATCTCAGCGAGCCGGAGCCGGACTTTTGGACTTCCATGTTGAATCCAAAGAGATCACCATCAACCAGAAGCTCCGCGGTGTGTCTCTGGCCTGAACAGGAAATGCTCAGAATCTTCCTGTTGCTGACAATCTATGATTCAAGCTGTTGCGATTATGGTCGTTATCTTGGGGACCTGTTTCTTCCCGACAACGAGGAACATCTTGTGGTTGGTTGCACCCTTTGATGGATGCCAACCAGTTTTGAGGGAGTTCCAACATGAAAATCATGTAGCCATCTGGATGTGTTTATTTGCGAGTCCATTCTTCTTGTTTTCTTGGGAAGCCGTTTAGCGCAAAGGGAAGTTCCACCTCTTGTGGGGTTCCAGCAGTTCTACCCACATCCCACTCCGGGCGGGATCTTCTGTCAAACCCCACCCTTTTGCAACGAAAAACGGTTGCCAGCAGATGGAGATGGGTCAAACAGATGGGTCAAGCTGCCAGCACCAGGAAATGGGCCGCGGGTTTCGTGGCCCATGTTTCCACAGACCCAACCCATCTTGTTGCCCAAGTTTCTGACCTCAGCCACAGGCATAAGAGGAACGCCCCGCCATTTAAGTCAGGGCTCCTTAAAAGGTACATTTTGCCCAGTTGAAACACGTGGCCTTTTCCACCGACATAAAGGGACACCGCGATGTACAAGTTGCAACGTTCAGGGGTAGAATGTAAAATTTACCAGTCGCAATCTTCGGGTGTTTTTCCATGGCATCCGGATTTTCTGTAGAAGCCGAGCCGACCTTCGGTTTTTGAGCGGCGCCTCTTTCGGATTTCTCGCCCCGCGCACCTCTCTCGGCAGGTGCTCGCCGGGGTTGAGGAGCGGCTGGCCGGCGCCAAGGCGGGGCCGGTTTGCTACGGGCGGAGGCCAGTGATTTGGCCGCGGGTCAAACATGGGGTAACCCCAAGATTCCACCTGGTATAATGGAGACATGAACTAGAATCTGCGGTTTTTTTCTGGTGGTTTAATCTTGACCTATGGCCATTTGGGTGGAAAGTCTCGATTCTCGCGTGGATTCGAGTGACCTTGACCATGGTGAGATCATGGGCTCTACCCAAAACTGGTGCTGGAGTTCATCCCTTAGTTTGCTCCGTGCGGAACAATCAAATGCCAACTGGAATTTGCCCGGATCTCGGTTTGGTGAGTTCTTGTCCTCGTTTTTGTGGGTGGTCACATCCACTCAACTGATTTGCAAACATGCAACTGACTCGCTCCAGCATTCGTATTGCCCAGTTTTGCTGTGATGGCAAAGTGCAATTACATGGTCCTTTGGCTTATTTGCTGCATGCGGCTTTTTACGACAAGATGAGAATGATGCGAGATAGTTGATCTTTGCATGGGCTTCGAAACAAGCTCGCAAGTGACAAGCGCCGCAAGGCAGATTTCAAGTTTCGTGTCGCGGCATGCTGTCCGAGACACGAAGCTTAAGGAGTTGCCGCCATCCAGCCCATGTTTCGTACATCTACGACGCCGAATGTGAGGTCATGATATGAACGCCGTATTTATTTACACATGTTTCCTTTAAATGGCCGAGCTAGTGATGGAGAAACGGCCCCGGAAAAGCACACGAACACACATCCACTCGTCATTGACAATCCCAAGCCATGTTGAATGGAGTTTGACGGGACTGCCACACATCTGTGTCGATGGCCTTTCTGGGTCTATGAGGCCATTGGTCAAAAGCCCGTAAACCTCAGTGAACATCCCAATCCCCACTAAAATAGGTTCTAAAATGGGTGGTGCACCTACCCCAAAATGGGATCCCATTGGTTTTGACCCACAGCCATGAAGGTTCGAGTCCACCGCAAAGCTCGCCCTGCAGAACCCTTCGCCTCAGCTTCCGAGCCGGTTCGCAGGCGGAAGCTGCGAGCTCGCAGGACAGAGCTGGATGGGACCTTTGGTGAGGTTTGGGGGTGCTCGGACAAAGGGCTCCCCCCAAAAGCGGTTTCTTTGGTTTCCATTTGGCTGTGGGTCAAAACAATGGTATCCCATTTTTGGGGGTAGGTGCACCACCCATTTTAGGCTTGATTTTAGTGGGGATTGGGGTACGGGCTTTTGACCGTTGTCTTGCCCGAGACATAGGTTTCTTTGCTCAGGTAGCATCATGCGGTGGATTCGTGTTGTGGGTTTGGTGTGTGGACTTCGGTATGTCGGTGGCTGCGTGTGGCGACGGTGGCTACCATTTGTTTTTATTCATTTGGGCACAACACGCCCAATGAGGGATTCCGCGAATTGGACCCCCAATCAAAAGGCTTGTTGCAGCATGATGGAGCAAATTAGATTGCAATGGACTCAAGTGGCCGTGGAGTGATTGAATGTCCACGCACCTTAAGGTGCGCAGCAGATTAGCCGATTGCCTGGCTGAATTCATCGCACCATTCGGAGCCTTTTTGGTGTCCCTTTGAAACCAAAAGGGTTGAAGAAACGACCCAACCACACAGGGCTCACATTGACATGGCCATGACTCTTGGTGCCGCCTCAACAGTGGGGTAGATTCACGAGTCACCAAAAAATCAAAACCAAAGATTCATATCTCAAACCATGCCCCCCCTTTTTGTTGTTTCAAAGCAAAAAAGACACGGAGAAGCCTTTTTGGCCCAGAGATGAACTGGTGAGAGAACGTCTCCCCCCGCATGCGGGTTTTGGGTGTCAGGGTTCCCGACAGGAGGCTTTGGAGGTCTCGCTGGCGGAGAAGGCAGCGGTGGAGCAGGCGACGAAGGCGGGAGAAGTCGTTTCGGTGAAGATTTGGCCGTGGCTCAAAAACGGGTACCTGGGTACCCAAAATGGCACCTTGGTATATGGAGAGACCAAAACCTGCGTGACCCCATCAGAAAAGAGCCACACCCATGTGGCTAAAACGGGTAGCCCTCCTTCCCACTCCATGGCAACTGACAGGTCCCTGAAAAAGCAAAAAATCCTCTTCCAGGTGCCTCGCAGGTGTTAGCAAAACAGGTGAGCAACGTGCTCAAAACCGATTCGGGTAGATGATCCGGTTAAGGGGCAAGTCGCCGGAAAAATCGTTGCGGATATTTCCGCCTTTCTATTTCTTGAAGCATGGTTCTGGGTTCACCATTTTTGTACCAGGTGTTGATTGTGACTCAGGTACCCAAAATGGCAGACAAGACCAAAACCGTAACCCCATTTGTTAATTTTTGAGCCACACCCATTTGGCAGTGGTTGTCCAAAATTGGGCAACCCCAAGATGGGTCGCCCTGGTAAATGCACACATGGACTGAAACCTGCGGTCCATATCCTGGTGGTTGAAACTTGAGCCATACCCAGTTCCCAGCGAATCGTCCGGTTCCAGAACGCTTTTTAGTGGTTTTTGAGTTGGTTTAGTGGTTGGGTTTCCGAATCTAACACACACGTTATTCACTTTCAGCAGGGTATTTGAGGACAGCCACCCATATGTATTGCCGGTTCATGGTGTTTTGGCCAGTTTGTCCCAGCTGGAGCCGATCAATCCTCTCACATCCCACGTTGTTCCCTCTGAACTTCACATGACTTGGCAGAGTGCTTGCAGCACTCAGCCTTGAAGACCGTGATGAGTAACTAGGAGTTTCAACGCTTCATGGGACATTCTGGCGCATTCTGGGGGCGCGGGGGGTGCAAAATTAGGGGCCTCTTTTTGGTAGCCGGACTAGACGGCGGTACAAGGCCGTGCCATCTCCAAGGGGGCCATGTTTTGACAGCCCCCTCTGGGGATTTGTCGCGCAATCCCCTCTCCCTTGACTGGACGTTTGACCTTTTGTTTTGTTTTTTCCCCAAGTTTTAGTCAAGATCCACTTTGACGAGCCCCTTGGTTGGATGGTTGGCTGGCTGAGCTGCTTGCTTGGTTTTACAGGTCACCTTTTATCAGCCAATCTTCAATTGGTGCTTTGGTCTGGTGGTTTGGCTTTGGATTTTGAACCTCTGGTTAAACGGAAAAACACCCCTGAACGACCAAACCACCGATTCGGCTCCAAACCACCTAGAGGACGCTCCCCTCGTATGGGTCAAAATTAGACTACCAGGATATGGATTGCAGTTCTAGCTCTTTCCACTGTCCAGCGTAACCCATTTTGGGGTTACCCAATTTCTGACCCACAGCCACATGGATGAGAGGAAAGCCTCGCCATTTCAGCCTGGACGCCCGGCGAGAGCCCCTTTTGTTCCCCGTCATTCCTCGGCTCCTCCAAATCCCATTGCCGATCCCCAAAAGTCTTCGTTCCCAGCGCTCCCCCAAGTTCCATTGCTGCGGCAACCGCATCCGCCAAGTTTCTCCGCCCATCTTTTGCTTCAGGCCTTTGTTGTTCTCCTTTTTCTCTATTTCCCCCTTTTTTTACACGTACTTTCCACCTGGTGGTTTCAAAGGGACTGGATGTCCACCGGATGTCTTTTCTGCCGCCCCCCTCGCTCGTGGCGCATGTTTTTTCTGCTGGGAGGCCGCGCCGGCGCGGGAGGCGGCGCTGCAATCGAACCTGGCTGAGGCGCGGGAGGCGCTGGCCAGGACGCAGGCGCGCGCGTTGGGCCGTTGGGCCGTTGGGCGCTGGGGGAGGTGTGGGGTGGTTCGGTGGTTTGGGAGGTTGGGGTGGGCCTTAAAATAGGGGGGTGGGGGACCCTTCCCCCCCACAAAAACAAAGCAAGAAGAGATGTGGGGTTGGCGTTGCGAGCCTTGAAATAGGGGGACCCTTCCCCCCCAAAAAGAAAGGGATTCGGGGGTGACGTTGCTGGTTTTGGTTTGAAGCTGAGACCAAAAAGGGGACCCAGAATATATGTTTGTATCTCATCAGCCGCCCGGAGCTCTGAGGTCGCGACGTGCGAGGCCGCAAAACATGCATCGGAAGCCGACAAAACAGCAGATCAGTCAAACGAAACAAGGGCCCGCGAAGAGCCGCGCCCAGTGCCCACACTGTGCTGCTTGGTTTTAGGGCGCCCATAAACAGCTGATGCGGCATCGCGCTGCGGCAAAATAGGGCAGAAGGTGCTGAGGGGTGCTGGTGGCGGTGAGTGGTCTTTCTTTGAGGGTGCCCTTTTTGCGGTTGTTTTAAAGGGACACCGAAGCGGTTTTGAGCCGCTCGCGTTTGGCGGTGCCTCCAAAAAATCGCGAGAAACCCATCTCGGGTTGGTGGTCTTTCAAAGACACGTGCTACGTTTCTGGATTTCATACTTGGAGCATCCTTTTGGGGCGCCGACCAATTCGCCTTGCTTTGGCCAATCCGCTTACGCTTTCCCACCGACCATGGAGCCCACCAAAAGCTCCTTAGTAGAGGAAAGCGATGGAAACCAGAAACGAGGGTTGATCAAAAGGTCCTTTACATGGGATGACCATTGCTCGGAAAACCACTAAAAGATGATATTTCCCAACTAAACGGGAGAAGTTACCATGGAGTATTGATCAACCCCCAACCTCCGGTCAGGTTTCCATGTGGGAGTAGCACCGTTTGAGCAGCTGATTGGTCAGGTTCCATGTTGCCGGGTCGCGCAAGTTGCTCAGCTAAATGGACCTCAGCGAGTTTCCTTCCCTAGAAGGGAACACATGTCATTTCAAGAGGACGGGTCTATTGGCCTGTCCCCCTCTCCCTAAGCCCACCCTAAACGTGCCCCAACCCCATCAACCTGGGGTAGCAACACCAACCTTCATATTGGAAGCAAAAGGTCACTGGCCTTTGAATCGCCCCAGGCGGTTGGTCCCAGGTTCACCTCGGGAACCTAATGTCCCCCACCCCCCCCACCCCCCCTTCCCCCCCACCCCCACCTGACTCCTCCCCTACCGCCCCCAAACCGATGTGCTTTTAACCCCCCCCCAAGCGTCAGGTTCCACCCCCCGACCCCCCCAACCCCAACCCCAACCCCCAAACCAAATTCTACCAAGCCCAAGACCGAAAAACCGCCACCCGCCGGGCCAGAAAAACGAACCGCAACCGGCGAGTCAATTTCCAGGGCGCCTTGGCCGAGTTCCAGGGCCTCAAGGCCCTCTCCGTGGCGCCGGCGAAGGCGGAGGCGCCGGGGGAGTTTTTTCGAGCGGCTTGGCCCGGAAGGCTTCGAAACATTTGGATTCCTTTCGGTAGAGGGAGGTCCTTGTGGTTTTTTGGTTTCTGTGTTCTGGGGCAAGGGTTTTGCTTTGTTTGGGGAGTCCATGGCAAGGGTTTTCCTTTGGTTTTCCCTTTGGATACCCTGTTTTTGGTTGGCGGCCCGGGAAAATGGTCCCTTCGACATGGCTCGAACGGTCGGGTACCCTTCCACGACCGTGATTGCGGGCGGAAGGGCATGGGCATGAGCAATCGTGGCATCTGCCGGGCTTCGGAGGCGATTTTTGCCATTGTTCTAGGGGTTGATTCCCCGTTCTTTTCAACCATCGTTCTTTTCAAAAACCGATCGCTGTTTCGCCTGGGTTTTTGGAGGTTTCTTAGAAAGAAGGATGCCTGGAAAGAATGGAAATGGACGGTCCCCCTAGAATTGTTGTCCACTTCCATGGTTGGAAAGCGGCCTACTGCAGGTGGGTTGCCTGGCTTGCGCTCCACAAAAGCCAGCGAAGGGATGCATCCCATGTTGAAAAAACCCGGGGGAAGATGAGAAGGCCGGGCGCTGAAAGGGCAGCTTCTTTCTTCTTCTTTGTGGTGGTTTGCAGCCGAGCGCTGGGACATCTTCTTGACAGGTCTTGCTCTTGCCGGGGGTTTTTGAGTCTTTTTGAGGGCACCACGTTTCTGGCGCGCTGCTTCAAGGGGGAGAAAAAAAAACCACGAAGACGAAGGCGCCGCAAGACCCTTGCGGGCCTGGGCTTTTCTCGTATCGCGAGACGCAGGGGCCAGGCTGGAAGCCACGGAGCTACGCCCGAGCTTCGGTCAAGGGATACAGCGAGAGCGGACATGCACTTCTTTTTTTTTAGTATATATATATATATAGCAGCTTCAAACCTTCACAGCTCTTGGCATTTTTTGTCTTCTCATTTCTTTTTCTTTCTTTTTTTTCTTCCTTATCTTCAGCAGCTTCAACTTCACAGCTCTTGGCATGTTCTGTCCTTTTTTGTTTACCCTTTTTTTTCTGTTCATGTTTAGTAGGGGTCCGCAAAAAAAAAAAAACACGCATCTTCTCGCACCCATCCCAAGGGTTGCGAAGTGAAGCGGAAGGTTTCATGACTGACAATCAATGCGTCTTCCCACTGGACTCACATGGTGTCACTTGCGTCGCACATGTGGCCGTGGTTTGTCAAAACCAAGAGGATCCCATTTTGGGGGTAGGTGAATTCACCACCCAATTTTTAGAACCTATTTTAGTGGTTGGATTGAATCGGATGCTCCCCGCGGTTACGTACGATTTGGGTTTTGACCCATGGCCATGTCTCACGCAATCCATCAGTGTCACCCGCAGGTCGCACAAGGGACGCTGCTTTTCCAGCAAGTGATCACTGCGACTACTTGCAGGAATGACCCCAATAAACAATCTCTTGTGGTTTTCTTTAAGGGAATCCCCAAGTTCATTCCCTCATTCTCTACTGAGCACCAGCAATACTATCCGTGATCATCTTTCTTACACTGCGAGTCACGGCATCTTGTTCGAGCCACACGTTTGGCTATCTCCGCCCATTGCAAGCTCCACAAGCTCTGCGTGTTTTTGGTGTAGACCAGAAAACGGCTATACCCTGACCAACGTTTTTTTTTGTTGGTTTAGATCAGCTGCCCCAAATGGACCTCCCCTGTAGTCCGCGAATCGTGCCTTGCAGCTTGCAGGCTGGAAGCGTGGCTGCGGAGTCGCGACCTTGACATGTTGATGCAGGGTCTGTCTCAAGATATGGGCTCCAACCAGATAGTCAGGACCACCCCCCTATGAATAAACAGAAGAGGTGCAGTGTTTTGTAGCATTTTTGATGTTATAATCACATCCCCACCAACACTCGGTCTCTTAACAAGCAGGTCCCCCCCCCCCCCCCCAGATTTCTCGTTAGGGGGTACCCCGACAAGCGGAGTCAAGTTCCAAAGTAGCTACCTTTTGGTGGTTCTGGCACAAGAATAGCTCATCTACCAGGGAAACCCATCTATTTCCCCCAAAATTTCAAAAGGACACCTATGGCAGTGCTGCTTTCTCGGAGCGCGGGATATGGGGATGTTATCGGGAAGTTCTTTTTTTTTTCTTCCGCGCTTCGAAGGGAGGGTCCAGGGCGGATCTCCACGGAAGCAAGCCAGCCACACATGGCTGGGGGTCAAACCCAATGGTCATCTTGGGGTTGGTGTACCCATTTTAGTCTATTTTAGTGGGGATTGGGATGCTCACTGGGAGCCACAGTCGAAACCTGGGTAGGTGAAGGTTAGAAAGGGACGATCCCAGGCATAAATAGCTGCCGCCTTCCTACGTCTTCACATAGTTCTGGGTAGACCCTTCTACTACCGGGGTTTGACTATGACTCACATGAAAGCCACGCGTCCTTTTTCTTCGGGGCCGAGTGAGGTGAGTCAATGAGCCGACCATCCAGGGTTATGCATCCATAGATGCGCTTTGCAGCCTCCCTTGCCGAGACAGAAGCAAAAACACGTGTTTGCGCTTGTTGTATAAGACGCGCTCTTTTTTTTCGTATTTTCAGGGGACGGCCGCAAATTCCGGTAGCGCATGGCGATCCTACGTGAACCATGGGCGGTGTAAATTTGCATGCCAGCGTCAAGCGTTTGGCTAATTCGACCTGAGAAGGGCACTGCGGGGCGATGCCCATTTGCTCAGAGATTCTGTCCAATTCATGCCGGAAAAAAAGAAAGCGCGCTAACTTCACTGTTTTGCTGCATCTGCATTTGATGTTTTCGAACACGAGTTTGTCGGCATATTCTGGACATGGTTACATTGTGTGCCAGTGGCCGGATCATAGTCATTTAGCCAAGGGCGATGGCTTGACGTGGGCCGGTGTCACATCGACGCTTCTTCCACTGGCGGCAGGTTGACAAGCCGAAACCGCCGTTTCTCTTTGCCTGGACATCAGATTTAGGGTGGGAGGACCTTTGTCTGACCTTGTGCTAGTATATAAATCCTTGCCATGCAACTCGAACATCCTTTGCCCCAATGTCAAGGCAGCTGGATTGGCTGAACTCTCCCATTCACATTCACTCGCAATTGTAGCTTTGGTGCATTTTGCTTGGATGTTAGGACTTCAACTTTTTGCCAACTCACGTTTTGTTCCCTTTTCCGAGTTAAACCACTAACAGTTATTTTCACTTTCAGCAGGGGAGCAGAAAAACGCCGCCGAGGTAGATCATACCAAAGGTCCTTTTTCGACGCCCCCCGATGCTCTCGCTGCCCTTTGCCGGGCACCGCTGGCAATGTGCCCAGGGCCCCAAGGACCGAACCGGGGAGGGAGAAACCAAGAAGAGTCCACAAATGGCCGTGGTGGTGAAAAAACCGGTGCTAAAATGGGTTGGAAAGTGGAAACATGGACCAACTGCGGTCAAAAAGCCGGAATTCCAAAATGGGTTGCCCGATCGGTAAGTGGAAACATGGGTACCAACCTGCGGTTTGCCCCGATCGTCTAATTTTGAGCCACACCCAAATGGCTGTGGTGGTAACCCAGGCAATTTTTGCGGCAAATGGAGGTTCCACCCCAAAATGGATCGCCATAGGTTATGCAACTCATGGCCACATGGAACCCAAAAACCTCACACGACCGAATTCACCCCAAATGGTGGGTGACGTGGGGGAATGGCCCCCCAACCACCTTAAGTTTCAGGCTGGTGAAATATGAAAATTCACCCAGATAGCATCCAAAAGGGCTGGCCGCTGGGCAGAGGGAGGCCACCACAAAGGGAGTTGGTCAGAAGGAGGCTTCCTTTTTCTCGCTTGCACCTGACACTTGCGGAGGGTTGCGGAAGGAATCGGCAAAACCAATGGCTCCATCTCGACTGCGAAGTGGGGATGGGACCCGCAAGTCTGCCTGTTTTCATCCATTCGTCCCCTTGAATTGGTTGCATGTTGCATTTTTGGGGCTCTCAGGCTCTCAAACTTACTGGGTGGTGGGTTTCCCTTTAAGGAAGCTCGCCCCGAAGTCACGTCCAGTTGATGTCAACATGTGGCCTGTGGGTCCCAAAGGCCAATGTGAGGACCTGCCTTTCGCGTCGGTTAGGAGCAGAGGGGGGACTTCTTCCCCCGCTGGGCGTCGCAGCTCTTTGGGCCTTTCCGCCCAGGCTCGTTCTTACCGCGCGCGAAGCGGCGCGGTAAGCGGCTAAGAGCGCGCGAAGCGGTTGGAGGCGAAGAAGCTGGCACGCCGGAAAACAAAACCCAGGTTACAGATTCCGGACACCTTCTGGAAATTGAGTAAAAATCCTTACATAATCTGTTTGGGTAGTTCCAAAACTGGACCACCTTACAAATTGCAGAAACACCAGACAAATTCCACCACCACCAAACCGCCTTACAGGCAGCACCGTACAAACACCACCCTACAAACAAGAATTTTCATCAGATTACAAAAACCACTTACAAAAAATGGGGGTTGATCAGAAGGTCCAATGGAGATGGGATGATCACTGGGGGAAACCTCCGGAAAAAAAGGTGATATTTTTCGACAGGGGAAAACCAAACCTATGGGGGTTGATCCGTATTCCCTTCGGCCCACAAATGACCAAGGGCAACTTTTCTCATGGAAGCATCAAATCTTCTTCTCCTGGTTTGCCAACCAATAGTCATCCCATGTCCGCTAGACCTTTTGATCAAACCCTACATGCATGCCGAGACTCACAAATGCACAAACACAAGCTCACAAGCTCACAACCACACAACCACACAACCACACGACACCACGGCCGCACAGCCACACAACCAAACGAACACACGAAAACACCAGCACACAAGCACAAGCACACACACACACAAGCACATAAGCGCACAAGCACGCAAGTACACAAGCACGCAAACACAAGCACGCAAGCATAGAAAAACACACACACACAGACAAACACACGCAAGCGCACGCAAACACACGCAAGCACACACACACATGCAAGCACAAAAACACGCAAACACGCAAACACACACACACACAACCACACACACACACACCACACACAAAAGCACAACACACACAAACACACGAACAAACGACCATACACACTCACAAGCACACAGACACACACACACAAACAAACACACACACACACACACACACAGACAAGCACACACACACAACACAAACAAGCATACACAGACACACAAACACACAGACGCAAAGCAAGCAAACACGCGACAACACACACAAACACACAAACAGAGAAGCACACAAACACAAACACAAAAACAGAAACAAACACAGAAACGCACAAACAAGCACACAAACACACAAATACACAAACACACAAACACACAAACACACAAACTAACAAACAGACAAACGAGCAAGCAAGCAAGCAAGCCAGCAAGCAAGCAAGCGAGCGAGCAAGCAAGCAAGCACATCAACAAAGAACAAACCATCACAAACAAGCAATAGCAATCAAACAAACAGACAAGCAACCAACCAAACAAACAACTAACCAACCAGCCAACCAAACAAACAAGCCAGAAGAAGAGCAAACAAACAGTCAAACAAACAAACACACAAACAAAGAAACAAAAACACAACAACAAACAAACAGACAAGCACACAATCGAACGAACGAACAAACGAACAAACAAACAAACAAACAAACAAACAAACAAACACACACACAAAAACAATCAAACAAACAAACAAACAAACAAACAAACAAACAAACAAACAAACAAACAAACAAGCAAGCAAGCAAGCAACCAAGCAAGCAAGCAAGCAAGCAAGCAAGCAAGCAAGCAAGCAAGCAAGCAAGCAAGCAAACAAACAAACAAACAAACAAACAAACAATCACAACAACAAACAAGCACACAAATGAGCAAATAGACAAACGAACAAACAACAACAACCAAGCAAACAAGCAAACAAGCAAACAAGCAAAAAAGCAAATAAGCAAACAAGCAAACAAACAAACAAGCAAACAAACAAAAAAACAAACAAAAAAACAAACAATCATACACACCCACAAGCACGCAAACACACACACAAACACACACCCACAGAAACACACAAGCGCGCACAAACTTTCACAACCACACAGCCACAAGCACACAAGCACACAACCAACCAACCAAACAAACAACCAACCAACCAACCAGCCAACCAACCAACCAACCAACCAAGCAAGCAAGGAAGCAATCAAGCAAGCAAGCATAACAAAGAATCAAGCAAGCGAGCAAGCAAAAATAAACAAACAAACAAACAAACAAACAAACAAACAACAACCAAACAAACAAACAAACAAACAAACAAACAAACAAACACACAAACAAACAAACAAACAATCAAACAATCAAACAAACAAACAAACAAACAAACAAACAAACAAACAAACCAAATAATTAAAACAAGCAAACAAACCAATAAACAAACAAGTAAGCAAACAAACACACAAATCAAACACAAGTACACCCACGCAGGCAAACACACATAAACAAACACATACAAACACGCAACCACACAAAGACAGAAACACAAAACACAAAACACAAACACATCCACACAATAGAAACCCACACGGGCACAGAAGCACACACACTAGAAACCCATCCACGCAAACACGAAAACAGCACAAACACAGACGCGCGCACACACACACACACACACACACACACACACGCGCGCACGCGCGCCCACGCACGCACGCACGCGCGCACGCACGCGCGCGCGCGCACGCACGCACGCACGCACGCACGCACGCCTGCCTTGCCCGCAGCATCCGCACGCCCGCCGCCCGCCCGCCCGCACGCACGCACGCACGCCCGCCCGCCCGCCCGCCTGCCCGCACGCACGCACGCACGCACGCACGCACGCACGCACACACACACAGACACACACACGACACACACACACACACACACCCACCCACCGACCCACCCACCCACCCACTCACCCACCCACCCACCCACGCACGCACGCACGCACGCACGCACGCACGCACGCACGCACGACCACGCACGCACGCACGCACGCCCACGCACGCCCACGCACGCCCCACGCACGCCCCACGCACGCCACACACACACACACCCACACACACACACACGCACACGCACACGCACACGCACACGCACACGCACACGCACACGTGCACGCGCACGCGCACGCGCACGCGCACGCGCACGCGCACGCGCACGCGCACGCTCACGCGCACGCACGACGCGCGACGCGCGACGCGCGACACGCGACGCACGACGCACGACGCACGACGCACGACGCACGACGCACGACGCACGACGCACGACGCACGACGCACGACGCACGCACGCACGCACGCGCGCACGCACGCACGCACGCAGCACGCGACGCGCGCACGCGCGCACGCTTTACGCGCGCTACGCACGCGGCACGTGGCGCGCACTGCGCTGCAGCCGCTAACCGCGCACGGGCGCATTGACAGCGCGACGCGCACGCTGCCCGCCGGCCCGCGCATCCGCTGCGCGTTGTGCGTGTCCACATCGTTCCCGTGGCGGCTCGTGGCCCGCAGCACGGTGCACCGCCGCTCCGCCGCCCGCCCGCCCGCGCCCGCCGCCCGCGTGTCCGCGCCCTGCTTTTGCTGTTGCCGCTTCGGGGCGCGCGGCTGCCGCGCGCTTGTTTGATCCTTTTTCTCCGCGCCGCTGGCTGCGCGCACTGCGCCGCGACGCGCGCGGACGAGCGTGCGCGCTTTTGCGCCGACGTAACGCACCGCGCTTTCTCACCCTGGCCCGCCGCGCCCGCCGCGCGCGCCCTGCGCCCCGCCACGCCCGCGCACGCGCACGCGCACGCGCACGCGCACACGCACACGCACACGCACACGCACGACCACGCACACACACACACACACACACACACACACACACACACACACACACACACACACACACACACACACACACACACACACACACACACACACACACCCACCCACCCATCCACCCCGCACACCACACCACACCACCCACACCACCCACACCACCCACACCACCCACACCCACCCACCCACACCCACACCCACACCCACACCCACACCCACACCCACACCCACACCCACACCCACACCCACACCCACACCCACACCCACACCCACACCCACACCCACACCCCACCCACACCCACACCCACACCCACACCCACACCCACACCCACACCCACACCCACACCCACACACACACACACACCCACACGCACACGCACACGCACACGCACACGCACACGCACACGCACACGCACACGCACACGCACACAGACACTTTCGTTTAGAAGCACTGGGAGTCCCTTCCGTAGGCGACGTGGTGGCAGTAGATCAGCACACCAACCAGCGGCACCTGCACGCGGAGGTGGTCCGAGAACTGGTGGAAGGCAGGTGCTTTGGATTGGGATTTTGGAGTTGGGGGCGTATCAGTTTGCCCTGCCCCCAAATGAAGATGGCCAACTTTTCCATGTGGGAAGTATCGGTTTTTAGCGGTTTTTCCCCAATGGGCGTCCCATGTAACGAACTTTTTGATCAACACCCGTTTGTCAATGTCCTCTTTATGTAGGTGTTGGATCTCGCCAGAGGCTTGTGCTTTTGCCCCAGAACCGCAGCAAATGGAAGCCACCAAGTTCAATTCAAAACCAGCAAGTCGAACCACTACGAGTGAAGCTTTTCACCGGAGGATCAACAGGAAGGTCCCCCAGTAGTGCCCTTTTACCCTTTTTGGGGGAGGGTTTAGCTACTAAAAAAGACTACCGAGAAAGAAAAAAATAGTAAAAACAAGTTGGTACCCTTATTCTAACCTCTTTACTGGAGGACCTAGTCGTTTGAGCCATGGTTTGAAGCACGCTGTTGAACAACAGCTTTTGGGATTTTCATTTGCCCAAAGCGAATCGACCTTTCGACCTTGTCTGGTTTTCCCGTTTTGGGAACCATATTTAGTGGCCCCAAAATGTGATCAAGGGAGTTTTGGGACACATGGCATATGGGGGCCTTCTCAAAACGGTTGACACCCCTTTTGGTTAGGAAGCCACACAAAGAAACCAACTGGGACCTGCTTAACGCCCAGAATGGTCTTTTGGTTAGTACTCAACGGGAAACCAAAGGAAACCAACTGATTTCGGGGACCCCTGATTAAGGCCTGTTTGCGTACTCGACGGAAGGTCTGGAGCACGATGAGCTCTTCAGCGGGTTGCTGAGGAGATGCGAGCCACGCGGCGCGGGTAGCGGGTAGCTGACGGGTTTCGCATGGGAGGCGGAGAGTTTCACCCATTTGGCTATGAGTTTTAGCAGGGAACCCCCTCCAAGGTGATTGGTGGACATGGATTTCCACCGAATTCTGATGTCCACCATTTCGGGTCCCCGATCAAAATTCAGTCCCCTTTAGGTCTGCGTTCTGTGGGAGGGCACTCCGGATTCTCGATTTCTCCTTGGCCCTTGGCGGCGAGGATCCTCCGCTCTGGCCCGAGTTGTCGAGTTGTGTATGGCTTTCCAGGCTTGTTTCAAAGGGAGCCAAAAAATAAAAGGCAAGCCACCATATGGCCATGGGTCAAAAGCCCAGTTACTCTCAGTGAACATCCGATTCAATCCAACCACTAAAATAGGTTCCAAAATGGGTGGTGAATTCCCCTGCCCCACAATGGGATCCCATTGGTGTCGAGCCACAGCCATATTTTGCGGTCCCCCAAGTTGACGCATGACCATCTCGACAAGCGAAGTCCAGCGATGCAAAAAAGCTCAGGTTTCCATTGCACCAGAATCCGAAGTGCACTGAACCCTATTTGCCTTTTGCGCGAAAGTCCAAAACAAGGTCTGACTCTCGCATGCATTTTCCCTGAGATGACCATCGCCATAGCCTGCCTTGCGACCTCCATTACGCTTTGCCAGGTGCCTGAAGGTGCAACAGGGTGTGTGCCCCTGTCTAGGTGGTCGGGTTGGAAGGGGAACATGTGTAGGCATTGAGTGGTTGGACTCCAGTGCAAGTTTAGAACCCATGAACCTTTTGGGCACTCTCAAGACCGGATCTTAGCAGCATTCGTCTTCTTCCTCTGCGACACGTGTCCTTTCCAAGGCGGTTCCCCGTGTACTGACCAGTTTGCCATCCCCCACTTGTGTGACGCAAGAAATCTCCCCCTCTATATGGGGGGGTCAGTCTTTGGGAAGCCCTTTTTTGTTGTATCACAGAAAAAGAAAAGAAAACAACCAACGCATCACAACAAAAAGCATCAAAAACAACACATTTCCCACCGCCCTGACCCAACGCGGAAAAAACAAAGAATTAAAACAGGAAAAAAAGCAACTTCCGGCCGCTGGCTGCCTCTGCCCGGAGCCTCGCCCATCTGCTGCAGCGAGGCTGCTGCTGCGGCTGGGCGACGGCTCGCTGCGGCAGATCCCCCGGCGGCGCTGCGTGCGGGTCTTCGCGCGCGACGAAAACGAGCGGCGCGTGTTGCTGGTGCACGAGACCTTCGCCTACCGGCGGCTGGCCAAGACCCAGGTGGGCCAGGCGATGGATGGGGGGGGGGAGGTGGGGAGGTGGGGAGGTGGGGTGGGGAGGTGAGGTGGGAGGTGGGGGTGGGGAGGTGGGGGAGGTGGGGGAGGTGGGGGAGGTGGGGGAGGTGGGGTGAACCTCCAGGGTGTCATCTCCATCGGCTCACCCATCTCAGGATCTTCTCCCTCGTCCGCCACCAGCTCGCCCCCGGCCAGCGCCCGGCTCTTGGGCTCATAACCTGCAAACCTCCAGGGCGTCTTTTCCTTTTGGGAGGTGGGGGGTGGGGAGGTGGGAGGTGGGGGAGTGGGGAGGGGGGAGTGGGGGGGAGTGGGGGGGAGTGGGGGGGAGTGTGGGAGTGGGGGAGGTGGGGGAGGTGGGGGGGGGGAGGGGGTGGGGGTGGGGGGAGGTGGGGAGGTGGGGGGGGAGGTGGGGGGGGGCCATGAGTGGAGCTGGTGAGGCGGCGGAGGACGTTTGGTGAGTTTTTTTCGTGCCGTTTTTTGGTGCGTTGCCGTCTCCTGTCAGGACGAGAGCTGGGGGTGGTGGGAGCCTCCCCAGGCCCGGTTTCGCTCGCCTTTTTTCTTCGTTTTTTTCTCGTCTGTCAGGAGTGGGACGGCTCCGGCGGTTCCGTGCCCGCCAGGAGGCGGCCTGGAGGCCGAGCCGCAGGCGCGCTCGATCGGTCGCCTTTTTCTCGGTTTGCGTCGCTCGCGGAGGCCGCCGCCATCAAAGCTCCGCAGGGAAGCGGAGCACAACGCCGCCAAGGCCCGTCTTTTCCCTTCGTTTTTCCATTTTTTCCGCTCGCCTGGCAGGACAGGGCGCGCGTTGAGCTCGCCATCAAGGCGCGTTCTTCGCCGTTCGGATGTCGGCCTTTCTTTTTTTTCTTCCTGTCAGGACGAGCGGCTCACCGCGGCGGAGACCCGTGCTTCCACCGCGGAAGCGCGGGTCTCAGTTTTGGAGGCAGAGAAGGCGCGACCTTTTTTTTCGGGGTTGGGCGGGACCCGCAAATCCGTTTTGCAGGCGGCATTGATGGAGGAGCTCGCCGCGAAGGCCCGTTTCCCTTCCTTCTTTTCCCCCCCTTTTTGGGGGTTTTTTCCTTGTCAGGCCACTCGCGTGGCCGTGCTCGAAACCGAGCTCCGCGGCGAGAAGGTTTGGACCCAAGGCTTTCAGGCCCGCTGCCGGGCGTCTTTTTTTTCGTCTTTCCTGCCCCCCGTTGCGCCCCGCCAGGCGGACGCTCGCGCGCTCCGGCTGGAGCTGGAGCGCTTGAAGGCTCATCCGTCGACCGTTGAAATCGATCGGCCTCGCTTTCGTTTTTTTTTTCGAACCGTCGCGCTCGATCCCCCGCAGGACAGTGAGCCCGACGCGGCGCACGACCTCGACCCGGAGGAAAAAGCGCTTGGGCCCGCGGCCTTTTTTTGTTGTTGTTTTTTTCCAGTGCCGAGCGGGCACTTAGAGGAGTGCCGAGCGGGCACTTAGGAGTGCCGAGCGGGCACAGTGCCGAGCGGGCACTTAGGTAAACGTGCCGAGCGGGCGCTCTAGGTTAGGAGTAGGCAGTGCCGAGCAGGCACGCGGGCACGGTGCCGAGCGGGCACTTTAGGGTAGGAGTGCCGAGCGGGCACAGTGCCGAGCGGGCACGTAGGATAGTACGGATTCGCCCAACGACTCATAGTACGAGTTCGCCCAACCCTTAGTACGAGTTCGCCCAACGACTTATAGTGTGGGGTACTGAGGGAGCTCGGGGTTTTTTAGGCCCTTATAGGAACCTATAGGAACCTATAGGAACCATTTAGGAAACCCATAGGAAACTCATAGGAAGTCCATAGGAAGCCATCTTCTTCTTTTCCTATGGACTTCCTATGAGTTTCCTATGGGTTTCCTAAGGTTCCTATAGGTTCCTATAAGGGCCCCTCAGGCAGGCGCCTGGTGGGTTTGGCTTGGTCGTCGTGACACCCAGCCAGACGAAGGGTGCCGGGAGCTCGGACTTTTTTTGCACCCTTATAGGAACCTATAGGAACCTATAGGAAACCTATAGGAAACCCATAGGAATTCCATAGGAAAATGAGAAGAGGGTTGCTATGAGATTCCTATGGGTTTCCTATGGGTTTCCTATAGGTTTCCTATAGGAAAGAGACTTCATTCCACTGCTGGATATATTGGCGCGCAGTTCCGCCGGCGGAGAGGTGTGAGGTGGGGGAGAGGTGGGGGGGGAGAGGTGGGGGGGGAGAGGTGGGGGGGGAGAGGTGGGGGGGGAGAGAAGTGGGGGGAGAGGTGGTGGGGGGAGTGGTGGGGGAGAGGTAGGTGGTGGGGGGGAGAGGGGGGAGAGGTGGGGGGGAGAGGTGGGGGGGAGAGGTGGGGGGGGGCGGGTGGGGGGGGAGAGGTGGGGGGGGAGAGGTTGGGGGGGGAGAGGTGGGGGCGGAGAGGTGGGGGGGGAGAGGTGCGGAGGAGGTGGGGAGAAGGAGGGTGGCTTGGGTCTTGTGTTTTGGTACGTTTTTCCCTTGTTTGGGGGGGAATCCCCTAAAAAAGGACACACCCGCTTGTTTTGGCGACTGGTCGTTCTTTCTGTTTTTCATCTTTTTTCCCACACTATTGTGTGGGGTTATTTTTCCTTGCTTCCATTCTTGAGGTGGGCGGTTAGCTGAAAGCTGCAAGTGGTTCTGACATCCAAAGAGGGCCCGGCTGTTCTGCGAGTTCAGGCCAGGTGTTGCAGGGGCCGGTCGGGCCGTTTGGCGTGCTCAAGGTCTCAAGGTCTCAAGGTGCAGTGGCAGTTGCTGGTGGTTGTTGGTTGGTGGCGGTGTCCCCCTCGCCCCCAAACACACAACAAACACCACGGATTCCCTCTTAAATGGGACACCCCCGTGTGAGTTGCCTGAAGGAATGGGGTACGTCATGTGGGGTGGTAGTAGCCATCTACTTTGGGACTTATACACATGACAAGCGGATTGTATCCATGCTTACCAACCACTCGCTAAGTACTCCATCCCTTTTAAGTATGGCAGACACATGGGGGACGAAGCCCGCCCAAGGGCCTTCTAGAGCCTTTGTCAGGTTTCATGTTAGTTGACAGGGTCTTGACTTTTGAGGTGCTGCGGGTTCCGCCGTCGTTTTCTTTTGTTTTGGGTGGGTTTCATTGCGAGGGTTGCACCAATGGCCTCGGAAAGTGCGGGGTAAGTGGTAAGTGTGAAACGAGACTAAAACAAGGGACTTGGTAGAGGAATCAGTGAACACCACGGGTTGGTGCCATTTTGCAAACTGTAGGGGAATCAGTGAAAAACCTAAACACCACGGGTTGGTGCCATTTTGCAAACTGTAGGGGAATCAGTGAAAAACCTGAACACCACGGGTTGGTGCCATCTTGCAAACTGTAGAGGAATCAGTGAAAAAACCTAAACACCACGGGTTGGTGCCATCTTGCAAACTGTAGAGGAATCAGTGAAAAATATCCTAAACACCACAGGTTGGTGCCATCTTGCAAACTGTAGGGAAATCAGTGAAAAAAACCTAAACACCACAGGTTGGTGCCATCTTGCAAACTGTAGGGAAATCAGTGAAAAAAACCTAAACACCACAGGTTGGTGCCATCTTGCAAACTGTAGGGAAATCAGTGAAAAAAAGCTAAACACCACAGGTTGGTGCCATCTTGCAAACTGCAGGGAAATCAGTTGAACAAAACTAAACACCACGGGTTGGTGCCATCTTGCAAACTGCAGGGAAATCAGTTGAACAAAGCTAAACACCACGGGTTGGTGCCATGTTGCAAACTGTAGGGGAATCAGTGAAAAAAACCTAAACACCACGGGTTGGTGCCATCTTGAGAACTGTAGGGGAATCAGTGCAAACAACCTAAACACCACAAGTTGGTGCCATCTTGCAAACTTTATGGGAATCAGTGAACAAAACCTAAACACCACGGGTTGGTGCCATCTTGCACCACGGAATGGTGCCATCTTGCAGACTGTGAAAAAAGACCTAAACACCACGGGTTGGTGCCATCTTGCAAACCGAATCGGTGAAAACAAACCTAAACACCACAAGTTGGTGCCATCTTGCAAACTGTATGGGAATCAGTGGGAAAAACACCTAAACGCCACGGGTTGGTGCCATCTTGCACCACGGGTTGGTGCCATCTTGCAAACTGTATGGGAATCAGTGGAAAAAACCTAAACACCACGGGTTGGTGCCATCTTGCAAACTGTAGGGGAATCAGTGAAAAACAACTAAACACCACGGGTTGGTGCCATCTTGCAAACTGTAGGGGGATCAGTGAAAAAACCTAAACACCACGGGTTGGTGCCATCTTGCAGACTGTAGGGGAATCCAAGCTGCACACTGCTGGTGCCAAAGAGTGAGAACGGACGTCGCAGGCGCCTGCCAAGTTCTTATCCCGCGCAGGCGGATGCGGTGCTCGAGATCGGCTCTTCCTTCGGAGATGCTTGGTAGTGAGGGACACGGAGAGTCGCCTCAGAGCTTGACTGCTATTGGGTTGCATCTTTAGACTTTAACTTTTTGGCTGAAATCAATGGGTTTTCCACTAATCCTACAAAAAGTTCAACTTTTTGCAGAGGGGTCGTTGCAGCAACAAAGAGAGAGTCTCCACAGGTTCGGCGGGTTTCGCAATGACTTGGCTTTAGGACGGAGAGGGATGATGCCAACGAGTCGTCGTCTGATGGTCCCGGGGCTGGATCTTTGCGATATTTGAAGGGAATTTAGGCAGCACACGGACGCTTGGTTTGAAAGCATACAGCATCTTCAAGGATGGACAGTCGCATCCTAAGACCACAGGAAGCGTTGTCAGATTTCCAGATCGGGCAGTCGCCAAACGCAGATTCTATGCCAGAGTTCGCGCCGTTCTTTTGCGAACCACGTGGTGTGTGGAAGCGAGCAATAACTCTTGCTGTTCGGAACTGCATGTAGCTTATTCTCCAATCAGAATACTTTTCAAAGGCGCCGAAAAAAATCGATTCAGCTCTCGGATTTGGTTCCAGGCGCCAAACCCGCCGAATCCGAACCGAATCCGAAGTGAGTGCCGGCCAAACCGAACCCCAATCCGAACCCCAACCGATTTTCTCGCCGACTCCGAACCCGCCAAACCCGAATCCTGTGAGTGCCGGCAAGGAGTGCACTCACATCCTGGCCTCCCACGCGCGCGAGGTGCTGGGCATCGACAACAGCCCAGAATTGGTGGAGGCGTGCGGGGAATGTTCTGGGGATCGCCGCAAGCTGCAGCCAGCTCTGCAGCTCTCTTGGCGTCTCTGCGTTTGGTTTGTTCTAGGGTGGTTCTGTACCCCTTGGTTTCCACTTGGCTCTGTTTGTTTGTTTGTTCGAAGGGTGGTTCTGTACATACCCCTGGGTTTCTTTGGTTTCGAAGCCGCTTTACAAGGGGTACATACTCCTTTTGGGGAGAGGGGGAAGGGAACATGAGCAAGGCTTGTAGGTTCATTTGCCCAAGGGGCATGTAAAAGGCGTATGTACTAGCGCCCCTGGATTTTTGTTTGTGTGTCTGTGTGTTTTCTTTGTTCTCTGTTTTGTTTGTTTCTCCCCGTCTCTGTGTCTTCCGTCTCTCTCCTCTGCTCTCCTCTGCTCTCCTCTCCTCTCCTCTCCTCTCCTCTCTTCTCCTCTCCTCTCCTCTCCTCTCCTCTCCTCTTTTGTTTTTTCCCCCGCTTGCCTTTTTTCCCGTCTTTTCTTTTCTTATCTTTTATATCCTTTCCTTTCTTTTTTGTTCCTTCCTCTCTTCCTTTCTTCCCGTCGTCCTGCTTTTCTTCCTTTCTCCCTTTCTGTTTCTTTCCTTTCTTTCTTTCTTTCTTTCTTTCTTTCTGTATTTCTTTCTTTCTTTCTTTCTTGCTTTACTTTCTTTCCTTTCTATCTTCCTTCTTTTACTTCTTTTTTGTTTACTTGTTTATTTGTTTGTTTGTTTCTGCCTTGCTTTCTTCCTTTCTTTCTGCCTTCGTTCCTGCGTTCTTTTTTTTCTCCCTTTTTTTTTTCTCTCTCTCTCTCTCCCTCTATTTCCCTATATTTTCCAATTGTTCTCCCTCTATTGCTCAGTTTCCCTCTCTCTTTCTTTCTACTTTCTACTTTTTTGCCCCTCTCTCTCTCTCTCGCCGTTCATCTCTATTTCTCTCTATTTCTCTCTATTGCTCTTCATTTCTCTCTTCTTCTCTCTCTTCCCCCGTCTCTGTCTCTCTGCTTCTCTCTCGGTGCAAACCAAGACAACCGTGTCCGGGCCCACAGAATGCAGACATGTGCGAAGCAAAAATGGGGGGAACTTCACATTCAAGTCTTCATTCCGGGTGAACCTTTTCCCTGTGAATGTCTATCTTCCCATTCAAATCCTACTCTCCCGCCCGAGACTGAGGGGCCCGGGGTACCCTTCTTCGGGGTCTGTCGGCTGCATCGGCCAAAAAGCAGCCGTTGCGCACATCAAGGGGAAGGATGCCAGCACAAAAAGCTTGGACAGGTCGGAGCCTCCATTTGGAGCTCACCTCAGGAACCCAAGCCCTATGTATGGCAGGGGGGTTGGGGGGGGGGTTATCATTCCCGCACATCATTTTCCTTGGTGGGTAGGTCCCAGAGCACTGAGACCACTGAACCACTGGTGCGGCGAAGCGGCACAGCAAGTCGGCGCCGACTTTCGGCGCCGAAGCGAACGAGGAGAGCCGGCGCCGGTACCCCACGCTGCACTTCGAGCTGCTGGACGCGCTGAGTGAGCCCGAGCAGCTGGCGGAGCTCTGCAGATCGCTCCTCGGCCGATGAACTCGGCTCGGCCGATGGCGCCGGGGGCCGGTGTTTTTTTTTTTCTTCTCCCGAGTTGGAAGGATTTCCTATGAAGAAGCACCTGTGGTGTATCTTAAAGGCATTTTCAGAGGCCTTGGTGATTCCTTACTGAGAGCCTGCATGTGTTGTTTCTGGTACTCTACCACTGCAAAATTGGTCTCTTTTGGGTACAGGGTCGGCGGCGGTAAATGGTGTCTGTTATTCTTTTTCGGCAGTTTTGAAGGAGGGGTTGGGGGGGCGGAGGGGCGGCGGAGGGGCTGAAATGGGTCATGATCTTGCAGGTCTCAGGGCTTTCACCAAAAGGAAAACCGCGCACAAAACATTAGTGGGTTCAACTCATGCGGCACCAAGCATGGGTTCCCAGTTGAAGTTGAACTTGGGACAATTCCCCAAAAGTGGGAATTCCCGGAGAATGGTCGGTGAGTCCCTCTGTCTCTTCAAGGGGGTTGACAACATACTTTGGGGGTGGGAAACCCCTTTGAACTGCCATTGAGTTTTCTTTTTTGAGGATTTCAGTTTGATGGTGACAGCCGATTTTCCGTGTTTGGTCGTTCCAAACCTCCTCACCTTTTGGGCGGGGTGATGTAAAAAGGGTGGACATGTAGGGATAAGGTTCCACAAGCGGATTCTGAAATCTGCGTCAAGTACAGCGGGGACATGTGTTTGGTGGAAGAAAGCTAGTTTCAGTGGGACAGCCCACGAAGGCGCTAGCGTTTGACTCTTGGCTCTGGCAACGCCGTGCTTCAAAAATCAGCCACTTGTCGAAGCACGGTACGGCTCAGCGGGAAAAACAGACGAGAAAAACAACCAGCAACTACACTGCTAGATCGAGGGTATATACGCCGCTTTGGCCGTGGAGGTTTGCGGATAGTGCAAATTCTCTACTTCTCCTCCAAATGGAACCAGCGGGCTGGTGTCTGGGTCAAAAGCTTTCTCCGAAAAAGTGTCGTTAAACCTCGGTATTTTTGGCCCTCGCAGCTTTCATGGATGCTAGCCATTTGAATCAGTTCGCCAAGACCAGGAAAACGTCATAGCAGCGGCTGAACTGCTCGCTGTACCTTTTCGGGCCTCGCTTCTTTTTTCGCGGATCAGATTTGCGACAGCCGGGGAAAGCGAAGCGGCCTTTGGGCACATTCGGACGCCGGGACGTGCGAAGCTCGATCTTCTGGGGCGGTTTTTTTGCAGTGTTCCGATGGAATATCACGGGTTCCGATGGGGCTGAAAATCCAGACGTCGGGATGTGTGAACCACTCGTGACCACCCCTCTTGGCCCAGCCAGCCTTGGCTTTCCATAGACTTTGAAGTCCTTCGACCCCTGTACATAGGTGTCCTTTTTAGTCTAGTGTGGTTAAAAGTCGATGGGGTCCCACGGGTTTAGATGGGTTTTATTCCAATTTCCAGGGAGACCCATCTATTTTTCCAAAAGGACACCTTAGAGCCCCTGTAGCTCTGCCTGAATTGAATGGCGCTGCCCACTTTTCTGGGGTGCGAGGAAAGCCCCCGTCGAAATCTTTGGTCAATGTCGGGGGGTGGCGGTGACGTGCTGGCATGATCTCTAAGTTTCCCACACAGCATCAGGTTGTTCAAACCCTCATGCCGCAAGATTCTTATACTGTCTGGGCAGTGCTTCCTTCTTGTGGCGTCCCAGTGCCCCCAGCCAAGATCATGACTTAGGCCTAGGTTGATCCCTCCTTTCGAACAGTCAGTGACTCAGACCGCTGCGCACCGCTGAAAAAAAACGATCAAAGCGCCGCCAGAAATTTGGTCCAACCAAGTTGTTTGGTTTCCCGCGGAACATGAGCCACAATCAAAACCCGGGTAGATGAAGGTTAGTAAGGGCCAATCCCAGCCAGAAATAGTTGCGACCGCCTTCTTAATTCTTGAAGCATGGTTCTGGGTAGACCATGTTAATACCGGGTTTTGAGCAAGTGACTCACACGAGGTTGTCCCAAACCAAGGGCCCAAGGCCAAATTTGTTCCAGACCACATGCCTCAGTGCGTCGCCCACCAAGGCTGTGCGCCGGAAGTGGCGGCGGCTTCAAGGTGGGCGATCTCGGGATTCGCGTGGCGCCACCAGGCGTCATGTTTGGGTTGGTTGGACCCCAATTTGGTTTGTGATTTTCCCCTCCTCCCTCACTTTGTCACAGGGATAAAAATGCCGGTCTTCTGTTTGGAGGGTTTGGGGTTGGGTTGATTTCTATAGGAAGGCCAAAGGGCAGTCATTCCTTTTGGGGCTTTCCCTATTCTACCACGCACATTCTTGCCCTCGATTTTGGGGGACAGACCGACCCCCCGACACGGCAGACGGCAGACGGCAGACCGTCGGCCGACGGCAGGTCTTTGTGGACATCGGTGGGGACCGCCTGGGGGGCGCCGTGTGCCGGGCGCTGGTGCAGCTGTGGCACATCTGCGAGGAGATCGGCGTTTTGCCCAGCCTGGTGGTGGCGTCGGGGCTGAAGGGTCAAAGGGTCGAAGGGGGGAGGGGGTGTCTGTGCAGGTGGACCGAGGGATGTGCGAGACGCAGCGTGGACGGAGCTTCCATCATGGTTGGCAAGGGTGGCTTTGCCACTTACCCTCATTGAACGATCTTTGTTTTTTGCGTTTACACCAACCCCAAAATTGGTATCAACAACAGCACACACCCAACTGAAATCAGGCCAAGCACCTCCGGAATCCTCCCTGAAAGCTGCCCCAGACCACCCCGAACGAGCCTATTTGGGCCTATCGAGCCCCCTGAAATTGTGGTTTCCCCTTAAATTGGTCCAACAAAAAGCACAGACCCAAGTGCAAAAACAACATGAACCACAATAAAACCCGGGTAAATGCAGGGTAGTAAGGGACAATCCCAACCCGAAATGGACTTCCTTTTTTGCTTCGCCGTCTGAATTCTCTAAACTGGTTCTGGGAGTACGACCCGTTTAGTAGCGATCGTTTTTGATTGCGACTCAAATGGCTGTGGCTCAAAGAAGTGGTACCCACTTTTGGGCCCCTTGGACACAGAAGCCAAAGCCTGCGTAACCCCAGCTCCTGAAGTTTGAGCCACAGCCAAACGAACCCGTGCCTCAGGTGAAGTGCAAGAGCCTCGCGGCGAACGCCGCGAACGCCTGTGATGCCCGGGGTGACATCTGACACTCGGCATGAGTATGCGGCGGTTGAGTGTCCCTGGTGAAGTATCTGCTCGTCGTTTTTTGTTTTGAGTGGAGATGGGGGGGGAGGGCCGTGGGATCAAGCCGCCCCACGAAAATGGATCTGGGGGGACATGGTGCGGGATGAGCTTCAAGTGTTCCACGAAAATCAGGTTGTTCAGCATCACTCCGCAAGATCGTTGTGCCTGTAAGTGGTTTTATTTGGTGGACCTGGAACCCCGTTGGTGTCCACCAACGGGTCTGCAATCCGGGTTGTTCAAAGCAAGTCCGCAAGATCCGTATGCCAGATGGTTATTGGTGGCAGCGGCAAGCGGCGAGACGGGAGACATTTTTTTTGTAGGTAGCCTCAAAAGAAGGAAAACAAGGCACCCCAGCAACCTCTTTGCATGTCCGAAACGGCCCTTTCCCCTCTTAACTTGCTGGTGCTCAGTAGGGAATGACCCAGGGTGGTGGGAATGAGCCTAGGGGTCCCCTTAAAGGAAACCACCAGTTGGATGGTTTACAGGGCTCATTCCATTTCTCATTCCCTGCCTATCAAACCAGAAAGCTGCCCTCTTTCAACAAACATGGAAGTAAAAGAGGGTTCCCCAAAAGGAATGCAGTCTTACCGACCTTCCTGTCAGCTTCCGCGATTGTTGAACAGAGGGTGACCATTTGGCTCGGGGCCCATTTCGCCCAATGACCCGGTCGGCCCCATGACCCGCCGCTCGCCGATCCGCCGCATCCGCTCGCGAGCGGCGCTTGCTGAGGCGAGCTGCCGGCCTGGTGGCAGGCCTGCTCTGCGGTGACCAGCGTGCGCCAGAGGAAGAAGCTGGCAGGCCGGGATTGGCTTGGAGGGCTTGGAGGGCTTGGAGGGCTTGGAGGGCTTGGAGGGGTTGGGGGGCTTGGAGTTCTTGGAGGGTTTGGAGGGGGATGAAGGCAACGGGGGGAGAATGAGGAATGGGGGGGGGACCAAAGAAGAGGGAACCCCGGGTTTAAAGGGACACCAAAAGGAGACCGAAACCGAAGCCCATTTGGGGGTGCACCCTGTTTTAAGACCTACAAGGGTTGGGTTGGAACTTGAACCGTTCTTGGGCAGACGGCAGATGCGCTGTTGTTTTTCATTCACCTACAAACCTTGACTGCTGCTGGGTTGGATCTGTAGACTTTAACTTTTTGGTTGAGATCAAGGGGTTTTCCGAACTAAACCCCACAAAAAGTGAAGCTCACTTTTTGCAGACGGGTCGCTACAGCAACAAAGAAGCGCCACATTTCTATCCCTTTTGGGCGGGCAATAGGAAACCACTCCCAGGAAAGCTTGGCTTCAACCCTTGAAAAAAAGTCCGAGTGGAAGGAGCGGAGGCTTGGACGTTTCACTTTTTGGAACCTGTCATGGTCGTTGGGAAACGGCTTTTGCTCATTTTTTTCCGCTTATGGTGGTTTAGTGGTTGAAATCCAAATCCACTTAGCTGCTAAAATTGAGAAATGTTTGCTCCCCTTCCAACATCAACCAAGCTGTACTTGCAGAGAGTACGTCGGTTGCAACCCACTTAGGAGACAAATAAATCCCTGGTGAGTTGCTAAGCGCTCTGCGCCTTTAAGTAGACTTGAACCCAGTGGTTCATTCCCCCCCCCCCCTTCCCCCGAATCCCGGTGCTGAAGTCCATCTTAGGGTCAAAAAGTGGAATTTTGGACCAAACCATGAGCCCGGGCAGGTGGCCTATGGACAGGGAAGAGTTCCGGCGTTCCCGCTCTGACAGGCTGGCATCGCGCGAGGTTTGTTTTCAGCCGAATAGTACACAGTTTGTGCAGCCCCTCGTGTTTCTTTCTTTTTCTTTTTTTCTTCTTCTTTTTCTTCTTTTTCTTTTTTCTTTTCTGACATGCACTATCGGCTGTACCAGCATACATCTCCAAACGATATCACTCACGGGTCTGCTCCCTTGCTTCGTCTCGCCGAGTCCCTGTTCTCGCAGGCAGCCTCGAGACCCTCCAGCCGTAGCAAGCGGCAAGCGGCAAGCGGCAAGCGGCAAGCGGCAACCGGGCTGTCCGAATGGAGAGGCGGGGGGCGCTGGCATTGAAAGCATGGGAGCATCCTGAATTGCCCGTCCGTGACTTTCACCAATTTTAGGCTGTCAAATGAGGAGCCTTGGGCGTCCCTGCAAAATACAGCCCTCCCCCCCTTGGGATTTTTGCGTGACCTGCCATCGGTTTCCGCAGCAAAAAGGCTGGCCCATGCCGGTGCTTTCCCCGGCCGAACAGCTGGCCTCTCAGCTGGGATGCGACGTTTCCCTGGCGCAGGCGGCGCTGAAGGTCTGCCATGGCGGGGTTCCAGCCGCGGCCCAGGTCATCGAGCAGGGCCGCGAGAGGCCCCTGGAGCCCTATGAGGGCCTGGCGCCTGGGCCGTCGCACGGAGATGTGGCCTTCCGACATCCCTGGGTCCGGACCCTGGCGGAGCTGGCCCAAGCGCGCGTGAGGCGGGCGCTGGAGGAGCAGCCGGGGCCGCCGGAGGAGAAGTGGCTCATCTGCATCCGCACCTTTGGCAGGCCTGGCACGCGAGGCTTGCAGAGCGAGCTGCATCGGCTCCTCTTCGGCGCTCTGAAGATGAAACAGGCCAGGATCTTGGAAGAGAAGCTGGAGACGAGCAATCTGACGCTGCTGGCCTTGAGAAGGTTGGCCAAGACCAAGTCGCCGGAGGCCTTCAGACACGCCTTGAAGCAGCGCGGGGTGGGCCGCGTGACTGCGAAGACGGCGCAGGTCCTGGCGGAGAAGCTGTGCGAGCCGTTGGAGGAGGTGGAGAAGAAGCTGGCGCCGGCGGAGAAAGGTCTGCCTGATTTGACCCTGGCGGCTCTGGAGCGGGCCCTGGGGCCTGGGGCCCACAAGCGCTGCTTGATCTTCGTGTCGCACACCGACGCGGCCTGGAGCTCTGGGCAATACGCTGCGGCGCTCAAGAGGCCGTGGGCGGACAGGGTGGTGGTTGGTGTGCGCGGCGCGCATTTGCAGGCGCTCAGCTGGTCGAAAGGTCGAAAGTGCCGTGACATGAAGTCAACATTGTGTGTGTGTGTGTGTGTGTGTGTTGTTCCAGGGAACCTTGGTTGAAAGGGACACCAAAATAAAAACCAACATTTGGAGGGTTGTCGCATTTCGACAAACCCAAATAACTTCCATGTATTGAACCTGGGCTTGCCAGGTTCGCTTCATCGAAGAGGCGGCTCCGGCGGGGAGTCACATCGTGATTATGGACGACAACATCGAGAAGCTGGTGGTGGAAGTGCCCGACGATGCCATCGTGGCTAAGCAGAAGGCAGCAGGGATTCAGGACTGCTACTTTGGTGCAGTTTGCCAAGGGACGTTAAGACTTTCACTTTTTGCCAACTAATGTTGGCTTTTCGTTAAACCACCAAAAGTTGAAAACTTTTAGCAGGGCTTCGCAAAAAGCGACCGAGGCTACACGCTACCGCTGAGTTGGAAAGACTCCATGAGCCCCTTGTGGGGCACCGGCCTGCAGGCGGTGCAAGAATCCGAGGTGCTCTGCTTCTTGCGGTCGCTTTGTCCGGAGCTTGCGCGCTGGAAGGCGACGCGCCAGGTGGAAGCGGCGCTGCGAAACGCCAAAGTCGGGTCCCTGAAGAAGTTCCAGGCCTTGTCTCTTGACTGCCAGTTTGTGGCTGGGGGGGGAGGGGAGGGAGCCCAAATAAGCCCTAAACAAGGCCGAAGAAGAGGGGTGTTTTTGGGCTTCCTCCCCCTTCCCCTCCCTCCCCCCCAGCCCCTATGACTATTGGGTTGGGACTTTAACTTTTTGGTTGAAATCAAGGGGGTTTTCCGAACCAACCCCCCCAAAATTGAAGCTCACTTTCTGCAGGGGGGTCGTTTCAGCACCCAAGGTCTCCGCAACGAGCTCAGGGACTGCTCCGCTGTCTGTCAGCCAAAAAACGCAAGGCCTGCCACGCGGCCGCGAAGGGTCTCGAGGGAAGGATCTCCGACGTGAAGCTTTCGGCGCCGAGGATGCTCGCCAGGCCCGGCGAGAGGACGAGCAAGACGAGGGAACCGGAGCTGTGCCAGCTGATACGGCGTGCGGGACGGGAAATGACACAGCAGGGAGTGCACCTCTGGGGCATCAATCCAACGAGGAACCACTACTTCCTCAAGGGACGCGGTGACGATATGCGGCAAAGGGCCCTTTCGCAGGGAATATTTCAGGACTTTTCGAACAGACTGGGCTTGGTTTACGGTGCGTGGTTTGGCATCCGTGTGACGCACAAGCCACAGCTTTACACCAGACAGGGGCAGATCAAGGATGACGTGGAGCGCACCCTGCGGTATTGGCACCACGACGGCAAGTTGCTGCGGTTTACTCGCTACAGCGCCGACAAGAACAGCTTCAGGCCTGGTCAGTTTGGCTGCAAGAAGGGCGGCATCTCTTCCAGTTCCTCCCCGCAGGCGCACGGCGCCGAGGCGGACGCGGCGACGAGAGCCCTCGTCGCCGAGTTCGGCGCCTACGCTCGCCTGCCCAGGGCGGGCGAAAGGAGCTCCTGCGGCCTCATTTGGACGCCTGAGGTCGAGAGGAGCAAGCCAGCTGTGTCCGATCCGAAGGCCAAAAGGGTGAAAAGAGGTTGATTTCCACTCCGCTGGAGTTGTTCGGATGTCGCGGGGAAGCCGCGGAGCTGTAGATTATCGTGTAACCAAGGGGTAACACGAGGTAATTGAAACAGGTTTGTCCTGCAAAAGTGGCACAGATTCCCATTTCAGCAGGGAAGATGTGACTCCTTGTGCTTACATTGTTGTTGTTTTTGACTGACAAACCCATTGCCTCGTGCTCGTATAGATTTATTGAATGTGTGGGGTGAGGTGATTCTTTCAATGCTACAGCGTTCGCATCGCAACCAGCAAAGCCTGGCAAGCGGGAAAATGGCCTGAGAGGAGTGCTGTTATGAACCAAAGCGTGAGTAAGCAGATGCCTCCCGTTGCGTATATGACGGGTAGATAGAATCTATGAGTGCTGAAGCGTCCACTGGATGTTTGCAACCTGTGACAGACAGCATCCCATTCTCAACTGGCCGATCCTTAGACGACAAGACCAAGCAAGACAAGCATTTGTGCACATCATGCCAAGGTGCCAGGGTTTAATATGGACCTCCTTGCTTGGCCGCTATATGACTTTATTGCTTCGGCCCTTGCTTATGTGCTCCGTGTCATTGGCTTCGACTGCCGAAGCTGAAGTCTTTCGGCATCGAGCGGTGGCAATTCCCATGCGATGTTGGGGAAAACACATGGTGGGAAAGCCGAAAACTGTGGGAACTCCTGCTGCGATGTTGGGGAAGCCACATGGCCGCGAACTTTTGTAATGTTGGACTCTCTTTAGTGTGATCCCCCCCCCCCTGAACAGTGGAAACAGTCAGCTGGACTCTCTTTAGTGGGTTCCTGGGGGGTCTGGGAGGGACAGTACTTACTTTAGTATTGCCAATTCTACTTTAGTATTGTCAAGGCCCCCTCTCAGATTCCCAGAGCCTGAGCCCGAGCAAGTCCAGAAAGCGAAGAAAGAAGCTTTGCGTTTTTTGTTTTTGTTTTTTGGTGGGGACAAACAAACTTTCCACAATAGAGAACCCCTAAAACAGTCACAGGATTCTGAATTAGAAAAAAACATCCACAATAGAGAGTACTATTAATAAAGGACCCCTCAATAGTGGTTGGTGGACATAAAAGACCCCACCACAAAATGGTTTCCACCCAAACATCCCCCAATCAAATTTTCATAGCCCCACCACCAAATCGTGCCCGAAATTTTCGGGGCAAGGAAAGCTCACGCCCGGACGCTAAAGCCGCAAGCTGGGTCAACCCTCGGCCCGCCAGGCCGACGGCCAGCGCGAGAGATCCCTCGCGCGAAGATCTCGGAGCCGGCGCTGAAAGAGGCAGAGGTGAGCTCCGAGTCGTTCGGTTGGTTGGGATATCGCTGGCGGTTTGGTCACTTTTTGTGGACTTTGACACATATACGCAGATATGTACATATACGTATGTAGATATATCTGCACACATATATATATATATATATATACACATTGCTTTTTAAGTATGAAGACAGATTGCTTATTTGAACCGAAGCCTTTGGCTACCTTTACTGCAACATTCGCTTTGGTTGCGCTTTTCCCCCCATGCCCCATTCTGCCGGGAACATTTCGGGGCTCACCCAGGGTGAGATGGATCATAGGTGTCCTTTTTGGTTGTTTTGGCGGAAAAAATAGATGGCCCTGGTTTATTTGGTGGTTTAATCATCTACCGGGGCCATCTATTTGCCTAAAAAGGACACCTATGTGACGGATTTCATGTTGTCCTCTCGCCATGTTGAGGGGAGGCATTGTCACGGAGCGCCTTTTTTGGCGTGTGCTCGCGAAGACCGCCGTTTCATCCAGAACAGTCGCTCACAGAAATGCCAGGTGGTCTGGAGACCGCCCAAATGGAAGTAGCGAAACGATGGTGGTGGTGTAAACGTCCTTTTTCTGAAGCCCCACTTTGGACTGAGCCATCTACATACGAGGTGTGCTTTTGAACGAAAAGCTGTCAGACGTTCGCCTTTTGTGTGGAGAGAACACACACACACACACACCAAGGGTTCTCCATGTGGCCCTGGTTGCAGGTGTCAGACTTCTTCTTTGGACACGGACGAGACGCAAGTGCTTGGTGGGCGTAGATGAGCCATGGGGTAGCTGTATCCCATGCAGCGCCGGGGGTGGAAAACTCCAAGTGCCCAGACCACCAGCTGTGAGCGAATGGTTGTGTGACAGACCGCACATGCGGCGCTTTGCCCATTGCCGGCCTGTGAGCCGGCTCTTGGATCATTTTTTTGTTTGGCCGGGATCGACCGGAAAAAGATCGCGGAGCAGCTTGACAGGGGCCTTTTGCTGTCAGAATGGATGACCACTAATGCTGAAGTCCGAGGCAGACTTCGCAAGTCGCGCGGCCGGCCGCATCAGCGCAGCTCCTTCCGTCACAAGGGACGGCGCCATGGGATGCTCGCAGCTGCCAATCCCTTCGAGGGATGGTTCGCGCAGGCCCAGGAGAGATACTCCCAGAAGTGGTCCTCGCAGCTCAGTTCAAGGAAGCCAGGTCTTAGCGTCAACTTTGTCACGCGAAGGGGGAACCGAAGTGGAAGTCCCAGTGACATTGGCTTGGTTTCGGGGAGGTTTGTGGGCTTGGCAGCAGCTTTTGGCTTGCTTCGGGGATGTGGCTGAGTGGTTTTGGTTGGTGGCTTTCCCTTCGCTGCAAAACATAAATGCTGCCAGAAAGTTGCTTGAGGGCCCTGCTGAGATGACCCGCACCTTATGAAGCATCCTCTTCATGTTCCTTAGGTCTTCACCTTCTCCCCAGGATCTCGGAACTCTGGAGATCTCCCAAATCTGTCCCATTTGTTCAGTTGGGAAAACACAAGCCCCCAACTTTCCATTTTTGGTCCCCACCCCCTCCCCAAACCCCCCACACCTCCCCAACCCCCCCCCCCAAAAAAAAAACCCTCCCCCCCCCCCAATCCGCCCCCTCCTCAATCCCCCCCATTTTTGGTCGGGGTCCCTCTCCCCTCGTCTTTCCCCTCCGAGGTACCTGGAGGTCTACGAGCGCTACCTGGCGCCCTGGCGAAACCGCACGGTGCACCTGCTGGAGCTGGGTGTGCAGAGTGGCGGCTCGCAGCTCATGTGGCGGAAGGCGCTGGGGCGCGGCGCCCGCGTCTACGGCGTAGACGTGGAGCCGGAGGTGACGCGCTGGGCAACACGAGGCGTGGGGATCTTGGGGTTGCGTTTTGCTTGGGGGGCTTTGCTTTGCTTGGCTTTGGAGGCTTTTCTTTGGTTTCTTGGGTTTCGACGATTGGTTTTTGGGGCGAAATGTTTTGTCGTTTTAGTTGTGTGTGTGTGTGTGTGTGTTTGTGGGGTTTGGGGTTTGGGGTTTGGGGTTTGGGGGTTTGGGGTCTTAGCCTGAGGTAAGGTTCCGCGGAACCCCAAGAGGGTTCTGCAGGGTTTCGCGAGGGTCGAAGCGAGCGCCATATGCTGTTGGGGATATCACCTGAGCTTATCAGGAATCCGAACCCCCCCCCAACAAAAATAAACAAGAAAAAATGGGCTTCGGTGTCCTTTTGGTTTCCCTCCATTAAAAAGATAAGCCGCCGCCTCCATGCACCCATCAGACCCCGAAAGCCACACCTCCACCAAGCCTTGCTGGGGCACCATTGCTTCAACCTTACACCTGACCTGCGCCAGAGCACCGCGAAACCTCCGCAACCTTGCCTGAACCTTGCACCCCGGAACCTCCGGAACCTTGCTCTGGAACCATGCTCGAACCTGACTCCAGAGCTCTCCCGAGCCACCCCCAAACCTTGTTTGGTGGGCTGAGACCCCTTAACTTTCAGCTGTTGCGGGAAAAAGAGACACCCTGCTCGCTTCAGGAATCACCAACTTCATCGGGGATGTCGGTGACGTGGGGTTTTTGCAATCCGTGTGCAGACAGATGCTTCACGGTTGTTGGCATGTTCTCAGTTTTTTGTTCTTCTTCCTTTTGTTCTGTTCATTTTTCTTTTGGGGGGCCTGCAAAACAAGTTTTGCTACCATAGCAAGGGTTGGAAAGGGTTGGAAAGGATCCCTCGCTTGGACGTGGTGGTGGATGATGCGTCTCACCTGAACTGGCATCAGAGACTGGCGTTCGAAGCCCTCTATCCGTGCCTGAACCCGGAGGGTGGCGTGTACATTGTGGAGGACATCAGCGTCTCGGATTTTCGATTCCAATGGGGGGGATGTTCTTTTTGGGTTACCCTGGAGAAGGTGGGCTTGAAGGGGAAGCAGAAGGAAAACCCATCATGGGGTGGTACTCTCAGGATTTCCCTTTCTGGAACCTCCGAAAGTGGCAGTCTCAATTGAAATCCAGCAGCAATTTGTAACTTTTGAAGGGGAGATCCAGTGATACCACTATTTTTGTCGCTGTCTCCCTATCTTGGCATGCGCGTCAAGACAGCACAGAAAATAAGTAAGGCTCATTTTTCGGCCCCAAAAAGAGTCCTAATCACCATAGGCCCGTGCTGTGTGTAGCATCCGATCGACCCCATCTGTTTGAACCCGTTTAAACAGGTCCAAGCATTGCGTCCCAGGCACCTCATACAAGCCCAGCTATGGTGGCGGCTACCGCGCTGAGGGCTCCTTCTTGGAGTTTGCCAAGGACGGTGCTGTTGGACCAAAGAGCCACATGAGCCACATGGGCGCGCCCAAATGGGTATTTTCTTGTGAGCGTACACATTTCAGGTTGGCTTAAAGGGACACAGATCATTTTTAGTGGTCGCCTATTTCTTGAGTGCTTTACTACCAACATGCCTAGTGGGATGTATTTGCAAGCATGTGGCTGACTGATGGCCATTTTTTCAAAATATATGGGTGTTGTTTTTGAGGGTACCGGTTTTGTTGTTGGTTTAAAGCTGAAGGAGCACCACCGCTGTAGGGGTCCCCTAGAGCAAAAGACACCCATATGTCGCCCGGATTGTTGAGGGTTCATCGACCATGCGGCCTGTTGAACCCCTTTGTCAGCTTATTTGTGGAAGGGTATATAATTGGAACCTACTGGTGCAACGCGCATGGAATGAGGATTCTCCTTTGGGGGTTGGCAGGGAAGATCAAATTTGACCACCCCCATGCTTGGGGGCCTCTTTTTTTTGATTACCCATGCGGCAAGGTTCTCCAAACCGCCAAAATTTCCTCCCAAAACGAAACGTCTCCCGAGTTCCTGGACTTTAGTCTCTTTTTGAGTTTGGACCGTTGTAGTGGTAAAATTTGCAATCACTTCGGTGGCTCTTTTTGGCCCATCCACTCGATCGGAAGTGAGGGGGCGCTTTTGGAAGACTCGTTTTCAACGATTATTTAAGGAAGGGCTAGGTATCACACAACAGCTTCTTAAGCATTACAAAGACTTCTTAGGCATCAAGACAAAAATGGCTTCCTGCCCTTCCCACGAGAAATGGGTGTGGGTCAAAATTGAACCACCAGGGGACCACAGGTTTAGTCCTTGGTTGCATTTCTCAGGGCTACCCATTTCGGGGATTCCTATTTTTGCCCCACAGCCAAATGGGGAATCTCCGAGCGCGAAGCGAGCGCTCGCAAGGCGAAGATCGACGAGCTCCAGGCCTTCTGGTCCTGCAGCGTGTCCACGGTGAGCGACCGCTGGGGCCGCTGCAGCCGCGGCAGGCTGCAGGTGCCGTTTCTCGGCTTGAGCTCAGCGCCGACGGAAACGCCCAACACGAGGCGCACGAGGAACGCGGCGCGCGCTGAAACGCTCGGCTCGGTTTCTTTCTTTGTTTTTTGTGGCTTTTTGGATATCCAAAGGGGTTTGTCTCCAAAAGGATGGATTTCCCCAAAATGAGTTGGCGGCTTCTTTTTTGTGGCATTTTTGTGAGTGGTTTCGTGTTTGCTTTTTTGTGGCTCCCCGGGATCCATTTTTGGAGTTGGTCTCCACGGTCTTTTTTGTGGCTCGGGATCCATTTTTGGAGTTTGTCTCCAAAATGGGATCTCCCCAAGATGGGTGGCTTTCCTTTTGATCTCACGCTGGGCTCATCTTTTTGACTGTTTCTAGGGGGTATCGAAGTCAGAAACTGGAATCAGTTGTTTCAAGTTCACCTACCACTTAGGGGGTGACTTTGACAATGGCAAGATTCTGGGGCCAGCGCTCAACTTTGAGGATTTTTTTTTTAAATTGGCGCTTCATTTCCCTTCAACAGTTGAGCGTGCCTCGTGCCGGGAGGTCTTTTTTGCGAGGTGGCGGTTCAACACCAACCAACCTGGGGCTCCGGAGAAAGACAGACCATCCAAAGTGCGAGGCAACACCAAGCAAGAGAACAAAGACAGACCCCAAACCCCTCCTCCGATTCTCCGAGGATCTCGGCCTTCACCCGCAGCACCCACGCGATCCACGTCCACGACGGCCTAATAGTCTTTGAGAAGAGGCTGCGGGAGGTGGCGAAATCGCTGGAGACCGGGAGCCAGAGGCTGCCAAAGCGGTTCATAGGCCACAGCGACTGGGACCTGCAAAGAGCGAATCGAAGTTCGGATCGAAGCGAATCGCTCGGGTCTTTCTATGGGTTGATTCCTTGTCCATTCTTTTCAACCATGGTTCTGTTCCAAACCAGGCGGTTTTTCCTGGGTTTCTGCGGGTTTTCTAGAAAGAAGGATCCCTAGAAAGAATGGAAATGGAAGGTACTCCAAAATCGAGATTCTGGATGGCAAGCTAGTGTTCGAAATATCTCTTGTGTTTCTGTCGATGGAAGGATCTGGCCCTGTGACTATTGCCCAGATCCCCCAAAAATGATCATTGCCAGAGAAGCTGGGAAAGGATTCGTTCTCGCCACTTCCCATCACTAGTCAAGATCATGGCCTACTTTTTACTTTTTTTAAAGCTGCTGCCCTGGTGACTAAATGACACTGATTGCAAGCAGACGTAGACATCGTAAGTTCTAGTCCAGGTTCATGGACAGAACCTAGTTGTCCACTTCCATTTATCCAGTCGCGAGAGGGACACGGAACCAGAAACACCAGAATTTCTGTCTAGTTTATGGCGAACTCACCCGGGAATAGAACGAGCTGACCATGATGTAGGTCCTTTACTCGGGGATCTAACAAAACCGCGGGGTCTGCAGGAGGCGGCCCACCAGGGTTATTCGAACCCACCAAAGTTGTTGACACCACAAGCCACATCCACGAGCCATGAAACACCAAATGAGTGGGGTCATCTCAAGGCTGTTTCTGGTCAGGATGTGGAAATGAGGGTGGGGCGCCTCGTTTTTGCGATACCAGGTAACCTCCCCTTGCGGAAAACTAGGAGATGGGAACTCCTCTTTTGGTGGTTTTAAACATCACTTGTTGGGCCAGACAAACTGATCCGTTTGAGGGGTTGATGTTGGGGGAACCGGGGGGCCCCAGCTCTTGTCTGTCGAGAGGCGTCTGGAAGTTGCGAGTGAGGCGGTTTTCGACCCCACTTCACGGGCGAGCAGCGGCCGCTCTGCGGGTTCCCTTGGGACGTCCAGGTGCATGAGGCGGGGAGGATGGGATGCGAGACTGCCTGGGTTTTTGCCTGTTTTTAGCAGAAGCCGAACGGAACACTGCGAGACTTTGGGCAGAAAGAATGCAATCATGATGAATCACTGCCTAAGCCTTGAGCAAGGGATTCAACACAGGCACGTCACACACACACATTCGATGGGAGCCTGAAAGTCAGCTTCCAGAACGCGTGGAAGTGTTCCACTATAGCCCACTTCTCCCAGGATTTGCAGTCGTCGCCCCAAAGCTTGTATGGCCTCTGCATCCCAGATCTACCTCCCTCCGTGTCAAAAGCACGCTCCGCGGAGCGCGCACTGGCGCTGGCTACACAATGCATGGCACAAAAGCAGATCATTGGCTGTATGTGTACTCACTTCCTGAGTTCATGAACTTTAAACTTTTTGGGAAGAGCATATTAGTGGTAAAATACAACGTTTGGACTTTTTTTAGGCCATCCACTCAGCCAGTGAGTGTATGAGAGCTACCGTGCGGCATTTTCACCCACTCCCAAAGCCGTCACCGGTCGACTTGGTCGAGCAAAACGCGGGTTCAAGGATCCAAGCCCGGGTCAGGGCGGGTAGTGTCATGGCGACCTGTCAATAGGGATTCAGACAACCACCGGCATCAGCTTTCATTGGCCACAATCAAAACCCCGGGTAGATGAAGGATGAAGGTTCGTATGCCTACGCGGCCTTTTTGTTTCTTTTACATGGTTCTGGGTAGACTAGTTTCATACCAGGTGTTTGATTGTGACTCATTTGAAGCAGTTCGCCAAGAGACGATCTCAATCCAAATGGGCAGGGTACTCTCTAACATCCACACACACACACACACCAAAAAACCAATCAGGGGTAGGCCACGTGCGCCACAATCAAAGCCCGGGTAGACAAGGGTCAGCAAGGGATACTCCCAACCATGAATGCCCTCTATTTTCAATTCTTTATTTGGTTCCGGGTAGACTATTTTAATACCATGTAGAATATTCAACATACAAACCGCCAAACCAAACACCCCAAGCTTTTTTCTGGCAACCCATGGTCCGACCGAGGCTTCCACCAAATCAAACCAGCAACAAGAGGGGCCCGGTAATTTTCAGAGTCCTTCTGAGAACCCCTTCTAAGAAAGCTTCTAAACCTTGCGTTTGCATCTTTTTTATATTAACAAAGGTTACTTTCCCCCTATCTAAGACGCTCCCCATGAACGATGCCGATTCAAAGCGACCCACGGCCCTCCACCGCCCGAGGCGTCCTTCCAAAGCCTCGCCAACGCCACGATCCAAGCGGCGCGCCTCGCCGCGCACAGCGAAAGCGAGGCCCCGTGCACGGAGGCTGCAGCGCTGCTTCAGGCCAGCCGTTGGAACCGCGGGTTTGGAGTGTGGGAAGGTCTCACTGATTGATTTTGTGTATTTGCTGGTTTGCATTGGTTTGGTTTTGTTTGCTTGTTCGGTTGTTTGCTTGTTGACTTGGTTTGGTTTGGCTTGGCTTGGCTTGGCTTGGCTTGGTTAGGTTAGGTTGGGTTGTTTGTTTTTTTGTTTGTTTGTTTGTTTGTTCGCTTTTTTGCTTGTTGGCTTGGTTTGGCTTGGTTTGGTTTCGTTTGGTTTGTTTGTTGTCTCGGTTGCTTGTTTGTTTGTTTGGTTGGCTGGTTGGTTTGTTCGCTTGCTTTTGCATCTTGAGTGTTTGTTTGTTTGTTCATTTGTTTGTTTGTTTGCTTGTTTGTTTGCTTACTTGCTTGCTTGTTTGTTTTTTTGTTTGCTTGCTTGCTTGTTTGTTTGTTTGTTTGTTTGTTTGTTTGCTTGCTTGTTTGTTTGTTTTTTTGTTGACTTGGACCTGTTTGTTCATTTGGTTGGCTTGGTTCGGTTTGGTTTGTTAACTCGTTCGTTCGTTTGTCTTGCTTTGTTTGTTTGTTTTCCTTTTGCTTGGACCTTGCCGCAGTGACTGGCCATTGTATTTTGCCGCATGTCAGCCATTTGCTGTGGCCGTGGAGGCGGCAGTTTTGGCAGTTGCCCTGATATGGGTGTGGCTCAAAATTAAACGATCGGAGGGGCAAGTTCCGCAGGTTTTGGTACCCATGTTTAACCACTTACCCGGGCTTGCGCCATGTTGGCAAGTTCCTCTTTTTTTTTTTGCTTGCGAGCCACGGCCATGTGGCACCATGGTTGCACACCTCCAGATCTTCGTTTTTTTTTTTTGGGGGGGGGCGTCCCTAGAAAGGGAGCCATGACCATGGGAGTTGGCCCAGAGGGGTCACAATTAAACCAGGGGACAAGGACAGGTCTTGGTTCGGTGTTTCCACCCAGGGCCTTGGCCAGTTGGGGGGTTACCCGATCTTTTTTTACCCCACCTTCCTGAAAGCGCCAGGATGGGCTTCACTGGTCGGGCTTTGGCATGGACTTCACCCTGGTGCAGCTGAACAGGGCAGGTCTGGCGGCGGCTTGGCCCGCGACGAGGATGAGGGTGTGGGTCAAAATTAGATCACCAGAAAACGGCGGGTTCTAGTATGTGTTTCCATTTATCAGGGTTCCATTCTGGGTACCTATTTTTGACCCACACCCATGTTTTGTCCCGAGATCTGGTTTCAATCTTTGGAAGCTTGAGGCGGTTGCGCCGAGAAGGCGGGAAGGCCCCAGTTTTTTTTTTTTTTGGAATGAGCGGCTGAGTCATGATGCGTGGCAATGAATTTCAATGGGGGGACCTTTCTCCAAAACGGTCGGTGGACAGAAATCTCAATGACAGTGATGTCCAAAGCAGGGGGGTCTTTTTGCCACCTTTTGCGAGAAATTGGGCGCCCCCCTTAAAAAGGAATCCTTCACTACGAGGGGGTCGATCAATTTTCCAGCAAAGGTGGCAACAAGACCGTACAACACGTGCCATCGGAAGTTGCCGGGTTCCCTCAGAGCGGTTCCCAAAGCGATGTCCGGTCGCCGATTTGATGGGTCTGAAACCCCATCGAAAAGCGCGAAGAAACCGCGCGAGTTTGTTGGACACCCCATGAATGAAGCCCTGTTGATTCATAGGGGTGTCCCTGGGTGAAATGTGAGGGGAACACCCCCTAGTAATAAGCTGGGGTTGATGAATATGGGGATGGGGTCAGCATTATAGGAACCCAGGTTGATTTCAGGTGGGTCACAGCTAAGCCGAAGACCTGCACTTCATGGGCAAGCAGCCCCTACTCGTCCACCAGAAGCCGCCATCATTTTGTTTTGTTTGAGGGTACTAATTTTGGGCAGGTTTAAAGAGAAACCAAAAGAACACCCACCTTTTCCTCCTTTCTTGACACATTTTTTTGTGGTTTTTCAAGGAACCATCAAGGAATAATTTTGGGGGTACAACCTTAAAGACAGACCCATATGACACTATGGAAGATCAACTTGAAAGGGCCCCAATGGAAAGGGGAAATGCTCGTTGCTTAGTCGGGGTGCTGCAAGAGTACTTCCTTTGCAAAAATGACGGAGCTGCCTCCCTGTTGTTTACCCCTTCTTTGTGGTTTTGAAAGGACACATCTTTTCCAACAAAAAACAAGCGTCCAGCCTGAAAAACACCACAGACCCACCAGAACCGTTGGGCCAAACTCAGGTGAGCCACGTGCTCAAAACCACGGGTAGAATCCCAGCCCGAAACGTCAAAAATAGGAATCCCCAAAATGGGTTGCCGCGGTAGATGGAACCAAAGACGATTTAACCAGCGGTCCATATCCTGGTGGTTTCATTTTGACCAAAAAGCCACATGGTTCTGGGTCAAGCATTTTCCCACCAGGCTTTGTTGGCTCAGGTGGAGTGGAATGCCTCGGCGCGGACGCCGCTCTGGCGATACCTGCGGTCCATGGATCGAGATGTCAAGACTCTGCTGGAGAGGTACTTCCCCGAGAGAGGCGCGCGCGGCGCGCGGCGCGGGGCGCGCGGGGCGGAACCTGCGAGTGGGGAGGGGGGGTGGAGGGGAAGTGCAAGCTCCTGATCATCAAAAAGTACCTTCCTGCCAATTGACATGGAACCTGTCAGCTGACAGGGGGGGGGGGTTCTGGTTTGGACCATTTTCCTTTTAAAGGGACCCCCTGTCAGGTTCCATGTTAATCGCTGGGACGGATATGTATATATATATATATATATACATTTATTGACACCTGTGTGTATATGTAACTACATTATTGCATTGCATTACACTATACTACCGTATCCTATGCCTACCCTGCCCTACCCTACCACACCATACCATACAATACCAGACTAGCATACCATACGATACCATGCCACAGCACACCACACCAGACCAGACCAGACCAGACCATACTGTACCATACCATACAATACGATACCATACCATACCACACCTACATACATACATACATACATACATGCATGCAGACATGCATGCACGCAAGCAAGCACGCACGCACGCATGCATACATACATACGCACACACACACATACATACATACATCATACATACGTACGTGCATACGTACATACATACATACATACATACATACATACATACATACATACACACACACACACACCTACGCGCACACATACATGCATACATGCATGCATGCATGCATGCATGCATGCATGCATGCATGCATGCATGCATACAGACATACCTGCATGCATACATACATACACACATACACACATACACACATACACACATACACACATACATACATACATACATTACAATACATTACATTACATTACATTACACTACACTACACTACACTACACTACACTACACTACATTTACATTACATTACATTACAGTACACTACATTACATACCATTACATACACACCTACACACACATACATGCATCCATACATCCATACATCCATACATCCATACATCCATACATCCATACATCCATACATCCATCCATCCATCCATCCATCCATGCATGCATGCATGCATGCATACATACATACATACATACATACATACATACATACAATATACATACATACATGTGTATGCATGCATGCATGCATGCATGCATTAATACATACACACACACACACCTACACACATACATACATGCATGCATGCATGCACATATGCAAACATACATACATACATACATACATACATACATACATACATTCATTCATTCATACATACACACACACACATACATACACACATACATACACACACACACCTACACACACACATACATATATGCATGCACGCATGCATTCATGCATGCATGCATACACGCATGCATACATGCAAACATACATATGTACATGCATACATACATACATACTTGCGTACTACATACATACATACATACGGACGCACGGACGGACGGACGCACAGAAAGAAAGAAAGACAGACGGACTGACGGACAGACAATAGACAGACAGACATACATATACTTGCATGCATATGTACGTAGGCGTACCTGCATACATGCAGTATAGAAGATACATACATACTTACATACATGCATTATGATTTATTACAATGCATTGCATGACATAGCATGACATGAGTTCACAATACACGACATGACACTTTGCATTGCATGACGCTGCATTACATGATTTTGCATTGCATTTCATACATTTCATACATTTCATACATTACATACATTACATGCATTACATGCATTACATGCATTACATGAACTCACCTTACATTACCTTGCATCACCTTACAGTATCTCACACCTTGTTTCACATGTCATGGGATTTCATATCATTGCACTGCAGTATATTACATCTTGCGCTACATTACCGTACATTGCTGCATTGCGGACGTACGGAAGTAAGTAGCTCAAATCACACAAGTTTCAGTAACTCACCGTTTCAGCCGGGGTGGTCGACTCAGTGAGTGGCCCGTGGCCCAGCGCAGGCAGCGGCCCCTTGGTGGTGATGGACCTCCTCTACCGCAGCCGCCTGCGCGACGTGGCGGCGCTGCGCTTCAGCAACGCCAAGTTGGCCCTGCAGCCGCTGGAAGCAAAGGGCGGGGCGGAAGGCAGTGGGTTGGTCAAAGTCGAAAGTTGGGTTGTTTCACTGGAAACCGAGTTATTGGGGGGGGGGGGGAGAGGGTGCCTTTATATATATATATATAGAGGGGGTTCCTTCAAACCTTGTGACTTTATATATATATATATATATATATGGGGTTCCTTCCTAGCACTTTGGGGGGGGGGGGGTGACTGCATATATATATATATATATGTATGTATATATGGCTTCTCAATACTCCCTCAAACCTAGCACTTGGTTGGGGGGGGGGGGTGATTATATATATATATATATGTATATGGTTTCTTATATGTATATACAATTAAGGTTTTTGAAAACTGGAAGTCCCTTGAAATGGCAGTGGTTTAGTTTCGATTTCCCGATCAAAACTACAAATTTCGTCTCAGGGGTCCAATGTGAGTGAGCGCACGTATCGGATCTCTCACGTATCGGAGTACGCCATGGTTAAAAGGGGGAAACACCCGAACGCGTTTTTTTCTCTTTTTTCTTCTTCCCTCTTTGTCTCTTCACCTCTTGGTTTTGAGTTTTTTGCGGCCACGGTGGGAAACGGAGTAGGTTGCTTTCTGCGATACCAAGGGAAGCACCTAAAAACTGATGGACTGGTTGGGTGTACTTTCGGAGAAAGCACCAGTTCTTGGTTTCCCTTCATGGTTGCGGACAACTTGGTGTTAGGACAAGTTCAATGATCAAAACAATTGGAGTTTATGTAGGTTGCCGCTTTCTGTGATACCAAGGATAAACCCTGTAGTCATGTTTGACACCTTTCTTGGCATCAAGAATGGGGCCAATCCCAGCACCCGGGTTGCGTGACCAATCTTTCTGGTTGTAAACCACGGGGACCCGTTTTCGGGCTCCGACAAAAAAAACGGAAGACCCAGAGGTGGTTGCAAGAGTTTAGTGGTGCAAACACCATGGTTTGAGGAGTGGTTGAGTCGCCAAAGCCTGGATGCAACTGGGACTTGATTGGTTCCGTAAGGGTCATACCATGTAAAGCTTGCTGGTGCTCAGGGAGCCAGGCTTTGGTCCCAAAAAAGAAACCCAGGCTTTGGTCCCCTTAAAGGAAACCACAGGGGTCATTCCAACTCACTCCCTGCTGAGCCCCAGCAAGAAAAGACCAAACTGATGAACCTGAGATGTCTGAGGATGCAGCAGGATGGCTTCCTTCGGATCCCCGACTTTGGCTTGGACCTGGATGCTGGGCTGCAGATGTGGCTTGCCTGCTCTCTTTTGTTGGCTATCCCCGAAAAGAAAAGACGGCTTTGCCAGGAGGGGGGCAGCTCCAAGCCAAGCCCTAGCTACAAACCAAATTCTGGCGGGAATCAGAGTGATGCACCTGGGAGACTTAAGGCTGTTTTAAACGAGAAGTTAACCTGTTAACCTCCATAGGATCTTCTAAACAGATGATACTTGAGCAAGCAGCGCCAAGAAAGGACCTTTTTTCTCCAGCTCCGGAGGCCCCGGCATGCGAAGGCGTTCCTCCAGTCAGAGCCTATGTTCGCAAAGGGAGGCCACACGGGGCTGGCTGCGGCTTCTCGTTTTGTCCAGCTCAAATCCATTCCCGGCCGCTGGCCCGTGCCAAGGACCAGTTGCAGAAGGAGGTGGGGGACTTCGCGGGGACTCGGCGCGTGCTGGCCAAGGCGACACGACTGGAGGCCTTGGAGCCTTGGATCTTGGGAAGCCTTGACAAGGGGAGTGGGGGGAGTGGGGGGAGTGGGGGGAGTGGGGGGAGTGGGGGGGGGAGTGGGGGAGGGGGAGTGGGGGAGTGGGGGAGTGGGGAGGGGGGAGTGGGGGGAGTGGGGGGAGTGGGGGAGTGGGGGGAGTGGGGGGAGAGTGGTGGGGGGAGTGGTGGGGGGAGTGGTGGGGGGAGTGGTGGGGGGAGTGGTGGGGGGAGTGGTGGGGGGAGTGGTGGGGGGAGTGGTGGGGGGAGTGGTGCGGGGAGTGGTGGGGGGAGTGGTGGGGGGAGTGGTGGGGGGAGTGGTGGGGGGAGTGGTGGGGGGAGTAGTGGGGGGAGTGGGAAGAATGAGGGGAGTGGGGGGAGTGGGGGGAGTGGGGGCAGTGGGGGCAGTGGGGGCAGTGGGGGCAGTCGAGGGGAGTCTTTTATTTTTTTTGAAAATTCGCATTTTGGCAGACTATTTTGTATTGGCTAATCTTGTCGGGGGGGGGAATAGTTGGGAACTTCTCCTGGGGACTGTTTGTCCTGGCCGGTCTTTTAGAGAGGCGCGTCGCAACTGGGAAGCTTCGACCGGTCCGATGCAATGCAACTGTTTCTGTCTTGTCATTCGTTACTCTTGTGACTCGCGTGCCAAAGTGCAACCATGTGGATTTCTGGGGGTTTGTCCGGGACGGTTCCTCATGACATGTTGTCCCATGGACGCCAATGAATTGCGCCCCGAAGTCAAGTCGATACATTTGCGTGTCTTGCTTTTGAGGTAGGTAAAAAGAAGTCGCCCGGGGTCTTTCGGCTCGATTTTTCTTCAAGGAGTGGCTTTTCGAGCATCACCTTGTAAGGCCAGTCACGAGTTTATTTTTGGATGATGACAGGCTACCTATATGTTTGGTGGACAGTTCCCACGGAAACGATGCTTATAGGGTTTCCGATTGTACATGTCGGACGTGTGCTTGAAGTAGGGGGGCGGGTAACAGGGAAGTCAAATGTTGACCCAGTGATAAGGTCATAGGTGATGAATGGGGGCGGGGTTCCCGTTTTAGAGGGAATCCGGATCACTTTTTGGGGAACGGACACGATCTGCCAGGTTCTACATCCGAGGTCACGATGAATCAAGATCTGTTTGCACATACTTTGTGTGTTTTTCCTGAAGTAGGAGACCCAGTCCAAACGGCAAAAACAAGAACTTGTCCTTTTGGCGGACCACTTGGTCTTGCAACAAACAGCAAACGTCCTTTTGGTGGAGCAAACGTCCCGTAAAACGACCCCACCCCCCCGCCTTTTTCGGAGCTGGATCTTAGGAGCCGCTGCTGAAGAACCAGGGCCTCCTGGAGCTCGCGAGTTTCTACTTGGGCGCAGAGGCGATGACAAATCCGCTGAACCCGAGCTTTTTGGGATCCGCACATGTCCAAAGACTTGGATCAACGTCACTGGTTTAGATGGGGGGTTTGGTGCCATTGACCAACAAAAGCAGGGCAACCCCGCGATTTTTCTCCCAAAAAGCCAGGGACACCCATGTATTTTTTCAAAAAAGAACCTGCACACCTGCGGGGGAAACGAGTCGATCTTTCTCCGAAACAAAACGCGCACTTGCGGAGGAAACCCGTCGATTTTTCTGCAAAAAGAAACGCGCACTTGTGGTTTTTGAGAAACCTTCCAGAGCTCTTCCGGGCCACGAGACAAAAACGCAAAACGCCAACGCCGTCGATCTCGCGATTCTCAGGTGGAGGTCACCGGGTACAAGCTGCTGCGCCTCAAGCCCGGGCTCACTGCGCAGGCGCGCGGGGGGGGGGGGGGGGATAGTCGACCGCTTCTCCAGCATTTTGTTTTTCCTCGAAGCTTTTTGTTCTCGTTTTTTTCTTCTTCTTTCGATGGGTGTACTGACGTTATTTGGGTATGGGTCAAAATGAAACGAATTGGACCGCAGGTTTTGGTCCATGTTTCCATCTACCAGGATTGCATTTTGGGTACATATTTTTGACTCACAGCCATTTTGACTGGTTGACGGCTTGTAGGGTCATTATTTTGACTGGTTATTTTGACTGGGTGTCCTGGGGTCATGATTTTGACTGGTTGCGGCAATCAAACACTTGGGGCTGACGTTGGTGATGGTAACATAATGAGGCCAGCTGGCTCTGCAAATGGCCCACTTGCCCAGTGACGCCAACAATTTTCGACTTTTTGTTTGGGAAGGGTTCCCCTAAGCCCGCCGACCAACAGTTGAGATGGTGTTTTGGGGTCTATGTTCAATCTTGGGGGTGGGAAAAACAAGAAGATCCTGGGACTTGCCCCTTAGAGAATTGGGATACCACATGGATGTTGAAGCAGCGATTGACACATGTAACAAGCCTAAGCCCACCCTAAACCTACCCTAAACCAATCTAAATCCACCTTAAACCCACCCCAAACCTACACTAAACCAACCTAAAACCACCCGTCGTAAACAAATGCCAGAATAACCAACCCTAAACCCACCATAAACAGACCCTAAACCACACCCACACCCACCCTAAACCAATCCTAAACCAACCCTAAACCAACCTAAAACCCTAAACCCACCCAACCTGCGCAAAACCTACCCTAAACCAACCTTAAACAAAACACTAAACAGGCCCTAAACCCAGCCCAAGCCCACCCTGAAACTTCCCTAAGAAAAATCAAACCTTGCACCCACCAAAAGCAGTCCTAAGCCAACCCTAAACCGACTCCAAGCCAACCCTAAACCAATCCTAAGCCCGTTATCTTCATGTACTGCGTTTGTACTGAAAAGTGTCTATTTTGGTGCTGGAGCCGTGAAATGCGTGCGCTGTTGCCTGAAGATATCAATGCGAGATAATTTGTTTTTGATCCTGTAAATTCATTGATCCGGGTGTCGATAATTTCTTGTTGATCCCGTAAATATTTGTTTGTTGATCCGGCACTCGGCCCTCGCATGACTCGAGTTTAGATAAATCATAAGCATTCAGATCAGTTCCGATTTTGAACCCGAGGATTACACCTTCCGAAGGCAACATACGACTTCTTCCGAGAAGATCCGTGCAGAATGATGGAGACCAAGTCCGTCTTAGCCTAGGATGGAACACGGCTGAAGGATTAGGATCGATTCGCGTTTCACATGCGGCTTTGGAAGGTGCATTAAACTCTCCCGCTGAACAGAAAGTAGATGTGTGTGTGTGTGTGTCAAACTTTTCACGCAGCCTACTGAAACCCTGTCAGGCGCCACGCTTTGCTGAAAGAGAGGTTGAGGAGGGAATCCGTTTTTGGAAGCCCATCTGATGGAAAGGCGTTCTTGAACGCATAAGCCACGGGGCGTCTTGGCTCGGAGGATTACATCTCCGGCTTCTGGCACCACGACAACTGTGGCACCAGGCGGGGCGTGCAAATGACAAAGCTGCTGTTCATGCTCTTTAGTTTGCAGGGTGAAAGGTCAGAACTATCCAAAAGTCAAGAAACAAAACACTCAGTAGGCTTGAAAGAAAATGCTCTTAGCGTTCCCTACTTGAGTCTTTCACCAAGGTTATCGTGTATGCTTGTGTTGAGAAGCTCCAATTTCCCGCAAAACACATGCGCAACGCACATACACACAGATGACGTACATAGAGGCCAGAGTTGCAGAGGCAATCCTACACATGCCGAGGTGGCGAGGCACAAACGCAGATGCAAAAGAAAAAAGAATCAACCAGCCTTTCAGAAAAAGACAAGTTTGGCCTTTCTCTCTCTTCGTTTCCCGGATATTTTTTGCGAATCCCGGAGCCTACGTCGTTTCAAAACTAAAATCCCCCCCCACGTCCCTTGCACTAAGGCAGGCATCGGTTTTGGTCATTGTTTTTTTTGGTCATTGTTTTTTTGGTCATTGTTTTTGTGTGGGTATTTTTTTTGGTCATCGTTTTTTTTGGTCATTGGTTGGATCCATCCCCCAAGTTCTCAGGCTGAAGCTTTTCATCTTTCTGCAGGAGGTGGGGGAGGACGGGTTCCCCACGGAGATTGCCAGAGGCGGGAACGCATGGGAACGCTTTGGCTTGCAATGCGCTTCTCGGTGTGGGTGTGGGCGAAAATTAAACCAGGAATTGGACAGCAGGTTTTTTTTACCCATGTGTCCATTGACCAGGGCAACCCATATTGAGTACATATTTTTGACCCACAGCCACATAGGATTCGGCCCCCTAAAACAGTTTTGAGTAGTGACCATGGCAATGTTGGCTTTGGATCAATCCAAAGAATACCCCGACTGAACGGGTTGATTAGTATGGTCCGCCGATGTCCTCCGCGTTAATCCGAAGGTAACACTACAAAAAGACGGACCAAGTTGCGCGGTTGACCATTTGAAGCACACACAAACACCAGCGAAAAAGAAACAACTGAGCCACTGAGTCTGGTCCGTGTGGACTTTTCGCCTTCAATGCTGCATTGATATGGAGGGCAAAGGGATGAACCATCCTAGAACGATGCATGGGGTTTCGGGTTGTACTGGCATTTCCCATGGTTGGGAGCTTTAGGTCAACCTTGCACTGTTGAATGGGCACTGCAGCCAGAAGTGACAGTGTACTCGCTCGATCGAGCCCCATTGTTTTGCCATGGGGCATGCTCGACGTGGAATTCCATTCTGTCCTTTGTCCAAGCTTGTAGGATGGCAGGTGAGGTGTGCCTTAATTAGTCTAGGAAATGTATTTGACGTCTGAGCATGTTGTATAAAACAGGCGAAGTTAGTTTCGTTTGTTCCTTCCCGGCTGTGGAAGCATGTTCTGAAGCATGTTGTATCTCAGGGATGATACCACATTTTCCTCCTCTTCCGCAAGTTTTGTGGGAGAACGTCAAGTTCTCCACACACACACATCTCAACACGCATCCGTTTTCGCACTCCATATTTTGTTTCTGTCTGCGTGTTTTTTTTGGTTCCCCCGCCCGGTGGCAAAAAGCCAAAGATCCGGCGCTCCGGCGAGCCAGGGAGCCAGAGCCTGGCCTACTACTGGTACGGCCCGGCGCACATGAGCCGCTTCAGCCCCCAGGCGGTGGCGAGCGCCTTCTCGGTGGAGCGGCTGCTGAGCTTCCGCGGCGGGGGCTTCCTCTTCGACACCAACGCGCGCGGGGGCCTGGGCTGGGGGCGGGTGTGGGGCAGGTGGGGGGGGTGGGGGGGTGGGGGGGTGGGGGGGTGGGGTGCGAGGGTGGCGGGAGGTGGAGGGTGGGGCTCGGGTTTTTTGCGGGCGGCGGGGCGCTTTGAGGACAGTTTGGTTGGTGGAGCCGGAAGGAATTCTGCGGTTGGTTTCGGGTGACCCGAGATTTGGTCTGGGGCCATCGTATATATTTACATAAACACATATATATATATATAATACATATATACATATATACAGACACATATACATATGTGTGTGTGTAAAATTGAATGTTGAAAGCTCAATACGACTTTTTGGGGTGGGTTGTGCTTGTCACATGTCCCCCTGCGGGGGGAGTGGGTCCCAAGCACACCCAAATTGGGGGAAACCCAAAACGGGTTTTTGGGGGTGAACCCGTCCAACCACCATGTTTGTTTTTCTTTGTTGTTGGGGGGAGGGGGGCCTCTTTGCTCTGCAAATCCCATTGCGAAAGCCCACCCAAAACTGATTTCCCATTCGGTGGGTCCTGACGTTTTTGTTTGGGAAAGACACATCTTAGACCCAAGAGGCAATCTTCCCTGATGTTCTTTGCTATCTCAAGAACAGTCTTCTAATCTTGTCAGAGCGCCATTTTTTCCAACCAATTGCACCATCTCGGTAATTGCACCGTCTCGGTAACACCCTCCTGTTCCTAGGCGCCCCCCTTTGGTTGTTTCTTGTTATGAAGCAGGGACACCAGGAGGAGCACGGGTGGATTTTGCTGCCCTGGCCCTTTCCACCCCCCGCTGGCCCACCCCCCCGCCCCCCCTCCCAACCCCCAACCCCCCTCCTCGCCCCAATCTCGGCCGGGCTCAGGATCCACCGGGCGAAGCTGGACGGCCCGGCGCCGCCGCAACCCCGCGACGCCGTGGTGCTGGAGATCGCCAACCGCCACAAGCTGCTCGGGAGAAGAGGGGTCCGTGTCACAGCGGGGGACGTGGTTCTCGGAAGGCGGGAGGGGTGGGGGGGGTTGGGGGGGTTGGAGGGGGGTTGGAGGGGGGTTGGAGGGGGGTTGGAGGGGGGTTGGAGGGGGGTTGGAGGGGGGTTGGGTCGGCTTTTCCAATTTTTTGGTGAAGCCGCAAATATGATGGATGGCATCAAACTGAGGAGCTCCCCCTCACAGCCGCACGGTTTGAGGTTCACCACGGGACGGCTTGCGCGGTCCCGCTGGTACCTTGGAGGTTGTGAACCCACCCAACTTTGGTGGTGCGGCCAAGTCTTTTTTGTGCGAGTAACTAAACGTTACTCCATACCATTGCCTAGAGCTCCCCCTCACAAAATGGTTGGTTTTCTCGTGGTTTCCTTTGAAAATACACGCTGAAAGCAAGCTCCACAAAATACGAAAGGCTCGCAAGGAACCCTTTGATCACCCCTTTGATCGAAGGGTTTATTTCGAACCCTTTGCTGGGGGGGTGGGAGTGGATCTGCAGCTGCAATAAGCCATTTAGCCCATGAAAGTCTCGTTGGTGAACTAGAGCAATTTGCCTGGACAAAATATCATTGTTTGACCTCCTTTTCGTGTGTTGCAAGAGGCATTGGCTCGTAGATGTCCTTTTAGATTGTGGAGGCTTGTATGCATTTGTGTGTGTGTGTTTAGCTGTTTGTTTGTTTGGTTGTTTCTTTCTTTCTTTGTTTCTTTCTTTGTTTGCATCTTGCGTGTTTGTTTGTTTGTTTGTTTGTTTGTTTTTGTTTGTTTGTTTGTCTGTTTGTTTTCTTGCTTGTTTGCTTGCTTGTTTGGTTGTTTGTTTGTGTCTGTCTCCCTGCCAACCTACCAACCTGCGTGCGTACATGCTTACTTGCTTGTGTTTTGTGTTTGTGAAAGTGTAGGTGTGCTCGCATGCAAGTATGCTCCTGTGTTTGTGTGTGTGTGTGTCTATGCGCGTGGATGTGTGTGTGTGTGTGTGCGTGGGTGGGTGGGTTTGTCTGTGTGTACAGAATTAGAGAGGGTGTAAGTGCCTGCATTTGTGTGTGCTCATGTTTGTCTCTATATTTCCATGCCTGCCGAATGCCGGCACTAGATTCAGCCACCTTGCGGGTCATTAGGTGGTTGTTCCCCCTTAAAGTCCCAAAGTGACTTGGTTCCCCCCCAAAAAATGGAATAAAATGGAACATCCCCCCCAATTCGACCAAAATGAACCAGGAACATACCCCATACCCCGCAAGAAAATATGGACCCTCCCCCCCTAATTTGAAATATCAACCAGGGCTTTACTCGTCCTGGGTTAAGTGAGTCGGTCCCCCTGTAAAATGGAACATCCCCCCAGTTTTAAATCAACCAGGGCTCCACGACTCCAGGGGTTCGCATTGGGACGTGAGACGTGAGACGTGGGACCTGCGCCGAGGCTTCAGGAGAAGATCCCGTCGCAGGGGCCGTGCCCAGAGCCAAAGAGACTAAGATGGAGAGAGGGACGTTGCACTTTTTTCGGGCTTGATGTATACATACATGTGGATGTATATATATATACACATACAAAGAACACACACATATATAGGTATGTGTATATATATATATATACATCACATACATATGCCTATGTTATGGGTATTGAGCTTACTGATTCGGGGGTTACACGAGCTCCCAACCACAAATAGCTGCGGCCGCCTTCTTAATTCTTTACATGGTTCTGGGTAGACCATGTTATTACCGGGGTTGGATTATGACTCACATTCTGATTCTTTTCAGCAAAAGGTGCTGGGATTCTTCACCTAAGCTTCGTGCCAGTGAAGTCTGTGCCTGACCTCAGAGGGCAAGCACACCTTCCTTCGCAAACAAGTCGCCGATGCCTCGCTCGGCCAAGCGTGTCAAGAAGGGGAGTACTTGCTGGTGCGATAGGTACGGAATGACCCAGGGTTTGGGAATAGGGATTCCCTGAAACGAAACCATAGGGGGATGGTTTTAGGGGTCATTCCAACTCATTCCCTGCCTATCAAACCAGCAAGAGTGTTTGCCGCCATCGGCAAGGAGCGTGCCGAGACATGTGCGAAATGTTCAGGACGAATACGTATCATATGCCGAGGAACCCCCATGGTGTTTGCCTTGGCCCCTCGATTTCACTGCCTGGACACACATTCTGACCATGTTGCGCCAGTGCTTCCGCCTCAAGAGACGCCTTCTTCCGCCTCGCATTTGGGCCGAGCGGCGATGCGACGATGGTTCGACCGAGGACTTACCGCCTCCAGGACGTGACGTTCCCGTTTCCTCACCGTCGGTTTCGCCAAAGACGCCCCGGGCTTTGAGGAAAGAACGCGGCTCGAGCGGCGAAAGGAGCGAGCGAGCGGCCTCTGCTGGACCCTGGGGGCGCGGGCGCGAGCAGTGCGCGAGAAGTGTGCGAGCAGGAGCGCGACAGGAGCATGTTCTTTGCAGCATTTTCTTTGTGTTGAATTGTTTCATTGAAAAGCGCGGGGGAAATCAAGACTGAAATTATATGTTTCTTGGCCAGAGCACCTGTCTACCCTTGAATGACATGTTGCGTGTTGTGGGATCCTACGGAACTACAAACAAGGCACGCGAGGTGGTGTGACCTGCACTGCACTTGCCTTGATTGCTATTGGTTTGGATCTTTAGTCTTTAACTTTTTGGGAAACAGTGGGGTTTCCATTGAGCCCACAAAAATGAAGACTTTTTGCAGCGAGGTCAACAGCAACCAAGTTGCATCAGCCTTGTGCAACACCTTTGCTTGCCTTGCCCTGCGAACGGATGGGATCGAAGTGGTTGGGTTTGGGGCATTAGTTTGGCTGCTTGTTCGCCTAAGTTATTGGTTGCGTTGCCAGTTCCAATGTGATGTTGCAGATGCGCCGTCAAAATATTGGTGCCAACCGGCGCTCAAAGTCAGACGGCGCCGGCCATTTGCCCGACGCCCATGCGCCCTCCCCCCCCACGTCCCGGGGCACACATGCGGCCCTTTTCCGCCCAAATGGGGCCTTGGGTGCCGATCACTGAGCCATCGCGCCGCGTCTCGCCGCACGGCTCAGAAGGGTTGCAAGTTCGATCGAGGAATCCGATCGAGGCGCGGGGGGGCAGGCAAGCAAGCTGGTGACTCAGAGCTGGTATCCAAATTTGCTTTCAACCAGAGAGCCTTTGAGTTGCTACTGATGGGAGTTTCTGGTCAGGGACATGGCAGCAACTCTCTTGATCTCTTGATCGTGAGTTGCAAGTCTGAGATTCTAAGCAGAGCCGTTTTTTTGTACAATGCCGTCAAGCTGTGTGTTGCTCAGGTTGGGCAAAACGCCCCAGAATGGTCCACACTGCTGTGCTGCGGGTGTGGGTCTGAGAGAGTCGGTTCGGTTGGGAAAGAGGTTGAAGGCTGGGAGAGGGCGCTTGGACTCGCTTGGACGAGGTGAATTTTTGTTCGTTGGGTTTTTGTTAGAGACAACTGCTTTCATTTTGCTGACAGAAGCCATTTGATCAAAGAAAGTGGCATCCAGCTCAAACCCATGAAACCTGTCATTGACTGAATGTTGGGGGGGGGGGGGCAGCCGACCGAGTGCGCCTTGACCCTCGAATGGAAATCCAGGAGTGGGGATGTCCCATTCGGAGGAGATCCTTTGCTTGAACGCAGCAACCCAAAAATCTGCCATGGATCCGGAGTCGGTTGCTTGAAAGCGAAGTTGCAGGTCCAAAGCTTTCAGAACGGGACACAAAGGTACGATCTGGTTGGACACTGGAAGGAGAGAAGGGCGTAGGCGTGGAGAGCGTTGGCCGCGGCCCTGATAGGCTCGAGTTGGTATGGCAAAGTGAAACACATTGTGGTCCGGTTTAAAAAATCGCCAGCGGCGACCCCATCTTTTCCCCCCCCCCAAAAAAGGAGAAACGGGGGCCCGAAACAAATTTATTTCCAGCGGGGAAGTTCTCTGCGTATTCTTGAGACCCGGGGCTCACAGATGCGGCGCCGGCTCGCGCCGGATCCGGCGCCCTGCGGGTCCTTCGGGTCTTGTCCTCTGCTCGGCTGGGGACGCGGACGGCGGCGAGGTCCGGATCGAGCCCGGCATCCCAAAGCTCCTGGTGAAGATCAACCCCCAGGATGCCGAAGCCTTCCAGGCGCGGCGCTGGAGCGGCATCGAAGATCGGATCGGTCCTCTTCTGCGGGTTTTTTGGGGTCGGTGTATACCTTGCAACATGGGTGCGGCTCAAAATTGGACGATCGGAGGGGCGAACCGCAGGTTTTGGTACCCAGGTTTCCACTTACCAGGTTAGCCATTTAATGGAACCTAGAAAGGGGGCGTACAAGAGGAGATTCCTGCCACAAATCTTGTGAAGGGACACCTGAATCGGGGGCGTTCTGGTTTGGATCGTTCTCTTTCGAAACAGGTTTTCTCATGTAAGGAGAAACACCAAGGTCCCCCTCACCAGACAGGTTCGGCCCCAGGTAGACTTCAACCGAGGGGTGGTTGATTTCCCCACAGAAGAAATGCTCTGCGTTTTGGTCTATCTGGGGCGCAACATGGAACGAAGAGAAGCGGCATGTCTCTTCCCAGTTCTGAGACTCCTGCAGCTGGATCCTTGCATCCCGGGATCCCCTCGAGCAGCGGATGCGTGTTGCAAGTTGCTGGGATGCTGTTTGGATGCAGGACCTGAACCCCAGTTTCTCCTCCAGGCCAACTGGGAAGCCACCCAAATCGAAGCCGCCCATCAGAAGGAAGCTGAGGTTGCTGTAAGGGCCGAAATAATTACAATGCTACGCCAAACAACTTGCCGCAGTGCAGGAGCATAGTTGTGGGGTACCAAAGAAACCAACTTGCCACACCATGGGCAGCAGAGTGCTTCTTAAACCTTGAAGAAGACACCTTTCTGCTCTGCTTCTTCATTTTTTCCCTTAAGCGCAGAGCAGAAAGGTTCCTGGACCATAGGCATCCTTTTTGGTTGTTTTAGTCGAACGATAGAGGGCGGTTCCTGGTTTACCTGATGGCAAGATCAACCAGGGAAACCCATCTATTTCCCCTAAGAGGACGCCTGTGGTTCCTGGGCGTTTTTTTTGGTCCTGGCGTAGGCCAAGAACCTCGGGGAGGTGACGCTGCGCAAGGGTTCCGGGAGCCGCAGCCAGGCCGAGAGCTTTTTAGTCGAAGGGCGACGAAAGCGGAGGGCAAAAAGTGCCTCGAAAAAGGTGTGAAGAGGGTTCTATCTTTTGGCTACCCCCAAAAAGAGTGAAACCCAGGAGTGGTTGATTTCCCTAAAAGCAAAACTCCTGGGTTTAAGTCTACTTTGGGGTAGTCAAAAAGTAGAACCCTGGGTATGAGTCTTCATTAGGGGCCCGAAATGGTGGACATCAGAACTCGGTGGGGATTTATGTCCACCGAGCAATTTTCAGGGGTTTCCAACCATCAAAGTTCATAGCCAAGTGGCAGGGGGAAAGAAAAGGTTTCAGGGCTTCCCTCAGTTGTCATTGGTTTGGATTGGTTTGGATTTGGCTTTGTTGGTCTTCCCTGGTTCTTGTGGGGAGGAAATGCCAGCTTCCCAACCACCAATCCAAAAAGCCAAGGGGAGGCTGATGATTGCCGTCCTTTTGTTTTGTGTTTTTTTCCCCTGAAAGAAACCAAGCCCTTCAAGGGGGGGCAATGACACCCGTAGCCACAAGAAAAAAGCAACGGCCACTTGAGGTTCCTCTCCATTTTGAGACATGGCCATTTTTGGAAGAGCCAAAGTCTGATCTTTGGGACAAGTGAATCTGGATCACGAGGGGCGAGGTGTTCCTTTTCCTTTTGCCCGGGGCACTGTTCCATGAAAATCCCAGGTGGCCAGGCAGCGGGCGGTTGAAGTGCCCAAAACACTTTGCGGGGGATCAGACAAAGAGAAGCCAACCATGAAGAGAGCTTCCGCAACTTTGAGACACATGTCTCTTTGTTGCCTATCGACTTATTGTTGGCGATTCCAGCTTGCATTCATCCTCGGGCTGATCCAAACAGTTCATATCTGGTGGTATTTTTTTGTTCCGAGCCGCATGTGTAAATATGTATGTGGAGGTGAGAGAAAACTAAGATGGAACATCATTCAGTGACTCCAGCTTTCTTCCTTCTTGCCGGAATGAATAGAAATGACTAACACTAGGAGTGATCATGAAGCTGCGTATCAGACTTCCCAACTCGGCCTCCCTGTTTGGATACACTTGTTTTTTGCTTTCTCACCGAGCCATGGCTCCCTCGCCAAATTGACAAACTCGACAGGTGGCGGTGCTGCACATGAGCCGGGGCACGGCCAACGGGGAGGCGCGACTTCCGATGTCACGATCGATCGGCGGGGTGTCTGGAACGCGGCGTAGCAGCGGTAGACTTGGCCGTGGCTCAAAAAACCGGAATTCCAGAATGGCTTGCCCTGGTAAGTGGAAACATGGACCAAAGCCTGCGGTTTGCCCCTCCTTTAATTTTGAGCCACACCCATATATAAAAACGAGAAGGACGATGACCACCCTTCCCGTGCGCCTTTTTTTGTGAGAAGAAGGGGGTCGCCGGATTTTCATAGGAGAGAAGGTAGCAATCTGGAAAATCTTTGAGAAGGCAGGGAAAAACCATCATTTTTGAGGCTGGTTTATAAAAACATGGGCCAGAGTCAAAACTAGTACTGGTTGGGGCGGCATGTGTGGTGGGGGGTGGGGGGGAAGGGGGGAGGGAAAAGCCGAGGTAGTTTGACATGTTTCCGACAATCCAAAAGCCACCCTTCTGTCAACGCTGGACAAGGCATGATTTCCCCCACACAAGCTCGAGAAGACCACACAGGAACTTTTGGCAAGACCAACACATCTCCTCTGTTTCCTTTTTTCTTTTTTGGTTCCACATTTTTAGTAGTTTTGATGGTACTTCAGGCGTCATGCTCACAAGGGTTAACAGTGCAAACGAAATCCAGTGTGGTTTAGCTTCAATCAAGCAACGCCATGAAACGAACTGCTTGTTGCGGTTTGTCTTGGGTTTGCGTGTACTTTGGATGGGCCAAGTCGGGCCAACAATCAAGCATAATGTGAAAGCAAACAAGCTTCCACCAACGCCGGGTGTGTATTTTTTCAAGGAGGCAAAGTGAATGTAGCTCATGGACATCCCCCCCCTCAGTGGGCCCATTGGATCGATCCTCCACCCACAGTTCGGTGTTGGTTTTGAAGGGTGTCCTGCGTCGATTGTTGCGCTTTCCCGAGGCGCACTCGCCCTGGCATGTGGGTCGCAAAATAGGGGAGCCCCCAACATTTGCGAGTTTCTCTTGCATTCCCCCTTTAAAACCACCAACATTTGCGGGTTTCTCTTGTATTCCCCCTTTAAAACCACCAACATTTACGGGTTTCTCTTGTATTCCCCTTTAAAACCACCAACATTTGCGGGTTTCTCTTGTATTCCCCCTTGAAAACCACCAACATTTGCGGGTTTCTCTTGTATTCCCCCTTTAAAACCAACATTTGCGGGTTTCTCTTGTATTCCCCCTTTAAAACCACCAACATTTACGGGTTTCTCTTGTATTCCCCTTTAAAACCACCAACATTTGCGGGTTTCTCTTGTATTCCCCCTTGAAAACCACCAACATTTGCGGGTTTCTCTTGTATTCCCCCTTTAAAACCAACATTTGCGGGTTTCTCTTGTATTCCCCCTTTAAAACCACCAACATTTACGGGTTTCTCTTGTATTCCCCTTTAAAACCACCAACATTTGCGGGTTTCTCTTGTATTACCCCTTGAAAACCACCAACATTTGCGGGTTTCTCTTGTATTCCCCCTTTAAAACCACCAACATTTGCGGTTTCTCTTGTATTCCCCCTTTAAAACCACCAACATTTACGGGTTTCTCTTGTATTCCCCTTTAAAACCACCAATATTTGCGGGTTTCTCTTGTATTCCCCCTTTAAAACCACCAACATTTGCGGGTTTCTCTTGTATTCCCCCTTTAAAACCACCAACATTTGCGGGGTTCTCTTGTATTCCCCCTTTAAAACCACCAACATTTGCGGGTTTCTCTTGTATTCCCCCTTTAAAACCACCAACATTTGCGGGTTTCTCTTGTATTCCCCCTTTAAAACCACCAACATTTACGAGTTTCTCTTGTATTCCCCCTTAAAACCACCAACATTTGCGGGGTTCTCTTGTATTCCCCCTTGAAACATTTACGGCTTTTTCCTTGTTGAACACCACCAGCATCTGCAGTTTTTTCCTTGCATTCCCTTGAACACCACCAGCATCTGCGTTTTTGTTTCTTGCATTCCCCCCTTTAAACAGCCACCACAACAACGGGGGGGCGGCCCTCACGCGGCCATGGGCCGCGCAGTTCTTTCGCAGGTCCTGATGTCGGTGAAGCTCGCGGATCTCCTGGACCTCGAGGCAACAAAAAATTGGGGAGCCACGGCCTCTTTTTTTTGTTTGGGCGGGGGGCTTGTCCCCGCTTTTTCCCCACCCGACAGGAAGGGGTTGTTAATTTTATGTCGGAATCCGCGTTCCCCCCCCCCCCCCCCCCGTTTTTTTCTTCCCTGGAAAGCCGGTGGTGGGGTTTCTCTGGCTTTTCTTCCCTTGAAAAGCCGGAGCCAAAATATTTGTTCCGTGGTGGGCATAGGCGTCCTTTTGATCGGCGAGTTTGGTTAAACATAGATGGGTCTTAGTGGTTGAGCTGGGTTTTGTGCCCCATTTGCCAGGGGAACCCATCTATTTTTAACCAAAAGGCCACCTATGGTGGCGGGTGTGTCCCGTTTTTTGGGTCCAGACTTCTGCACTCCAGGATTCCAATTTCCAGGTTCTTTGGGTTGGTTTCCTTGAAAACCCGAAAAAAAACTTCTTTTCTTCCCTTGATCAGCTGGAGCCAAAATGGCTGTGGGTCAAAACCAATGGTACCATCTTGGGGTAGGTGCACCACCCATTTTAGTCTATTTTAGTGGGGATTGGAATGTTCACTGGGGGTACGGGATTTTGACCCATGGCCAAATAGGTTGCCTCAAAAAAACGATATAGATCGTTGGACACGAATCTTTTGGTCTGCTTCTCGTTTTTCCTTGAAACACGGCAAGATTGACTGCTCGTCTGTTGGTTTGGTCACCGACGCTTCAGCCGAATGGTTTGCTTCCCGAACAGGGGACGTCCGCACCCAGAACTAAGCAACAAACGAGGAGCAACCATTAGTCGGCGCAATGTCAGAATGATTTCCATTGGCACAGGCACTGCCGTTTCCGCAGTTCATTTGAGAAGACGTTAAACCTACGGATCGCATTCGATTGGCCTCTCTTATCCTCTTGGCGAGGGGCTTGCGTATCTCGTAAGTTCGTGAACTGAAGGAACCACCAGAAGGTGTGGGCATAGCTTCCAGAACAACGGGAAACCGACCATTGTTAGAGACAAGCCTCCTCTCAATTGTGTTTGTCCGAAAAGCTGGTGGACGTTTTGAGGCTTTCTTTAAGAAGAACGCAACATCTCTCTCTCTCTCTCTCTATATATATATATATCACCAAAAAAGGCACACCCATGCGGGCTTGTCCCTTTTTTGAGGGTGTTGATTTGGGCTTGTCTTAGGGAAGCTAAATTCTAGTGATGCCTTCCTCATTCTTTCCAGGGATCCTTTTTTCTAGAAAACCTCCAGAAACCCAGGGGAAACGCCCGGTTTTCGGAAAGAACGATGGTTGGAAAGAATGGGGAATCAACCCTTAGATACATTCACACCGCCTGCGTTTTTCGGTGGGTTCCAAGCCGATTCGGCTTTCGGCAGGATGGCGAGGGCGTAGAGGTGGCGTGGAGCCCCGGCGAGGCGATATGAAAGGAAGCGCGCAGAAGTGGCTTGCCGCTTTTTTTTGCGGCTGGCCCTTTGCGGGTGTGTTGGTTTTTAAATGGGAAACCAACAAAAAAAGCTACCAAAAATGTGGGGTCCCCCCAAAAAAGAGGTTCAAAGGGAAAACAAGCAAAAATCAACACCAAACAACGGAGGGACCCCTAAAAACGAGACACACCCGTCTGAGGTTTGGGCAAGATTTCTAGTCTGTCCATTTGCGCTGCGTTCAACTCGGCGCATTTTGAGCGATTCCACCGGTAGAAGTGGGTAAGGCTACAACAAGCTCACCATGAAGAGGTCCCTCACTTGGGGATTCAATGAATAAACAAAACTTGAAAGCTCCATGGTTTGTGTGTAGTAGACGTGTCCACACCGCATAGCTCTGTATTTGCATGTGCATGTGGAATCGCGCGAATGTGAACATATACATGAATACACGTTTGAACACACGGCTGCACATACCCTGCCGTGAGTGTGGTGATGTCAGCACATATATATATATATATATATATATATAAATGTACAGGCCTAAGCGAGTGTATATAATCGCATAGCGCTTCAAGGTCTTTCCGGGAGCCATAGCTGAGGGAGGAACTCTTGCGTGCTTCAGTCCATGCGGGTCTAGTCTCAGCTCATCGTCCGCTTTGCGAGAACCACGTTTTTCTTCTGCATGAACAGCAGCCTCTTGGCGAAACATCGTATGAGAAAAGCAGCCGCGAAAGAAGCACGTGCCTACAAAAAGGTCCAAGCTTGGACGCAATGCATTCGCGACCCCAAGCCGAGAAATGGCCATGGGTCAGAATCCCGTACCTCCAGTGAACATCCCAATCCCCACTAAAATAGACTAAACTGGGTGGTGAATTCACCTACCCCAAAATGGGATCCCATTGGTTTTGCCCCCCAGCCGAGAAGTTTCCCTTTTCGGATCGAGGCGGCTGCCGCTGCTTCCCAGGTGCCCGGTTTGTCCCTGGTCCCCCAGTAGTGCGCTTTTACCCTTTTTTCCTTTTTTGCGAGGGTTCCCCTACTAAAATAGACTACAGAAAAAAGGGTACCCTTATTCTAACCTCTCTACTCAAGAACCTAGTTGACCTGGCCGAATTTTTTGGAGCACGGGAAAGTTGAATGTTCTACGACACATGTTCCAAGTAGTCCCTTTCAGGCGCGCGATTGTCTTTCTGGGAGACTTTGCAAGTTGACGTTTGCTTCCAGGTGCAAAATGAAGAGCTTGAAGTGCTTCTTTTGGTGGGTCAATGTGCGCGGCGCTGAACGCCGCATCATTGGCATGATGGTCTCTTTGGCTGCGTGTCCAAACAGGGATTTGCACCCCAAACTGACGGCCTTCCTTTTGGTTTGCCTTGAACGTCAATCCAAAAGGGTCTATTTGTCTATCTACTCTAATCTAATCTAATCTAATCTAAGCTAAGCTAAGCTAAGCTAAGCTAAGCTATCTATCTATCTGTCTGTCTGTCTGTCTGTCTGTCTATCTGTCTATCAAAGTCTATCTGTCTGTGCCTTCAACACACAACCCTTTGGAAGCAGTCTTTTCGCAAACAGCATGACTGCGAAGGGGGGAGACAGCAGGGAGGTCTGTGTTCTTTGCGACGTGCTAGCATTGCTCCACACCTTTCATGATACTGTGGATGGTTGCAAAATCCATTTCGCACCGTTCAGAAATCCTGGAATGATTCGATTCCCCCATAAACAACAAAGTTATGGTTTTAACCATGGCTTCTTTGGTGGCACGAACTGGCTTTCGCCCATCCAAGGACGTGGGTCTGTCTTTTTGTTGTGGGAATGTACCCTTTTCTTGCTGGTTTTAGAGGGAACGGCCAAAAGGACAACCACCCTTTTGGGGGTCAAAAGTCACAGCCAGACGTTGCTTTTCTTGGAGCCTCGGTTGCATTGGATATGCTCAGCCCTTCCTTGGCCAGGGGCCTATGCCCCGAAGGGCAGCCGGAGGCTCAGAAAGGCCCAGCCAAGAGCCTGCGGCGGTCCAAACGTTGAAAGAATCTCTTCACTCCCGTCCTTCTGTTTTCTCATTTTTTCAAAAAGGAGCGGCATTTTCTATGAACGATTTTCGAGGTTCATTCTTCTCACTCATCCTTATCTGCCTATTTTTTGACGCGAGCTCACCGATATTTTTTGGGGTAGCACGAGCTCCATAGAGGCCTCCTTTACTTGGGGATCGAATTCTCGAGTCAGCTTTTGGGATGGTAAACATTTGCGACCTGGAGGAGCTTAGCTGTTTGATGTCCCCCTTTTCTGATGCCCCCGAGATTGTTTCTTACGGTTGACATGTTTTTACATATTTCTGAACATCCGTGTTACTTTGGTGTACCCTGGGCACTGGGGTTGGGCGATGCTATCCTCAATCATTTCAGTGAGCACACAGCTTGTAAACTGGCCAAGGGCTGTTTGCAGAAGCCGGACATTCGTTCTGATGGACACGGCATTTTTTCCTCTTTTTTTTTTTAAATAATAGTTGTTTTTCCTCCAGGATGCAACCAGTGTTCCGTGGGCATTGCGGCATTCCTCGTCGTGGGGGGGGTGGAAAAGCCAGCTGGACGCCCAACAGAATGGGCCTTCCTTCCTGGGTTGTTTCCCCTTTCTTTTTTTGGTTCCGGAACCGAACCAACCCAAAACCAGGCCGCCCCTTTTTCCTCGACCAACACACAATGCCCAGAAACAAATCCTCTGGAGGTTTTGTTGCTTCCATCATCTATATTTGCCCCGTGGATTCCTCTTCAGAAAATGCTAAAAGAGTGCAACATCATGCAACAATTGGTGGAATCGTTGCGTCTAAACTGGGTTTGTCTGAAATTAGGGACCCACACACCCATCATTTCGGGTTTCCTTTTTGGCTTGTTTCCCTTTACCTTGCTTGTGCTCAGTCGGGAATGAGCCTGCCAGTGTTTGGGACTGAACCTGAAGAAGGAAACCATAGGGGATGGTTTTTCTCCGGGGCATTCTGTCTCTCCTTCACCGGCGATCGGACCAGCAAGTATAACCCAGAAAAGGGATCCGATCGGGGGCATTCTTCGGCGCGGCTCAGGCGCCCACAGAGACGGGCCAAAGAGAGCAGCCCAGGCGGGGCTTGTTCAAAATGGGGGGAAGCCAAAGGAGACCAAAGGAACCTGGTTGGTGTTTTTTTAGACCAAGGGAAACCACAGGAACCGGTTTGGTGTGCTTTTTTTTTGGCGGGGGCTTCAATGTTTGAGAAGCCCTGATCGGGAAGAGAAGGCTGAATTTCAAGTTGTGATGGGCGCCATCGGCCAGAGTTTTTTTCTTTACATTACCCCTGATTCCCTTTACAGGGAAGCCAACAGTCAGCTTCCCACTGTTTGGTGCTTTGGATTGATGGTTTGGGATTTGAACTTGCAGAGGGAAAATGGGAAACCGCCCCGTAGCCACCAAACCGCCAATCCAAACCACCAATTCGAGGGAAGCTGAAAAAGGAGGTGGTTGAACATTTTGGTGGTGGAAGCCGCCAATCCAAACACGCAAGTGGCCACACCCCCAGGCCCGCCCGTTTGAGGGGGACTCCTTGTGATTGAGGCCGCAGCCCTCTCTGTGGGAAGCTAAGCGCGGGACTCGGCCGGCGGATCCGCCGTTTTTCTTCTTTTCTTCGGCGTCTGGGTCAACGTCTGGTACCGTCCTATTGCTTTGCCGTCTACTTACAAATGCTGGTGGAAGTCAAGATTGAAGTCCCAGGTTTCAGGATGGACGCTGGCCGAGAACAAACAACAAGCCGGTAGTTCAGGAAACTTCCCGCGGGGTTCGGCCGACCTTTTCCTGCTGGTCATGGAGGTGACTACTCGCAGGTCGCTTGTTTGACGTATCCGGCTGGTTTTGCATGTCTTGATGAGCTTTCCCCAAACTGCCACCATGCCTTTGTAAGTTCTCTAGCAAACGATTTGGATGTGCTTTCTGTGGATGTCACCAGTTCCTCTTTTGGTTGCTTCTTCTTTTAGTAATCTTGTAGTACTCTTCTGAGTCCTACAGGGCTGGATCCACAAAAACCACATCCAAACCGTTTTCTAGGACTGCGGCATGGCATACATGCTGCACATACATCATGGCAGTTTGGGGCTCGGGCTGTGCCCAGCAGGTTGCTGTTGAGCAAGGATGGGGCAGGTTGGAGAGAAGAACAGTACAGGTTTCAGGTTGGAAGTTGGAGTAATTCTAGGGGTTGATTCCTTGTCCATTCTTTTCAGCCAGTGTTCTTTTCAAACACCAGCCATTTCCCCGGGGTTTTGGTGGTTTTCTAGAAAGAAGGATCCCTGGAAAGAATGGGGAAGTTACCCCTAGAGAAATGTAAACAGAGGCAGAGAAGCAGGGAAGTAGAGAAGCAGAGAAGGAGAGGCGGCGGAGAGGAGGCGGAGAGGAGGCGGAGCAGCGGAGTGGTGGCAACGAGGCAAAGAAGAAGCGTAGAGGGGGCGGAGATGCGGCAGAGAGGGAGAGGCAGAGCCACACGAGAGAGAGAGAGAGAGAGAGAATAAAAAAGAGAGATACGGAGAGGGAGTGGGAGGCCGGGAGGGAGGCAAAGCGAGACCACGCCCCATGCTCAAAGGCACCAGTGTCATGCTGGGCCTTGTATGCACTGTATGCACCATCAAGTGTGTGCACAAACATACTGGAAGGGTGGTTTCCCTGCCCAAAAAGGGGGGGGGGGGTTGTAAAGTTGTACCCTGGAAGCCTCACAAAAGCGCACCAGACGTCAGGGAATTCCCCACCACAGCCAACTCCAGGGAATGTTTTTCCCTTTCCAGGACTTCCCCCAAGTGGCCATGGGTCAAAATTCTGTACCCCCAGTGACCATCCCAATCCCCACTAGAATAAAGCCTAAACTGGGTGGTGAATTCACCTACCCCGAAATGGTACCATTGGTTTTGACCCACAGCCAAGTGGAGCCGGAACTGCTGCGGGCATGCCTGTCCGAGGCCTCGGCCCAGCCTGGATCCCAAGGAATGGTTCAGGCGCTTTCCGCCGTCGAACTCGGAGCTCGGAGCTCGGAGCTCGGGGCTCGGAGCGCGGCGGAGCGCGAGTGCTCCGAGTCGCGCGTGGCGAGTCGAGTCGGCTCGGCCAGGAGTCTGGAGAAGGAGCAAGAAATGAGGGCCAGGCCGGGTGCGGAGTGATAATCGGAGCGCGGGCGGTTGCGCGGAGCGGCTTTCATGCCGCCTTGGGGCGAAATGCAGGGTTTCCTCATCTTCAGGCGCCATATGAAGTGCTGATGGTGGTGGTAGTGGTGGTGGTGGAGGTGGTGGAGGTGGTGGAGGTGGTGGTGGTGGTGGTGGTGGTGGTGGTCTTCCATGCTCAGTTTTGCTCTCCCATCTGACATGGAACCCACCAGTGGGTCGGTTCCTTGAAAGGAAAGCGGGGCCCGTGCCGTCCGGTCAGATTTCCATGTTGGGAGGGTAAACCGGAGAGTGATGAGCTCAACCCTACAGCTAACTCCGACCAATATTGACACGGGGTCCTGGAAGACCATTCTCCTTTTGAAGGGACCGCCTGTCAGGTTCCACGTTCTATACTTGAAAGGAGGGCAACTCCCACAGGCTGGCACCATGCTTAGCTTTGCCCCTTGCCTAGACATTGCACACGTCAGGTTGAATGGCCATAGCGGATTTGGCTCTGACTGGTCAAGTCGAGGACGGGGGACAGACACGTTGCGGAGCTTTACCTTGGCAAGCCGAATTTGGTGCGGACGCACCATTTTCGGAGGTTTGCCTTCAAGTGCGTGTGTCCTTTTTTAGGAGATCTCCCAAAATGGTTGCTTTTCTTTGACCACCCAAATAGGGGGTATCCTCAAAATGGCAGATCCAAATAGGGGCGAAGCCGCCTTGGATGTTTGTCTGGATTCCCCTTCCTCGAGCTGTGCCCAGTTGTGCCCCCGAAAAAGGGAAGCGCTGCTTTCCGGGAAAAGGGGGAAGATGTTCAGGTGACCCGGGTCATACATAGGCTAACCTTGCGTGCTGTGTGTTGACCTTGCGCAATTTTGCCTTCTCTTGGTTTTGGCAGTAGCTTTGCAAGATTTGACTCTGGTTCTGTGCTTACCGGCACCAAGCAGAGAGGCTGAGAGACGCAGGCGTAGGTGATTGTTTTGATCGGGGAAACCTTACACTCGTGCATCACATTTGCTTGTCTTCATCACCTGTCGAAATAAATTTCAACAAGGAATTCGCTTGCAAATGCTTGGACACAACAAATTACCGCTGAAGCACTCCTGGTCTCCACTCAGGATGCATCTGGTAGCTTCGTCCGGCTTTTCCAAACGAGCCCAAGCGAAGCTCCCAGGAGCGAATCCACCAGAGAGGCACGCGATTCGGCCGGGGCCGGGGCGAAATCGTCTCGAGGTTTGGAATGAGGAAACGATTCTTGAGGCTCGGTGATTCGGTGATTCTTGAGGCTTGGGGATTTCCTGGTATTTTTGCCGTCGTGAGGTTGGGAGTAGCAAGAGTCTTGCTGGTGAGCTCCATGTATTTTTGCCGTCGTGAGGTTGGGAGTAGCAAGAGTCTTGCTGGTGAGCTCCATGTATTTTTGCCGTCGTGATGTTGGGAGTAGCAAGAGTTTTGCTGGTGAACTCCATGTATTTTTGCCGTCGTGAGGTTGGGAGTAGCAAGAGTCTTGCTGGTGAGCTCCATGTATTTTTGCCGTCGTGAGGTTGGGAGTAGCAAGAGTCTTGCTGGTGAGCTCCATGTACTTTTGCCGTCGTGATGTTGGGAGTAGCAAGAGTTTTGCTGGTGAACTCCATGTATTTTTGCCGTCGTGAGGTTGGGAGTAGCAAGAGTCTTGCTGGTGAGCTCCATGTATTTTTGCCGTCGTGATGTTGGGAGTAGCAAGAGTTTTGCTGGTGAACTCCATGTATTTTTGCCGTCGTGAGGTTGGGAGTAGCAAGAGTCTTGCTGGTGAGCTCCATGTATTTTTGCCGTCGTGATGTTGGGAGTAGCAAGAGTTTGCTGGTGAACTCCATGTATTTTTGCCGTCGTGATGTTGGGAGTAGCAAGAGTTTTGCTGGTGAACTCCATGTATTTTTGCCGTCGTGATGTTGGGAGTAGCAAGAGTTTTGCTGGTGAACTCCATGTATTTTTGCCGCCGTGATGTTGGGAGTAGCAAGAGTTTTGCTGGTGAACTCCATGTATTTTTGCCGTCGTGATGTTGGGAGTAGCAAGAGTTTTGCTGGTGAACTCCATGTATTTTTGCCGTCGTGATGTTGGGAGTAGCAAGAGTTTTGCTGGTGAACTCCATGTATTTTTCCATGTATTTTTGCCGTCGTTCTTGAGCGTTGGGAGTAGCAAGAGCTGCTGGTGAACTCCATGTATTTTTTCCAATGATGTTGGGCAGCAAGAGTTTTGCTGGTGAACCTATGTATTTTTGCCGCCGTGATGTTGGGAGTAGAAAGAGTTTTGGTTGGTGAAGTCCATGTATTTTTTGCCGTCGTGATGTTGGGAGTAGCAAGAGTTTTGCTGGTGAACCATGTATTTTTGCAGTCGCGATGTTGGGAGTAGCAAGAGCCGTTGGTGAACTCCATGTATTTTTGCTGTCGATGTTGGGAGTAGCAAGAGTTTTGCTGTGAACTTCCATGCATTTTGCTGTCGTGATGTTGGGAGTAGCAAGAGTTTTGCTGGTGAACTCCATGTATTTTTGCAGCCGCGATGTTGGGAGTAGCAAGAGTTTTGCTGGTGAAGTCCATGTATTTTTGCAGCCGTGATGTTGGGAGTAGCAAGAGTTTTGCTGGTGAACTCCATGTATTTTTGCCGTCGTGATGTTGGGAGTAGCAAGAGTTTTGCTGGTGAAGTCCATGTATTTTTGCAGCCGCGATGTTGGGAGTAGCAAGAGTTTTGCTGGTGAACTCCATGTATTTTTGCAGGCGCGATGTTGGGAGTCGCAAGAGTTTTGCTGGTGAACTCCATAGCTTGCCGTCGATGTTGTATACAAGAGTTTTGTTGGTGAAGTCCATGTATTTTTGCCGTCGTGATGTTGGGAGTAGCAAGAGTTTTGCTGGTGAAGTCCATGCATTGCAGCCGCGATGTTGGGAGTAGCAAGAGTTTTGCTGGTGAACTCCATGCGTATTTTTGCAGCCGCGATGTTGGGAGTAGCAAGAGTTTTGCTGGTGAACTCCATATATTTTGCCGTCGTGATGTTGGGAGTAGCAAGAGTTTTGCTGGTGAAGCCCATGTATTTTGCAGCCGCGATGTTGGGAGTAGCAAGAGTTTTGCTGGTGAAGTCCATGTATTTTTGCAGCCGCGATGTTGGGAGTAGCAAGAGTTTTGCTGGTGAAATCCATGCATTTTTTGCAGCCGCGATGTTGGAGTAGCAAGAGTTATTGAGAACTCATGCATTTTGCAGTCGTGATGTTGGGAGTAGCAAGAGTTTTGCTGGTGAACTCCATGCATTTTGCAGTCGTGATGTTGGGAGTAGCAAGAGTTTTGCTGGTGAACTCCATGTATTTTTTGCAGCCGCGATGTTGGGAGTAGCAAGAGCTGCTGAGCTTCTCATGCATTTTGCAAGCCGCGATGTTGGGAGAGTAGCAAGAGTATTGCTGGTGAACTCCATGTATTTTTGCCGTCGTGATGTTGGGAGTAGCAAGAGTTTTGCTGGTGAAGTCCATGTATTTTTGCAGCCGCGATGTTGGGAGTAGCAAGAGTTTTGCTGGTGAACTCCATGTATTTTTGCAGCCGCGATGTTGAGGAGTAGCAAGAGTTTTGTTGGTGAACTCCATGTATTTTTGCCGTCGTGATGTTGGGAGTAGCAAGAGTTTTGCTGGTGAAGTCCATGTATTTTGCAGCCGCGATGTTGGGAGTAGCAAGAGTTTTATGGTGAACTCCATGCATTTTGCAGTCGCATGTTGGGGAGTAAGCAAGAAGTTTTGCTGGTGAAGTCCATGTATTTTTGCAGCCGCGATGTTGGGAGTAGCAAGAGTTTTGCTGGTGAACTCCATGTATTTTTGCCGTCGTGATGTTGGGAGTAGCAAGAGTTTTGCTGGTGAAGTCCATGTATTCTTGCAGCCGCGATGTTGGGAGTAGCAAGAGTTTTGCTGGTGAACTCCATGTATTTTTGCCGTCGTGATGTTGGGAGTAGCAAGAGTTTTGCTGGTGAGTCGTGATGTTGGGAGTAGCAAGAGTTTTGCTGGTGAACTCCATGCATTTTGCAGTCGTGATGTTGGGAGTAGCAAGAGTTTTGCTGGTGAACTCCATGCATTTTTGGCGTGATGTTGGGAGTAGCAAGAGTTTTGTTGGTGAACTCCATGCATTTTGCAGTCGTGATGTTGGGAGTAGCAAGAGTTTGCTGGTGAACTCCACTATTTTGCGTCGTGCATGTTGGGAGTAGCAAGAGTTTTGCTGGTGAACTCCATGCATTTTGCAGTCGTGATGTTGGGAGTAGCAAGAGTTTTGCTGGTGAACTCCATGTTTTGCAGCGTGATGTTGGGAGTAGCAAGAGTTTTGCTGGTGAACTCCATGTATTTTTTGCAGCCGCGATGTTGGGAGTAGCAAGAGTTTTGCTGGTGAACTCCATGCATTTTGCAGCCGCGATGTTGGGAGTAGCAAGAGTATTGCTGGTGAACTCCATGTATTTTTGCCGTCGTGATGTTGGGAGTAGCAAGAGTTTTGCTGGTGAAGTCCATGTATTTTTGCAGCCGCGATGTTGGGAGTAGCAAGAGTTTTGCTGGTGAACTCCATGTATTTTTGCAGCCGCGATGTTGGGAGTAGCAAGAGTTTTGCTGGTGAACTCCATGTATTTTTGCCGTCGTGATGTTGGGAGTAGCAAGAGTTTTGCTGGTGAAGTCCATGATTTTGCAGCCGCGATGTTGGGAGAGTGGTGCAAGATTTTCCCCCTGTTTAGGAGTACAAGAGTTTTGCTGGTGAATCCATGTATTTTTGCAGCCGCGTGTTGGAGTAGCAGAGTTTTGCTGGTGGTATTTTTGCAGTCGTGATGTTGGGAGTAGCAAGAGTTTTGCTGGTGAAGTCCATGTATTTTTGCAGCCGCGATGTTGGGAGTAGCAAGAGTTTTGCTGGTGAACTCCATGCATTTTGCAGTCGTGATGTTGGGAGTAGCAAGAGTTTTGCTGGTGAAGTCCATGTATTTTTGCAGCCGCGATTTTGCTGGGTGAACTCCATGCATTTTGCAGTCGTGATGTTGGGAGTAGCAAGAGTTTTGCTGGTGAACTCCATGCATTTTGCAGTCGATGTTGGGGGTAGCAAGAGTTTTGCTGGTGAACTCCATGCATTTTGCAGTCGTGATGTTGGGAGTAGCAAGAGTTTTGCTGGTGAACTCCATGCATTTTGCAGTCGTGATGTTGTGAAATTTGCTGGTGAACCATGCATTTTGCAGTCGTGATGTTGGGAGTAGCAAGAGTTTTGCTGGTGAACTCCATGCATTTTGCAGTCGTGATGTTGGGAGTAGCAAGAGTTTTGCTGGTGAACTCCATGCATTTTGCAGTCGTGATGTTGGGAGTAGCAAGAGTTTTGCTGGTGAACTCCATGCATTTTGCAGTCGTGATGTTGGGAGTGCAAGAGTTTTGCTGGTGAACTCATGTGAGTGTTGGGAGTAGCAAGAGTTTTGCTGGTGAACTCCATGCATTTTGCAGTCGTGATGTTGGGAGTAGCAAAGAGTTTTGCTGGTGAACTCCATGCATTTTGCAGTCGTGATGTTGGGAGGCAAGAGTTTTGCTGGTGAACTCCATGCATTTTGCAGTCGTGATGTTGGGAGTAGCAAGAGTTTTGCTGGTGAACTCCATGCATTTTGCAGTCGTGATGTTGGGAGTAGCAAGAGTTTTGCTGGTGAACTCCATGCATTTTGTAGTCGTGATGTTGGGAGTAGCAAGAGTTTTGCTGGTGAACTCCATGCATTTTGTAGTCGTGATGTTGGGAGCAGCAACAACAAGAGTTTGGCCAGCCTTTTTCAACAAGGTATTTTCAGAGGAGGCTGATTGAGACGGATGGTCAGCATGTGACCAGCTGCTCTACAGGAAGGTGAGCTCATGAGGTGGCAATGTTGTTTGGAATTGGAGGGCCATTGGGGATGTTGTTTGGTTTCATTCCGGGATTTTGGTTATTGCTTCTCTCTCTGCGCTGGCTTTTTTTTTGTGCGGATTGTTGCAGGTCTTTGCGGCTTGTGGGGGCTTTTGCACATTTCCGTGGCTTGTGGTGCCCGAGGCCAGCCCTAACCCTCGACCTACCCTAAACCAACCCTAAATCCACCCTCGAGCCTCGGCTCGCGTGGCCGAGGTTTCGCTGACTTCGGCAACTCGCGTGTAGCATCCTTCGCTTTTGTGGGAAGACAGCAAAACACACGCCTTTTGTTATATCAAGCACATGGGAGTGGACGTTGAGGGGATGGTGTGAAACAAGCCCTCCTCACCTCACTTCCATGATGGTTAAGAGGGCAGGCAACCAGGGGTTGATTAATCCTGATTTCGGGTGAATATTAACAAGGCGAACTTTGGGGGTAAAACCAGCTCACCCATGAAGGTCCCTCTCTTGGTCCGTCATTTCCGGTTCATGAATACGGCAATATGTCCCAAAGTTTTCGGTTGTTCCCTTTAATTAATCAAGTTTAATGTCCCTTGCGGAAAAAAAAAAACAAAAAACAAAAAACTGATCAGGCAAACTTTTTTTTTGAGGGTACCTTTCGGATGGTCCAGGAAAGGACGCCAGCATTTGGGGGTCCGAATCCCTTTGACCAGCAGAGAATTCACGCGACTCGGCAGGCGGTCAAGCTGGTGTGAAGGCAGCCGGATCCCAGTGGGCGCCCCAGAAGCAAAGGATATGGCGACCCAACTTGGCACCTGACTAGAGGTGCTATGATAGGAGGGGTACCATGCTTTGGCGCTTCTTTAAATGAATAAATCAATATATATATATATGCATATATATATATATATCCGTTGGGGGAAACTCAACGAACCTCAGCTCGGCTTGCTGATTCAAAATTGGCGCTGGCGGACATTCCACCGGGGCTGATCTGGGCGTCTGCTGGTCCGGGCAGCCTATCGTTTCGTTACCTGAGAGACATCTGCTTGTCCCACGTAGCGAGCGCCAGAGATAAGTCCACCGCAACGCAGAGAGACCATAGGTGTTCGTTTTTTGTTGTTGTTGTTGTTGGCAAAAGAATAGATGGCCTTGGTTTACCAGGTGGTTTACTCATCTACCAGGGACATCTATTTCCCCCAAAAGGACACCTATGAGAGAGACTCTAGCCAAGGAGTTTCGATCTGCGGCGGCCACGCATAGACCCTCTCAGACGTCGACTCCGCTGCAGCTTTGGCCTGTTTGGGTTGCGGCATGATGACAGCAGTATGGGTGCTTGACGGTGAACCTCCAGTAGTTTATTGGCATGTTGTTCAAGAGGATCCGTCAGTACTGCAAGGGCCCAAGCAAAAAAAGGGGGTGGACACTATTGAAGCTGCAATCAGTGATCATATATACTATAAAACGGAATAAATGATAAATGCCTAAAGGTTTTCTTGCTGTGTTATCATAGGTATAACTATATACTTCAGTTATGATACATATGTATATATACTATAGCACCCGTATTTTACTCCGGGTTTCTTGCAACTTGTGACCGGCGGATCTCGGGGAGAGCTGCGTGCCACTTGGCAAAATCGGGAACGGGTGGCATTCGCAAGGGTTCAACGGAGAGGCACTCGCTCGGGCAACCATCGGGCAATATGGATGCCTTCCAGGGGATCTTTAGCAGGGCTCCAGAAAAAAGGAAATTCAAGTTGGTACCAACTTCTTCTATCCTCTCTACTGGAGGACCTAGATGGAAACCATCACTCACTTGCTCAACTTTAGCAGGGCTCCAGAAAACGAAATTCATCTTGCAACCAGTTGAAGCATATGGCTTTTTCAACACCAAAATAAAGTTGGAAACCACCATTTGCAAGTTGCAATGTTCAGGTGTATAGTGTAAGGATCCCTGTTTAGGGGCTCTCAAAATGCTTGGTTCCCTGTTTGTTTCCCTTTCAAGCTAGCAAAAGAGGGGGACTTCCTCAAAAAGAGATACAAACATGCTTTGACCACTGGACACCGTTCTGACATTGCTTAAGGTGAGGCCCGTACTTGGACCAAGAGCCGGGCGGTCTACCTCTCACACCAACAGATCTACACATGGTTGTTGTTGCGAGATATTTTACATCTTTGGCTTCTTGCGGTTTTGTGGGACATCCAACCACTGAAGCGCTAAAATTTGTCAATTTTTGCTCCCCTAACCCATCGTCAAGTACAGCCTTCCACTAGGCGGGTGGACCTCTCAACACCTGGGGTGCCTTTCGATGGACTTACCACTTTGCTGTCAGCTGTTAGGTGTCCTTTTGATCGGGTGAGTTTGGTTAACATAGATGGGCTCCTCTGGTTTAGATTGGTTTGATGCCCCATTTTTACCCAGGGGAACCCAACGATTTTTAACCAAAAGGCGACCTATGGCTGTTGCTGTTGGATTGGATTTGCTGTTCGATCAGTCACCCACAGCTCCATGAGTAACCTCTCATTGGTACCCTCCCGTGCGCTAACAGGCAGCTTTGGGGGTCTTTGGAAGACCGCCCCAAAACATTTCGGCCGCTGGTGGGTTCTATGTGCGTTGGGAGGGTCGTCTACGGCTAGAGGTTTGCTGACTGCATCTATCTAGCTTAGCTTACCTTACCTGATCTTATCTTATCCTATCCTATACCATACTATCCTATCCTATCCTATCCTATCCTATCCTATCCTATCCTATCCTATCCTATATACCTATCTATCTATCTAATCTATATATCTATCTAATCTATCTATCTATCTATCTATCTATCTATGTATCTATCTATCTATCCATCTATCTATCTATCTATCTATCTATCTATCTATCTATCTATCTATCTATCTATCCATCTATCTATCTATCTATCTATCTATCTATCTATCTATCTATCTATCTATCTATCTTAGCTATCTTAGCTATCTTATCGTATCTTATCTTGTCTTATCTTATCTCATCTGTTCTTATCTTATCTTATCTTATCTTATCTATCCGATCCTATTAAATCCAATCCTTCCCCATTTTATCTTTTCTTATCCTCTCCTGCGCTAGATTGTGTTTATCTTGATTTTATCTTGTCCTCTCCCATCATTATCCTTAATGCTTATCATGTATCTCATCTATCTCATCTATCCAATCTATCTAGTCTATCATCTATGCAATCTAGCCTATGTGTCCTATTTATCCTGCCTATCCAATCTATCCAATGTCTACAATCTATCCTATCTACCCTGTCTTTCCCATCTATCCGTCCATCCATCCATCCAGCCAGCCAGCCAGCCACCCAGCCATCCCATCCAGCCATTCCATCCATCCATCCATCCATCCATCCATCCATCCATCCATCCATCCATCCATCCATCCATCCATCCATCCATCCATCCATCCATCCATCCATCCATCCATCCATCCATCTATCTATCTTTCTTATCTATCTTTTCTATCTCATCTATCTTATCATATCTATCTCATCTATCTTATCTTTGCTTTTCTTTCTTATCTATCTTATGTATCTTATCTATCTTATCTTGTCTATCTCATCAATATATTCTGATATAATCTAATGTAATCTAATCTAATAATCTAATAGAATCTAATCTAATCGAATCTCATCTAATCTAATCCAATCTCATCTAATCTAATCCTACCTATCTATCGTCTTTCTGTCTATCGATCTATGGATCTATGGATCTATGGATATGGATCTTATCTATTTGTCCATATATGTTGAAAGGGATTTGGACCCCAGACGTAGGTTTTGCTTGCGGTTTTTCTTACGCAGAGAAAAGAAAACGGGTTCCTACAATCGCAAGGGTTTCCTTCGGGTTTCCCCTTGAAATGACCAAAAAGGGCTTTTCCAAATGGATGTTTTCCTTTTCTTGGTTTCCCCTTCAAACGACCAAAAAGGGCCCCCTCCCAGATATTCGCTGGGTCCCGCAGTAATGCCCTTCTCTCCCTTTTGTTGGTTGGGAGGGTTGCCCTACGAAAATAGACCTTCCTGAAAAAGTGGGTGAGGACCTACTTGGTGAAGCCCAACTGGCCACATTATTTTACTATGATCAAAGTCACCCCCTAAGTGGTGGGTTAAAGGGAAGCAGCCGATTCCATTTTATGACTTTGAGAACCCCCAGAAACCGTCAAAATAATGACCCCTGCCCAAAGGCAACCGTTGCCATATTCGGCCAAAGGGACCATTTCGCCAGGTCCTCAGACTGGCTGCGCTCGATGCGCGGAGGAGCGAAAGCGAAACGGTTCGAACGCGCGTGGGGGTTGAGTCGTGAAGACGAGGCGAAAAGTTTTCCGGCGAGGGATGCGGGGATTTTTTTTTTTTTTTTTTTTTTTTTTTTTTTTTTTTTTTCTGGGGGGGGGGTCAGGGGGTTTCAGTTTCCCCCCCCCAATCCGTTTTTATGCTTTTGCTCCTCTTTTTTCATTTTCTTCTTTGTTTTCTTTGTCCGAGTTCGGGTTTTCGGAATTTGGGGTTTTCGTGCGATTGACAGTTGCAAACCCTAACCCTCGTTTTTTTTCTTTTTTTTTAGGGTTGTCTGATTTGGGGGATGGGGTTGAAGATTATGGCAGCCGTGGTTCCAGCCGTTTTGCCAGATGCCCCCCGAGCTTTTGACGTTTCAGCCTTCGCGCCTTGGCCAGGCCTGGAGCTTGGGAGGTCGCGCCCAGGCCTTCGCGCCCTGGGGGCCGAGAAGGGCTTGGAAGGAGAGCTGACAGCAGTGGTCAAAACCCATGGCTTGGGGCAATGGGGGAACTTAGGGCCCCGAGTTTGCCAGACACCTTTTTGCGCACCTTGTTGCGGTTTTCGGGAGCCTTCCGCACGTTGTGGAGTTTTTTTTTCTTCTCGGGAGCCTGTGGTTTTTTGAGCCACATCCGAAGTGCTCAAGGGCACTGCGGGAGGTGTTTGCGAAGAACGTTCGAGTTATGTTTCTGGCCGAGACTCGCTTTTCCGTGGACGGAGCTCAGAGTTGGGAGGCTCAAGTTGCATTCGATGTGTGGCTCGCTTGCCCAAAGCCAACCTTTTGACCTTTTGGTTTCCCTTCTTGGTCCACTTTTAAATACGGGTCCTACAAGGTTCAAATTATTATTTCCAGGTCCTTTGGGCAACTGAGGTGACCATTGGTAGTTCGCAATACATCAGCGCGTTTTGTTTTTGTGTCTGTGTGGCGGCAACGGTCTTGAATACAGCGGACCCCAGCTAGAAACACCGCACACTGTTTGTATTCGCGCAAAACTTCCAACCAAGCTTGAGCCATTTTTCTTCATAAGAAAAAGGAGGCCACAATTTATAAGCCTGTTACGGAGGGTGGCATTCGTCCTGCGCCCGCCGCCAAAATCTCTACTTCTATTGGGTTGCATTGGATCTTTAGACTTTAACTTTTTGGGTTCCCCTCATACGTCCTTTGGGGTTGTACAGCGTCCTTTGAGGTTGTACATACGAGGATGTTCTGGGCGTTTTGGCTTGCATCGCCGCTTCGATCGATGCAGGTGCTTCAGGTGCCTGGGACTTCGACGCGCCTGGGAGCTCAGTTGATTCGGGCCGGACACGTGTGGGGTGATGTGTCTCTCTGTGTTGGTTTGTGTGTGTGTGTGGGTGCGTGCGTGCGTGCGTGCGTGCGTGCGTGCGTGCGTGCGTGCGTGCGTGCGTGCGTGCGTGCGTGCGTGCGTGCGTGCGTGCGTGCGTGCGTGCGTGCGTGCGTGCGTGCGTGCGTGCGTGCGTGCGTGCGTGCGTGCGTGCGTGCGTGCGTGCGTGCGTGCGTGCGTGCGTGCGTGCGTGCGTGCGTGCGTGCGTGCGTGCGTGCGTGCGTGCGTGCGTGCGTGCGTGCGTGCGTGCGTGCGTGCGTGCGTGCGTGCGTGCGTGCGTGCGTGCGTGCGTGCGTGCGTGCGTGCGTGCGTGCGTGCGTGCGTGCGTGCGTGCGTGCGTGCGTGCGTGCGTGCGTGCGTGCGTGCGTGCGTGCGTGCGTGCGCGCGCGCGTGCGTGCGTGGGTGGGTGGGTGGGTGGGCGGGTGGGTGGGTGGATAGGTGGGTGGGTGGGTGGTGAGTGGGTGGGTGTGTGTGTGTCTGTACGTCTGGAGGCAAAGACATGCGACGCAACTTGCGTCCGGAGACACGCTTGACTGGGCCCTGCCTTTTTAGTTGATCTTCCTCTCGATTTGAACAGTTCGACGACGTTGGTTGGTTTTGGAGTCCCACTCAAAGTTACGCACCAGGGTCTGATGCTCACACCTGTCCGTTTTTCATTGGAGCGGCAAAACCGTGCAAATTGGATTGGTGGGCCCCTTTTTTCGGGTTTCTTCCGTTTTCTCGGATCTGAACAGTTCGAGGACGCTGGTTGGTTTGGGCCCCCTGCCAAAACAAACAGTCGAGCGCTGAGGGTTGGCGATCATAGCTTTCGTTTTGTTACCAGCAGGGGCGTCAGGCTCACCATACCTATCTGAAGCAACGAAGCTATGGTATGGCGAGGGAAACGCGGGCTGATCACCCACGTGTACCTGCAGTGAAATGTGTGATTTGAGCCGTGCGCTTCCCAATCGGAGAAAGTGATGCTGTTCTCGCTGTTGCTTCTGCTCGACTTGCGTTTGCCTCCAAGGTGTGCTTTTAACTCACCAGACAATGCTTGTCGCGTGCTACGGGCCGATCCCATGTTTCGAAAGATATGCAGGATGACGGAAGAGATCCAGACGGCATTAGACTAGTTTCCTCTCAGAAGTACCACACGTGAGCACCATTGAGGCAGGGACACCGCTCGCGGACCTGTGGACTGGCGGGCCAAGTCGCTGTTTCCAACCCTTGGTCCGATCGAGTTGTGTAAAGGGAAAGGCTTGTACAAATCCTTGATACCTTTCCTGTAGAATTGGTGTCGTTTCAGGACCTTGATAATCCAACCAAGCTGTCTAACCTTGACAGAATCACTGTGCAACAACGCCGCCTTGATTCCACAATTTTGATCCTTGATCTCGCATCCGTGCTTCCCACTGAACATGAAGAGCAAGATGGGCTCAATGTTTTGATGGTGTTGCGCTACACAAGCAACATTGGCTCAGTCAACAAGAGCCAAAGTGCTACTGGCACATAGACGGCTGATAGAACATGGCCTGCGCCTGGAAACGGATTTTGATTCGAGCCAGCTAAACGCTGTGATTGGACGGGTGGATCAGAACCCTTCCCCGTTTTTTGAATTTGACCAGCGTAGAAGAGACGGAAAAAAGAGCTCAAAACCCACTACCCCAGTTTGTGGATCCCCCGCCAGATGTGCCACAGCTTGCAAAAACTCCCAGACTTACGCAAACGGGTGCTGAAAGCACATCTTTGCTGGATATTGTTAGATAGACAGATAGATAAGATAGACACCGGCGTAAAAGCGACAAAATGCCCGCTAACGAAGAGGGTGACTAAGCAAAAGAGCGCGAGGAGGGACAGGGGTGCCTGTTCAATTTCTGCTCCGAGCGGCTCATTTCAAACTCGGAGACTGGTTCTTGACGAGTCTTCACGTTCTCACGAGTCTTCACGTTTTGAATCATGCAGACAAAGCCCAATCTTCAAGCAGGAACAAAGGCGCAAACAACACGAACGGAAGCCTCAGGCGTCGACGGCATTGTTCCGTGGCCCACGCTTCCTCGTGGGTGTGGGTGTGATGGTGTGGGGTGGGGTGTGCGGTGCGGGGGTGCGGGGTGTGGGGGAGTGGGTGTGGGGGTGTGGGGGAATGGGTGGGTGGGTGTGGGGGTGGGGCTGGGGGTGTGGGTGGGGTGTCTGTGTCTGTGTCTATGTCTCGTTTTGACGGTACCCTTTTGTTGGTCTTAGATCAGACCTCTTTGATTTCATTGAGCACGCAGGGTATGCAATATGGGATCGGACATGTCACTTACACGTATACAAATGGAATGGCATGCAAGCATATACAACAGTTGGGCGAAGCGCCAGGTGAAGGGTGGTATTGCAATCGTTGAGAATCTTGCAGCGGACTCATATCATAGGTTTGGTGGTCACTCACATGGGAAGTTTGGACCAACTCTTTCTCTCTCCCACTCAGATGCACATATTGGTCACACGCCATTAAACATGTCGCGAAGCCCAGCGATGGGGCTTGAGCCTCTGTCTTTTGAATGACATGGTTGCTTGTCGCAGTCCCTTTTTTTGCATGCCAACCCGTCCCAGCTTGGTGAAGAGGAGATGTTGGATATGATATCCTCGTGTGGTATCATATGTCGTCATTTAACATCATATGACATGATGCGGAATTATGCAAGCCCGTGTCTCCCGAAATCATACTCCCTTTCAGATCAACCTACCCACACGCCCACGATCCGAAGCCTTGCCCAGTGAGAAGCTGCGGTCCAAGGCCTTCCGCGGGGGTGGGCTGGGTGGGGGGGATGACCTGAAAAGTCGGACTTGGTGAAGAAGTCAGACTTGGTGAAGAACCTGTAGAAGGGGCTGTAGGGGTGCGGCGTGGGTGCGGGAGAAAGCAGGATATTCCCTTGCACACTTATGTGGCTGTGGGTCAAAGCCAATGGTACCTCCACTTGGCCGTGGGTCAAAACCAATGGTACCATTTTGGGGTAGGTGAATTCACCACCCAGTTTAGGCTTTATTCTAGTGGGGATTGGGATGTTCGCTGGGGGTACGGGGTCTTGACCCATGGCCATGGCCATGTAGCTGGAAGTCATAGTCTTGTAAAACAAGGTGTGATTTGAACGCATCGAACAATTCCCCGGAGGCTTTCTGTGGGACAGTCCCAGCCAAAAAAATCGTTGCGACTTCGATTCTTTGCGGGAGGTTTCAGGCAAATGGCTGACTCAAATGGCCAGTGAATTCATGGTTTGGTTGGAAAGAGGTTGGCTTCCATTTATTTATTTGGTTTCCCTTTCCAACGAAGAAAGGGCCTTCCTCAAAAACAGACGGGCCCATGACCCATGTAGGGAAAAAGGGACGTACCCACAATGAGGACACTTCCCCACTCATTGAGACCTTGTTTCCCTTTGACAAGTTCACCTACGTGACCTTTGTGTGACCTTAAATTTATTAAAGCGCAGAACATGGTCTGAGGGGAGTCCGTCAAAACGGTTCGGAGAAGCAACGCCGAAACCATGGTGAGAACAATTTATTTGTGGTGGTTTTTGAGGACCCTGTCGCAACACCTTTTGCAGGGCGAAACGACCAAGCAAAACTCATTCGCAGGATATGACGGGAAGTTCATTTGCTCTGTGTCAAAGTGTTTTTTTGCCTGCGAGACTCGACTCAACGTGAAAGAGTGAGCTAATTACTGTCGAGGCGGGAACCATGCTGGTTTTATGCCTGTGCACGATTCTGAATTTTCCTGGAAATGGCAGGCGCATGGGGTGGGGATAGTCATGAACCTTTTGTAGCGGGTTTTAGACAATCGCTGAAAAGGTTTATACTGGGTGTGCCTTTGTTTGAGAGTATTGGTTTCAAAGGCAAAAGGAAAGCCACATTTTTTCTCCAGCTGAAAGCTGTGGGGTCTGTGCCCAGATAGGCTCTGGGGTGGGGAAGCTGTCCGGGATCGGAGATTCGGTTCCAGGATGTTCCCGGACTGTTGGGGATACCACCTGGCTTTATTATGATTGTTGTCAATATTATTATTGTTATTATTGTTATTATTCATATTATTATTGGTATTATTGTTATTATTCCTATTATTATTATTAGTGTTATTTTGGTTTAATTATTTTTCTTTTCCTTTTTTTTTTTTTGGGGGGGGGGGGGCGCTCAAAACAAGGCGCACCATACAAGGCGAGGCATACAAAGGGAGCTCGGACCATGGCTCCAGGCGGCGTCGCGGCTGTCGTGCCTTGACTCAGCCGGCTTGGCAAAAGGAACACATATACCATGCGTATCCCATGTGGAGCCACTAGTTTTGGGGTATGTGGGGGATGCCCATTTTGGTGTGGAGTATTTGTGGAGCCGCTGAGTTTGGGGTATGTCCATGTGTGGTGTGTGGAAACCATGTTTTGGCTTGGGAGTCACATGGACAGAAAGGATGCGGCAGTTTGAGTGGACACCACCAATTGATCGGCTTTTGATTTTGGGAAATTCCAGTGACCCCTGTTCTAGGCTAGGATTCTATGTTTAGCTCTGCTATCCACGACCAGGGGCTTGACTGCTGTTGGCAGGGGAGGCTTTCATTTCAGATGCCCATTTAGGAAGACCTCGCCTTGCGGGTTCCGCGGGTTCCGCGGGTTCCAATGAAACTCAAAAGTGGGCTGCCATGCAACTTGCCGCCGATCCTTCCTTTTGTTTTTCCTTTGGTATTTGTTCTTATCTTATTCACCAGTCTGACCTTCCTTCACTCGTCTTAGTCATATTTGTGTAGTCTTAGTTGATTTTCCCCCATTCTTATCCTAGATTTTATCTGTACACCTTTTCTCTTCATAAGTCGTGCCTTGCTGCCGCGGTTTTCAGCACGAAGCACCTGCCGTTTGTGACCCGTCCGGACTTGGAGCACGGACGTTCGAAGGTCGAAGTTGGGGTTGCAAAGCAAAAACGCCGAAGCGCACAGACCCGCAGAAGCCCGGTGGTTGGTCTCACGAATGGCCCCGGGATGGATGCTTTTCCGATTTTTGGTTTCTCCCTAAACCCCCAAAGGCAGCTGCGTCCCCCAGCCCAACCTGGCAAGCCTGGCTTCTCAAAGCCGCCGCAAAGCCTTGCGGGGTCAAGAGGGTGACCCCCCAAAACAGCTGGGTTTGTCTGAAAATAGGATGTGAACATCCCAGAACTTTGTCCTTTTGGGTTGCCTTTTGACACCATCCACCAGGGCAACGGACCCGCTCCAAGGTCCTCCACGGGCGCATTCTCGGCGCCTTGGCTTTGCGCTCAGGCGATTGACCGGCTGGGTATGGGTTAAAGATAACATCTACCAGGATATGGGGGTCGATTCCCCACCATGACCATGACCATGGCTGCAACTTGGGCGTGGTAGTTGCATCGCAGAAATGCAACTGCTGCTTAGGCAAATCTCGGAGAGTAGAAGATGGTATTAAGAACACTTTCCGCGTTCTTTTGTTTCTTTATCTTTTTCCAATCAGCTTTCTGAAAAAGAAATATAATAATAACAATAACACTAAAAATAATAGTAATAGTATTAAAAGTAATAAAATGATCATCATAATCATAATAATAATGATAATGATACGCATCAGTATACTTATAATCATCATGATAATCATCATCATAACAATAACAATAATAATTAATAATCATGATAAACATAATAATTAAAGTATAATAACAAAAATAGTAATAATAGTAATAATAATAATAGTTACAACAATAACAATAATAATAATAATAACAATAATAATAAAAACAAAAGCACATGCGGCAAATCACCTGGGGCAACTCGCGTGGGGTACTTTCCCGAGGCAAGAGGAAAACTCCTCCCCGCCGTGGCGAAGCCGCCTCGCTTTCTTGCAGCCCGTTCGTGTTTTTTTTTTGGGGGGGGGCAGTGCCTTTTTTTTAAACCCCCCCCGCCCCCGTGGCCCATTTTATTGGGATTGGGGGGGGGTTCTGCTGTTTGGGTTTAACAATCTTGGCAGAAGCGACCCTCAAAGGGTTTGGAGCCCTGCTCAAGTGCTTGGATCCAATGAAGGTGCGTTGCCTGGTGCCAGAATCATGGTTGTTGTTGTTGTTGTTGTTGTTGTTGTTGTTGTTGTTGTTGTTGTTGTTGTTGTTGTTGTTGTTGTTGTTGTTGTTGCCGAAGAATACTTGGACCAAGAGCCGGGCGGTCTACCTCTCAGACCAACAGATCTACACGTGGTTGTTGCTGGGAAACACTACATTTTTGCTTATTGTGGTTTAGTGGGACATCCCCGCTTAAGTGCTAAGATTTGAATTTTTGCCTCCCTTAATGTCAACCAAGGAATACTTATTGGTGGAGTTGGAATGTCAGTGTTAAAGGGTCACCCAAGAGGCATGCGACTATTCTCTATTCTGAACGACCCTAAAAACCCATAACCAAAGATGTGGTTGCAAGCTCAAACTGTTGGAGAATTCCGATTCGCCTCAGGAAGAAGTGTAGGTTTGGCTGGGATGTGTTGAACTAGCTCTCCATTCCTCGGCGTGAGCGTCCAGCTTGAGGCTCAAGGTTTTTGGGACAATGGCGTGGTTGTTCTTGGGACACATTTTACATTTTGCTTATTGTGGCTTAGTGGTTGAAATCCCACAACACGACACAGTCCCAAAAAACCAACTTAACCGCTAAGAAATAGAATGTTGCTCCCCTTCCAACGTCAACCAAGATGGGAACCTCAAAATGGCCAAAGGTTTCCCCCTTGGTTTCCCTTTGCAAAGCTCCCTTTCAGGGAGATTGGAACGGGAGCAGCGTCCAGCCATGAAGCTGGTTGGCACCAACTGTCACTGAGGTCAGTGCAGGATGCCCAGCCTTTTGCCACACATTCCATGGAAAGCTTGCCACTGGGAGGACATCAAGGTTGGTCGCAAGAGTTGATCAACAACCAACACCTCTCCTTCAAAGGGAGCAACAAACATGAGGTGGTCTAAACAGTTTGGTTGGGCATGGCTCCTTGAGTTCCAACAGTTTGAGTTCCAAGGGCATGCGCTGGAGTTGACCCTTTGCTTGAGTTTCAAGGGCATGCATCCCCCCGCCCCCAACACCCCCTGAGGAAACATGTTTGCTTCCGCAAGGGCTGAGAAGAGCGCAGCACCGGAAGCGGGGTCGCCCAGTTGCGGGACACTGCTTTCATGGCGCCCAAGGGGGGGGAGGAGAGGAGGGGGGAGGGAGCCCAAATTGGATCTTACGCCTTTAATCAGGCCTTATTTGGGCTCCCTCCTCTCCGAGCCCATGTTTTCCTTTCAATGGAAGCCAAAAAAAGGACGGCTCACACATTTTGGGCCCTTTTCGACCAACCCGGCTTCTTTTTTGGGCACCCAAGATGCCTGTCGGACAGCGGTCTTTCAAGGTTAGGGTTTTTCGCGGGCGCCGGGTTAGGTTTGGGGAAGCCAAATGGCTGTGGCTCAAAAACATGTGCCCATTGTTTGGCCCCTTGAATAGGAACAAAGACCAAGACCTGCGTACCCCCAGCTATTTATAACCCCAGCTGTTTAATTTTGAGCCACACCCAACTGGCTGTGGCTCAAAAAACCGGTACCAAAATGGAACCCTGGTAAGTGGAAACTTGGACCAAAAGCTGCGGTTCGCCCCTCCTGTTTAATTTTGAGCCACGCCCAACTGGAAATCAGTCCCTGCGCCGAAGTGGGAAACGTGAGGCGCCGAGCTTCTCGGCCCGCACCGAGAGGGTGGAGCGAGATCGAGCTCGCCCAGGACCCGGGCGGGTGTTTGGTCTCCGAGCCAAACGCTTTTTGATTTATGTGTTGGGGTAGACTAAACACCCTTGTTTTGACCCGCAGTGTGTGTGTGTGGCTTCGTTTTTTGTTTGAGGGTGCCATTTCTTTCCACCATTTATTCCAGAACATGCGGTTCTTGAGGGCACCGGAACTCTTTTCACATTTTGTTTGAAGAACGCACCCGGCGCCAGGAGCCTCCCAGCCCTTTGGCCTGAGGTGCGGAGTCGCCTCCGCCCGGTGGGCGGAGGTGGAATTTGGTGTTCGGGGAGTGGATGTGGCAAGCCGAGGGGCAGGATTTTGGTGTGTGCTCGCCTGTGTTTACCTCTTTGTTTTCCAGTTTTTTTTTGTGTGTTTTAACCAGTTCTTACTACTCGCAGTTTTTTTCTTTTCTGTTTTTACCTGTTTGTGTTTCTTACCGAAACAAGAAGACGCCTTGACACCAACGAGCTTTTGCTTTGCCTAGCAGGAGATTTCAGAACTGGCAAGTTGGATTTGAGGTTGCCACTTGTGGTACCCAAGGTTGGGCATCTCAGAAAGGATTATTTCCAGGATGCCTGGGTGGAGAGCACTCTTCCGCTGTGCAGATTTGCTCAACTCTTCGTGACTGCATCTTGTGCGAGGGCATGTTCAACGACGCGTTGTTGAACAAGTAAGGCAACTATTTTCCCTCACGCGCTGCTTTCAGATATCAGCATGTGCGCTAATTCAAAGAAGGCAGCTAAACCGCATCCACGCGGGTTCTCATGTTGTTGCTGTTGTGCAATTGATGTCACCGCTGCCGTTTTGCGCTTGCATGCGTGCCCGTGAAAATCTGCTGGGGGGCCAGTTGCTCCCCGGAAATGAACTGGATCGCTTGGATGGGTGGGGGGCATTGGCATTTGGATAGAGCAGAGCCAGGCAAGAGCAGCGGCGACCAGCGCAGGCCGGTTTTGGTGTTCCTTGGCATGACTCAGCACGCGCGATGCGCGATGCGCGCGCGTGTGCAAGTTCTGATTCCTCTCGGCTGAGATGTTCACACTTGCGGCTTTCAAGACTTAGATCTGTTGGCTTCAGAGCGACTTTGCCGAGGTAGCTGCCCCTTCTGGTGGCTGCTCCGCACTTGCAGTTTTCAAGACTTGTTGACTTCTGTGTGCGTTGGTGAAACGCATGACTTTCCCGAAAGAGAGATCGAGTATTTGTCTTCCACCCGGGGAGGACAAGAAACGGAACGGCAGAAAGAGAGAGCCAGAGAGAAAGGCAAATAAACAGAAGGAAAGAAAACAACACCGCCTTGATCAACATGCAAGTGCTCTTTTTCGGAAGGCTGTTCTTTTGGATAGGGTTTTTTCTTCACACTTCCATGTGAGGCTATTGAGTGGACATGTACTGAGCTTCACTGTTGGATCATGTGTTTAGGTTTTTAGTTGTTTTTTCTTCTTTTGTTTCTGTTCATTCTTAGTCGGGGCTTGCTAAAAAAACACAAAAAACTCCCAGACCGTGCTTCACGGGTTGACACAGCGAAAGGGCCTTGGAAGATGGCTAGAGGCTCCAGGGAAAGGGCTTCAAGGGAAATGGCGAACGAAGGCCTACGTGGCTTCCTGGGAAATGCCCAGAGGCTCTCTTTCTCTCTCTCTCTCTTTCTCTCTCTGGGTGTGGGTGTGGGTGTGGGTGTGGCTCTCTCTCTCTCTCTCTCGAGACAGCTCGACGGCTCAACCCGGCTCGCCAGGCGCCCGTCCCGCCGCGCGAAGCGCCGCGCGAGGCAGCTTTGCGCGAGCGGGTGCAGCCAGGCGCGGGGGGGTGCTCCGAAACGAGGGGCGGTCCGTATACGTGATCCTTTAAGTAGATCCCCCAGTAGTGCCCTTTTTATTTTTTTGGAGGGGGAGGGTTCCCGTGCTAAAATAGACTACAGAAAAAAGTGGGTACCGACTTATTCTAAGCTCTCTACTGGAGGACCTAGCTGTTGGTTTGTGATGAGCAAATTTATGTTGAGCAGGTCTTATCTCATTTAGGCTTGTGTTAAAGGGAAGTGATTCAAAGAACCTGTCAAACTGGCATGTTTATTACATTAGCTCAGTTGGCCAAGCGGGTGTGATATTTAATGGACATCATTTAGGTGGGGATTCACGCCCGCCAATCACTTTGGAAGTGCAATGATGTGGATCCTGTTCTTGGGGAGGTGGTAACATGGCACCATGAGCAATGATAGCAACCTGCATTTGACCGAGTGTCTTTTTCTGCTGTACCGACTTCAATGCCACGTCGGTCATGTCCCTACAGAAGCAACCGATTCCGCAGCCAAAGTGGTTTAGATACAGGGTGGCGGGTGCTCGACCAGTTTATCTGGAACCACTGCTTTGTGCTATACCGTGCAGGCTGCGGTTCTTGATGCTAGCTCTGGGCTTGACACGGTGGAAGTTTGCTCAATGAGAGTGCTGATGGGTGGAGCTGCCGATGCTTTGCAGACTGATTTGTGAACTCACTGTTCCTTGCCAGAGGCCTTGCGCTTGCAACCAAGCTTGGTACCCCGGACCAATGCCCAACGTCCTGCCTCGTCATCCCCGTGTTGTACACGGAGCTGTCTCGTCAAGCACTATGGCCTGCACGTCGAAGGAGGCCTCTGCCGGTTTTTTATTCCGCACCAATGCCGATTGAGGGGATTGCGTCCGGTGGGAAATCCCCACTTAACTGCTAATCGAGGTCGCGGGTTCGCTTCGGTCCTAGTTGCTGGCTCGCTTCGGTCCTAGTTTTCATCTCGCTTCGGTCCTAGTTTCCTTACTCGCTTCGGTCCTAGTTTCTTCGCCGTTGACTATGGTGTTTGAGAGGCAACATCCTTGACCCCACCCCACCCGGCATGTCTTGTTGTTAGGTGTTTGAGAGGCAACATCCTTGTCGACCCCACCCCGCCCGGCATGTCTTGTTGTTAGGTGTTTGAGAGGCAACATCCTTGTCGACCCCACCCCGCCCGGCATGTCTTGTTGTTAAGTGTTTGAGAGGCAACATCCTTGTCGACCCCACCCCGCCCGGCATGTCTTGTTGTTAGGTGTTTGAGAGGCAACATCCTTGTCGACCCCACCCCGCCCGGCATGTCTTGCTGGTAGGTGTTTGAGAGGCAACATCCTTGTCGACCCCACCCCACCCGGCATGTCTTGTTGTTAGGTGTTTGAGAGGCAACATCCTTGTCGACCCCACCCCACGCGGCATGTCTTGTTGTTAGGTGTTTGAGAGGCAACACCCTTTGCGTGTGTCCTGTTGTTAGTGCTCAAAAAGCTATCTTCCACTGCGCCTGAAGTGATCCAAAAAATGCGACAGAAGTGATCCGCAAATGCTCAAACTACGACCAGAGTGAGTGGATTTCAGCTGCGACCAAAGTGATCCAAAATCTGCGACCAAAGTGATCCCCCCGCCGATTGGGTCCGGTGGGAAATCCCCACTTAACTGCTAAAATTTATTATTTTTGCTCCTCTTTTTTCGTCAATCAAGTTTGAGTGGTAAACAGAACCCCCCCCCCCCCCCCCCCCCCCCAACACGCCACGTGTTCTCTCTAGATGTCGCGGCCTAGGAGCGCCCGCGCCCCCGTCGGCGCCGTCGGGGACCCGGGGGGAGAGCTTTTCTTGCCTGAGAATGAGGCATGGTTTGGTTGGAGGGTTCCCTAGATGTCCCTCTTTGTGGTTGGAACCATCACCTTTTGGACCACAAGTTCAGGTGAGTTTCATTTTGGTGGGGTGATGTTGAAAAGGGAAATATAGGGAGCCCTGTTTGTTGGAGGGTACCCTTTTTGTGATGGTTTTGAAGAGACCAACATGACAACCACAATTCTTTGGTCCCCGTATTTTTTGACACTGAGGGGCATCGCAGGGGGATTTGCGGCTCTGCGGATTCTTGGCTAGACCCGGGCGTTTATTGAGCAGGATCGGGTGTTTTTTTCGTTTGAACATCACTGCAGCATTTTGGCCCTCCGAAAACCTAGTCACGGAGCCCAATTTTCTTGGTGCTTGTTTTTGAGGGCTTCCTTGTAAACTTGAGCTGGACATGCGCGGCTAGAAACCAAGAGACCAACCAAGATGCCGTCTGACGCAAATATACTGGCTGCTCTCCAGGGGATGAGGAAAGGCATGAGCAGGGGCATAACCTACGGCTCTATTTGGCGTGGATGAACATCCATTTGCCACCTATTTTGATGTTCACCAGGGGTACAGGGTTTTGACCCACAGCCATATCTGCCACAAACCAATGGGTTGAATTTGAGAAAAAGGTGACGACGCCCGTAACGCGCCCTGCGTTTTCAGCAACTCACCCCGACCGCGAAAACCTCGCCTGCCAAAAAGAATGTTCCGGATGCCTCAAATCCTCCACGACGGTGTTGTCATTTTGGACCTGACATGCGTTTCGCCGAGGCGAAATCACGTTTCTTGAAAGAAGCAGGAAAGCGAAACTTCGTTTTTTTGCGAAGCTTTTATAGATCAGGCCGCCATATAGCTCAGGCCGACATGCACAGCTTGCCAGCTGCTGATACAGTGCTGAGCGGGGTCAGTTGAGCGGTTTGCTTATCATTTGGCAGCGCGTGGATGCAGTGCTGAGCGGGGTTGCTTGAGCGGGCGTGCTTATCATTTGGCAGGGCGTGGATACAGGTGTGCAAGGGAGGCGTTGCGCGGAGTGATGAAGTTGGTGACAACGCCTGTCGGAACCCCGCGAACAAACGAACCCGTGAAACGTCAAAATTGGCTAAACCTGTAAAACGTCTAAAAACGCAGGGTGCGGTTTGAGCGTTCTCACCATAACCTATGGTTCCATTCTGGGGTGGATGAACACCGGTCGCTGAGGCCCGAACCTGGCAGGACTCCGGCAAACGAGTTCGTGTCCTGCGCGGCTGGTTGGGCCAGACATACACAGGGCTCCGAAGAAAAGAAATTCATGTGGCAACCATTTGAACCATGTGGCTTTTTCCACCTAAAATATCTCCATTTGGCAACCGTTTGAAAAATGGCTTTTTCCACCTTTGATGAAGGGAAACCACCATTTGCAAGTCAATGTTCAGGTGCATAATGTAAGGATCCCTGAGACATCCCCCACCGAAATGTTCACCATTGCGGGCCTCACTAAAAAGGAGGCATCGCCCCAGCAAAGGGGCGATGTCGTTTCCCGGAGGAAGGGGGAAAGGAATGCACAAAGAGAGTTCGATCCTAGAGATTTTGGGGAGTTTACTTTGAACTGGCAGGGTCCGAGCGCTGGGTGCAGGGTCCGAGTTTTGGGGGCTGGCTCGTGTCGGTGAGTCTCCCAAGTTCATTTTGCGCCAGGGGGCCTATTTTGGTAGGCTTCCATTTGCTGAAATGATTTGTTTTTATTCTCCCCTGTTGGTTTCAAAGGGAATCTATCACTACTGGTAATATATATTATTATTTTTTTAATTTTTTCCAGGGGACTTGAGCAAGTGGAGGTAGGGCTTCATGGCATTTGATCAAAAGGTCCAATGGACATGTGATGAACCCATGGGTTGGAAAACCACGAAGAAGAATGAGATTTCCAAATTGGTCGTATTTGTCCATGGGTCCTTGTATTGTGTATTTCTTTCCTTTTTGGTAGAACACTTTGGCCCATTTGAGGTGAGTTTCCCCTTTTTGGGGTGATATCCGTTTGGGGTGAGTTTCCAAGTTCCTCTTTTCAGGGTGATATGCTTCCGGAGAACTATAGGGAGGCTTGGCGATGCTTTCTGCGGAGTACACATTTGTGATCATCTTGTTGCAAAGACTTTGAGAGATATCGGTATGGCTTTTTTAAGGTGCCCGTGTTTTTGGTTTGAAAGGAAACCAACAGGACAATCACCATTTTTTGTAGGGGGGTCCTACAAAACGAACACTTTGAGAGATACTGCGGCTGGGCGAAATTCGGTCGCACCACGTTGAAACCGTGGTTGAAACCATTGTTTGTTGGTATTTACAGGGGATTATCTTTCCAGAGTTTCTTAGGTGCAGGATTTCTGTCTGGTTTTGGGGAACCGCCCCCCTCTTGGTGGATTTTGGTTTGGGCAACCCAAAGAGAAAGCTGGAGGTCCCTTCATTTTGGGGCAAGCTCATAGCAACTGCCGCTTGCCCCATTTTCATTTTTTCTCTTCTACCCACAAGAAAGAGACACCGATGCGGGGCATTTTTTCTTGACAGCTTGTCAAAACGGACCCGTCGCGGTGACCCCAGGATTCGGCAGTCTCCTCGGAATCGGATGCGGGCCGGGCCTTACATGACCCAGGACTGGAGTCAGGCGGTCGTCTCCTCAAACCGTGCAAGCCATAGGTTTCAACTTTTTGGTTGGTTTGGTTCAAAAATCGAGAGAGCGGTTCCTGGTTTCCCTGGTGGTTCAATCATCTACCAGGGCCATCGATTATTCCAAAAAGGACGCCTATGGTGCAAGCTGTTTGCCGAAAACATTTTGAGCCAGATTGGCTTGTTCTAGATTCTAGATGATCTTGGGACCGAGCTTGTTACATGGGTTTGTGATTTTCCTCGCCTTGTGTTCCCGCGGCAGAGACGAGAGTCACAGGGGCATGGGGTTTCCAGTTCCTGATTCTGTTACAGGAGGGTTTCACCAACGTTAGGGAGCCCTTTTGGTATCCTTTTTACATCGTTGTTGCTGGGAAACATTATACATTTTTGCTGATTGTGGTTTAGTGGGAAATCCCCACTTAACTCCTAACATGTAAGTTTTTGCTCCCCTTCCAACGTCAACCAAGAAAACAGACGCGTCTCATGTCGAGCGCAACTTGGATCAAGACCACCAAACCACCAGAAGAAAAAAACGGCTCCGAAAGCTGTGACGCGCCGGCCTTTTTTGCATCCTTTCCTTGGTGCGATAGGTAGGGATTAGCAAGGTCATTCCAATTCTCATTCTCTGCTGAGCACCAGCCGCAAGCAAACAATCCAGTTGGTATCCCTGACAGCGCCTGGACCTCAACCGAAACTCTGCATCCCTCCGGAATGAAAGCCGCCCAAGTTTTGCTTTCCTCAGGAAGCTCTTGTGCAACCATGCAAGGCGAGCGGACTGGGGCGGGGGGGGCGCAGTTGCAGACCCGAACAACATGCACCCCGCAAATCGCTCTTTGGGACGACGTGGAGAAACAACCCAAGCTTCGCCGAATTTACCCAGGAAAGCTTTCAGGAATCTTCTTGCAAGACATAGGGTTTGCTATTTGGCCTTCTCGTAAAGCATAGGGATATATATATATATATACACATATTTATAGAGGACTGGTTGGCAGAGTTTTGAGAGCCATTGAATCATTCTGGAGTGAATTTGTTGCGGAATCGCTCAGGGGTTCTCGGCCATGGGTTTGGAGAGCCCCCCTCAAGGCTTCACCTTCGGCGCCTCGAGCGCTGAAAAAAGTCCACTTGCCGAATCGAATCGTGAGCTATCCAGGTGCCAGGATTCCACTGCTGGACTGCAACATACTTGTTGTTGGGACACATTTTTTGGCATATGTTTGCTGAATTTGTGGTTTAGTGGTTGGAATCCAACCACTTTTAGCTGCTAGATTTATGTTTTTGCTCCCCAAACCCAACGTCAACCAAGACCGATTTCAGAAAGCCCAGCGCAAAGAAACGCTGCTCTTGCAGTCAGCTCCGACAGGTTCTCCTCGAGAGGATCGAATATAAAATCGGTAGGTGCTTGCACAGGGCTCCTTAAAAGATCTCCATTTGGCAACCAATTGAAACATGTGGCTTTTTCCACCTTTGATAAAGGGAAACCACCATTTACGAGGTGCAATGTTCAGGTGTATAATGTAAGGATCCCTGTTGCAAGTGCCATGGAGGTTTTGTGGTCTTCGAGTAAAACACGATGTCATATTGCACATGTTTCAACACAGGCATAGCTTTTACGACTTTAGTTGTCGCTGGAATGTCGGGATGTGTTTTTTGTTCGCATGGAAGGTCGCAACTTAAGATGCGACAAGCTGCAAGCCCACCCCGCGCATGGCAATGCAGCATGTGCCGAGTCGAACCGCCGGCGGGATTGGGACTCGCTACATGCGAGCAGCAACGAGCCTCAACTTGTCCATGTATCTTATGCGGGAGGGTACCTTGAACTTCACTCTTCTTGGCTCATGTTTTATTGTTTGTTTGTTTTTTGGTTTCTTGGTTCTGTTCATTTTTTACCGGGGGTCCGCAAAAAATCCGTCAGTTCTCCGCGCGACCCATACCAAGCGACGTGGTCCGTCCGCGCCTCCTCTCGGGAGCTGTCACGTCTGATCCGTCCGATCTGTTTCCAGGGGCCCCTCTTCCGAGGTGGGACAAAGACGTGCGGCTCATGGACGAAAGGACCACCAAAAAGGACCACCAAAAAGCCGTTTTTTTTGTGGGGAAGTCCTGCAAAGCGAACACTTTGAAAGATACTGCGGATGGTTGCGAAATCCGGTTTCGCAGCGCTTGGGGTGACGGTTTCCATGGTTGAAACCATGGGTTTGTTTTCGTATTTACAGGGTCATTGATTTTTCCAGGGTCGCTTTTCGGTGGTGCGACATGGATTTCGTCCATCCACAGTATCATGGTTTTTTTGACCTATCGCCAAACCCCATGAGTTTTGGCGGTCTTCCAACCAAGCTGTTTTTCTCATCTTCCGTTTTTTTTTTTTTTCTCCACCCCATGGCCGTCCCACTGGGGCCATTCTTTTGGCGGTTTCTGGGTGTGATCAAGGTCAGAAGTTTGAAGATGCGGTTGTTTTTCCCCTTCACCCACCACTGAACGGGGCTGAAATTTTGATCACGAGAATGAGGCCAGTGGATGGGAAGCATTTGGAGGTCTTCCAGGGCGGTTCCCTCCTTAAATTTGCTTTACTCAGTTGTTCGAAGCGAATCGACCTTTTGACCGATGGTTTTCCCATTTTGGGTTCCCATTTTTAGTAGAGGTCCCAAAAGGTGATCACCTTTTATTTCCAGGTCCGAACTGGGCAAGTGAGTTTATCCCCAAGAGCCACCCAACTGGGGCCAGTCATTCCCTCAAGTTCCCTCGGAGCTTCTGACCTCCTCTCGCGCCAGGGGCACCCGGAGTCTGGGGCCAGCTCTCGCGCAGCGCGGGCCCCCAATTGGCCAAGAAGCGGGGCGGGGTCGAAGCGCCAGGGGCTTTTCCAAGGCAGCGCAGGGTCCGGAAGTTCTCAAAGGAAAGAGGTTCGGAAAAGGTTGGTATAAGCTTTCTGGGATGGAAAAGGGTTCAAAGCGCAGTTCTGAGAAGGTTGGATCTGCTTTCTGGCATGGAAAAGCGAGAAAAGGATCTAAAAGAACTGGTTCTGAGGTTCGATCCGAAGCTTCCTAAGTTGGGGAAGGTGCGGCTTAAAGTGAGACTTGGTGCTGAGGACACGGGGTTGCAGGAGTGTCCGCATGGGAACCTGAGGTAAGTCTTTGGTGAATTTTGCCTGGATGTTAGGACTTTAACTTTTTGCCAACTAATGGGTTTTCCATTAAACCACTAAAAGTTAAACCTTTAGCAGGGGAGCAGAAAGCAACCGAGAAGTAATGCGCCGCGGAGAAAGGCAAGCTTGATGGTGATGAACTTCCTTTGTGGCTTTGGCACTAGTTCCGGCGGATCATGTCTTGCAGGGCTTCGTCGGGCGCATCCTTTGATATGTCCAAGTCTCTACAGCTTCGTTGCACGTTCATGTAGTTCCAGGCATCGTTTGTCCATCGGGGTGTAGGAAAGGCTGCGGCTCCTTTTGTGGTTGTGCAATAAACTACGCTGAGGTTTCAAGTGCTTCCCAAACTGACGGGCTTGAAAGGATGGGTGCTTCAGCGCCTGAGCGCCGAAAAGTTGCTCAAGCAAATCAAGTCAGAACGTTGCTTTGTAGTGAATTCGAAAAGGGTCGCCATGCAGATCTTTGTGAAGACCTTGACGGGCAAGACCATCACTCTGGACGTGGAGGCGAGTGACACCATCGACAACGTCAAGGCGAAGATTCAGGACAAGGAGGGCATCCCTCCTGACCAGCAGCGCTTGATCTTCGCGGGCAAGCAGCTGGAGGACGGCCGAACACTTTCAGACTATAACATTCAGAAGGAGAGTACCCTTCACTTGGTGCTGCGCTTGCGAGGTGGCATGCAGATCTTCGTGAAGACCTTGACGGGCAAGACCATCACTCTGGACGTGGAGGCGAGTGACACCATCGACAACGTCAAGGCGAAGATTCAGGACAAGGAGGGCATCCCCCTGACCAGCAGCGCTTGATCTTCGCGGGCAAGCAGCTGGAGGACGGCCGAACACTTTCGGACTATAACATTCAGAAGGAGAGTACCCTTCACTTGGTGCTGCGCTTGCGAGGTGGCATGCAGATCTTCGTGAAGACCTTGACGGGCAAGACCATCACTCTGGACGTGGAGGCGAGTGACACCATCGACAACGTCAAGGCGAAGATTCAGGACAAGGAGGGCATCCCCCTGACCAGCAGCGCTTGATCTTTGCGGGCAAGCAGCTGGAGGACGGCCGAACACTTTCGGACTATAACATTCAGAAGGAGAGTACCCTTCACTTGGTGCTGCGCTTGCGAGGTGGCATGCAGATCTTCGTGAAGACCTTGACGGGCAAGACCATCACTCTGGACGTGGAGGCGAGTGACACCATCGACAACGTCAAGGCGAAGATTCAGGACAAGGAGGGCATCCCCCCTGACCAGCAGCGCTTGATCTTCGCGGGCAAGCAGCTGGAGGACGGCCGAACACTTTCGGACTATAACATTCAGAAGGAGAGTACCCTTCACTTGGTGCTGCGCTTGCGAGGTGGCATGCAGATCTTCGTGAAGACCTTGACGGGCAAGACCATCACTCTGGACGTGGAGGCGAGTGACACCATCGACAACGTCAAGGCGAAGATTCAGGACAAGGAGGGCATCCCCCTGACCAGCAGCGCTGATCTTCGCAGGCAAGCAGCTGGAGGACGGCCGCACGCTTTCGGACTACAACATCCAGAAGGAAAGCACCCTGCACTTGGTGCTGCGGCTGCGAGGTGGCATGCAGATCTTCGTGAAGACCTTGACGGGCAAGACCATCACTCTGGACGTGGAGGCGAGTGACACCATCGACAACGTCAAGGCGAAGATTCAGGACAAGGAGGGCATCCCCCCTGACCAGCAGCGCTTGATCTTTGCGGGCAAGCAGCTGGAGGACGGCCGAACACTTTCGGACTATAACATTCAGAAGGAGAGTACCCTTCACTTGGTGCTGCGCTTGCGAGGTGGCATGCAGATCTTCGTGAAGACCTTGACGGGCAAGACCATCACTCTGGACGTGGAGGCGAGTGACACCATCGACAACGTCAAGGCGAAGATTCAGGACAAGGAGGGCATCCCCCCTGACCAGCAGCGCTTGATCTTTGCGGGCAAGCAGCTGGAGGACGGCCGAACACTTTCGGACTATAACATTCAGAAGGAGAGTACCCTTCACTTGGTGCTGCGCTTGCGAGGTGGCATGCAGATCTTCGTGAAGACCTTGACGGGCAAGACCATCACTCTGGACGTGGAGGCGAGTGACACCATCGACAACGTCAAGGCGAAGATTCAGGACAAGGAGGGCATCCCCCCTGACCAGCAGCGCTTGATCTTTGCGGGCAAGCAGCTGGAGGACGGCCGAACACTTTCGGACTATAACATTCAGAAGGAGAGTACCCTTCACTTGGTGCTGCGCTTGCGAGGTGGCATGCAGATCTTCGTGAAGACCTTGACGGGCAAGACCATCACTCTGGACGTGGAGGCGAGTGACACCATCGACAACGTCAAGGCGAAGATTCAGGACAAGGAGGGCATCCCCCCTGACCAGCAGCGCTTGATCTTTGCGGGCAAGCAGCTGGAGGACGGCCGAACACTTTCGGACTATAACATTCAGAAGGAGAGTACCCTTCACTTGGTGCTGCGCTTGCGAGGTGGCATGCAGATCTTCGTGAAGACCTTGACGGGCAAGACCATCACTCTGGACGTGGAGGCGAGTGACACCATCGACAACGTCAAGGCGAAGATTCAGGACAAGGAGGGCATCCCCCCTGACCAGCAGCGCTTGATCTTCGCAGGCAAGCAGCTGGAGGACGGCCGAACACTTTCGGACTATAACATTCAGAAGGATACTTGACGGGTTGGATATTTGGACTTTTTTGTTTTTTTGTTGGCAATCAAGGGGTTTTCCACTAAGCCCACAACATGTTAAACTTTTCGCAGAGGGGGCAACAGCAACAAAGGAAAGCACCCTTCACCTGGTGCTGCGCCTGTGATCTTGTGATGGCGGTGTTCTTTGCGTGGTCCTGTGGCTTCTTCTTTTTCTGACTGTCATCAGGACGGCGCCTGAATTCATCAGGACCGGCGGTGGGCATCCCTAAGCGGCCTGTACAGCCTGCCCACTGTCAAGAGCTGGGTGACTTGGGGTTTCTCAAGATGGTGGACCCACCTTTTAGTCGATGGTCAATCTAGGGGTACCCTCCATTTCCATTCTTTCTACCGATCCGAATCTCTCTAAAAAACCTCCAGAATCCCAGGGAAACGGCAGGTTTTTAGAAAAGAACGATGGTTGAAAAGAATGGGGAATCAACCCCTAGAGTTAAAGGGCAACCGAAATGGCACCAATGATTTTAGGGTACCTCTATTTGGAGAAACACCCGTTTGAGCTCAGGCCAGTTGACCAGAATTGTTGCCTGGTGTGCGTCCCAGTCCTTTTGGGGCCTGTACAGCGACCACCGGTGCCGCGGTTCGATGTGTGGATCCTTGTGCTGGTCGCTCCGTTGCCCCCCTCAAAAAAGAGCCTCTCGCTCTTTCTCTTTCTATGATCACAAGCGGGTGTGTCTTTGTGGACGTTACCCTTTCCTTCCTGGTTTTAAACGAACACCACAAGTTGAAAACCAGCCTTTGCAGAGGCGAATTTATTTTCCCGGTGGGAAGAACCAGCCACCCGGTTCCTGGGCTTTTTCGCTTTTTGGTTGGTTGAGTGGTTGGGCTTTCCGACTTGGCCCACCAGATATTCGCTTAGAGCAGGGGATCAGAACACGGCCAGCGAGGCTTCAACGCCCTCCTCGCCGCCCGAGTCGCCCTCGGAAGGCACGTTGGTGTCCGCGCAACGCGCGTGGTGTCCGAGCCAGTTCCAACTTGTTCTTGTTGGTTGGATAGGGAATGAGATGTGAAGAAGGGCCCTGAGATAAACAATCCAACTGGTGGTTTCCTTTTTAAGTGAATCCCTAGGTTCATTCCCAAAACCCGGAAGGTCATTCCCTACCCTTCATTTGCTTAACTTTTTTTGGTTGGTTTTAAAGGGAATCTATCACTACTGAAATTATGTTCTTTCGTTCTCTAGGGGGCTTAAGCAAATGGAAGCTACTGAGCAACCAGCAAGTTTTGGAACCTCCAAAAGTGGCAGCCACCAGTAAAGTGAGCAGCTTTTGATTTGGGGAAATCCAGCGGCCCCTAACATAGGTTGAACTTGTTTGGCTCTACTTAGGAAGTTTGATCGGAAGTGAGTAAGGGGGGTTGGTTGGCATACCACGGGAATTTGGGGGGGGGGGGGGGTGACTCTGATGGTAACACGTGGTGACGGGGCTTTGGGTGGCTCGTTAACGGGTGCGAATTCTAGTGTCATTCTTGGGGGCAGCGCCAACACCCTCTTCATCGACATGGAACTCACGCCATCCTTAACTTGGTGGCCCCCAGCCATCCCCTTAGCTTTTTAGCCTTTTGGTGTTTGGTGACCCACTAGGAGTCTAACTTGAAGCAGGGGATCTGAGGGCAGCCCAGTTAAGAGGACGCTCCTTGTTGAGGGACCCCAAAAAGGTGGGGGTTCCAGGATCATTTATTGCGTCATCTCCGAAGCAAAAGCTTTCCTTGACCCTACGTTACCCCCACCACAAAATCATCACATCCACTGCGTTGATCATGGGCCGTGTCGCGAATTGTCTTTTCGATCTTGGTTTGATGGCAGACCAACTTGCTGGTTCTGAGTGGGGAGTTTCCTCGCAAGGTCGCCTGTCGGATGATCAAGCTCCGGGGTTCCAATTGTTCTTTCTCGGAATCTGGGAAAAGAGCAAGCCACGGTTTCAAGGCTCACCTGTCTAAGGTGACATGCACTGAACACTCAATATTCTATGTGAGCAACAGGTGCCTCTCTTCTTTTGAACCCCTTAATTAGTTGGTGGGTTGAAATGGCTTGGTTTGAACTTGGATTTGAACGGGTCCTGGTTCTGGTGGGTAAAAAGGGGGTTGACCCCTCCGTTTCCCCCTTTCACCGTTTCACCAAACCGATTCGGCTCCAAACCACTAATCATGGTTGTTGCTGGGACACATTTTGTTCATTGTTGCTTATTGTAGTGGTTGAAATCCAACCACTCAACTGCTGCTTTAACAAGAAAAAAACAAAACACTTTGTTTGCTCCCCTAACCCAACGTCAACCAAGTTCAATCGGAGGGAAGCTGACAACGACCCACCCGACCAAACTTCCTCCTTTCCCCCCCCCCAAGACGTCCCAAGAGCCGCCAGGGGAGTCCGGCAGCAGCGGCTCCAATCTGAGCCGCCGGGGACGCCCAGCGGGGTCAGCGGGGTGTGTGAGAACCGACGCCCTGTTGTTGTGAGGCGAACTTGTGCCTTTTGGGGTGGTTTAAAGGCAAAGCAAGCTAAAAGAACAAAGCCGCATTTATGGCTTACCGTCATCTGCAAAATTTGCCATCTTTTAGCTTTGCCAAACAGGAAAGGCTTTCTTTTCACCAGAAATAGGTGCGGACAGAAAGCGGTGTTCTGATTGTGACTCAGGTGACTCCGAGCTGGCCAGCCCTCACTAAACTGTTGAAGTTATTAAGCGTTTGTTTGCAGGCTGGCCCCTAAATTCGTGTAAACGGTCAAGCAGTCAAGCATCATGCCGAAAGCGCCAAGGAAGCGCTGAAACCAAGATCGTTTCGTAACACATGTTGATGGATCATCCCGTTCCTCCCGTTTGCAGAATTGTGACGTGTGTTTGAGGGTTGGTTTGGGCACAAGATGTTTGAAGCGTCTGACGCCATGTGAGAACCCTGGGGTAACACAGTGTTTCCTGCATTTCCCTTGTTGGAACCTCCCACAGTGGCAGCTTTTGCTTCAGCGGAAACGACCAGCAATTGGCAGCTTGTGCTTCAGCGGAAACGACCAGCAATTGGCAGCTTGTGCTTCAGCGGAACTCCCGTGACCCATGGGCTGAGGGCCCAATAGTTCGGTGTCCTCGCAGATGCGGGCGAAGGCGGGGTGTTTGACGGGACGCGGCCCTACTCTTGACTTGTCCAATCATTCCCATACTCAGTGGTCAACGTGGTCAACTTACCCACGAAACTAGGGGAGACCATGGGTTCATGATATGAGGTTTGGTCAAAGACCGTCGATGGTGCCGGTTTGGGACGGGCATGTAGCAGACCAGTTCTCGGATTGCCACTCATCTTCCCATCCCCTTTCTGGGAACCATAGTGGGGTCAACGTCAATGTCTTGGGGAGGCTGCATGGTTTCAGCCTCATTTTGCGTTTCTGTTTTTCTCACCCTTTTGGGGTGGGAGGCCTTGGGAAACGAGAGGCTTGTGACGTCCTTTTGCCAGTTCTCTGTTCAATCAAGATCCGCAAGTGCCAGGTGGTGTCCCTTGCAGTGGAATCCCCACTGCGGATTACGGAGGGTTAGGCGATCAGGATCCGGTTTAAAAGGTTTGAGCAAGGGCAGAATGGTCCGAGTGGAGGAGGGAATGCAGACAACGCGCTGCTGTCAGGGAACCAGTGGCTTGCTAGCAAGGAGGGGCCATGGTGCCGTCATTTGTGCAGAGTCTCAGACAAGCCTTATAGTGTAAGGACCGCTGGTGAGGGAGTGTGTTTGACTAGGGCGGACAGTGATGGACCGGATGCAGTCTATCCTTGTCTCGACCGGGAACGAGTACGATCTTTTCAGCTTGGTTTAAAGGGAAATCAAAAGGAAGCAACACCAGGATTGGGGTCCCCCCTAGTTTGACACATACCTATATTGCAAGTGAAACATACCCATATTGTAAGTGAACCAACCACGTCCAACCACAGAGCCCTGCAAAAGGGGCAAACAAAAGCAGAAACCGCATCATGTTTCGGGGTCCAAATTCCATGTGCTTCTAGGGGTTGATTCCCCATTCTTTTTCACCATCCTTCTTTTCAAAAACCGGCTGTTTCCCCAGGATGTTGGTTGGTTTTCTTAGAAAGATTCGGATGCCTGGAAAGAATGGACATGGAAGGTTCTCCTAGAACTGTGGATGGTTGCGAAATTCGTTTGCACCACGAAATGAAACCAAGGTTGAAACAATTCCATATGCTTTTCACCCATCCACTTTCCTTTGGTTTTTGGTCGTCCCCATGTCGGCTTGTGTTGGCTTCGCCGCCAGGCTGAGGAGTCGGACTCAGCTCAGGCCAAATCGGGGGCCGGGAGGGGTGATTAAAACGAAGCTCTAATTTCTCCTTTGGAAGCCTTGGGACTTGAAAGCTTCTTTGGTGCATGTTGCCAAACAATGTTAGGACTGTAGAACTTTTTTTGCCAACGAATGTTGGTTTTCCGTATTAAACCACTGAACGTTAGCCACTTTTAGCAGGGGAGCAGAAAGCAGCCGAGGTTTGGTGGGTTCAGTGGGCTCTCCTTGGGCTTAGGTTGTCAGCCCAAAAAAAAGGGCACCTTTTTGGCAAAAGATGACTTCCTTTTTTGGGGTGATGTTGAAAGGCGAAACATAGGTTGAACCCAGAAATGTGTCCACGCTGAGAAGGCCAAGGCCGTCCCCGTTGGGTTTTGCGGACGGCGGCAAGCCCGGCTTGGACCGTTGATGTTTGATGTTGTGATACACAACCCTACGAACGCACGAGGTAAGCGTGGCTCAAATCTGCAAGTTGGGTAATTCTGTCAGGCCAGTCTAGCCTACGCGTGTTTGCGTGAGGTCTGAGTGCAGAGGTTGGCGTTCTTTGTATGTGGCTGTGGGTCAAAACCAATGGGATCCCATTTTGGGGTAGGTGCACCACCCCTTTTAGTTTATTTTAGTGGTTGGATTGGGATGTTCACTGGGGGTACGACTTGGCTTTTGACCCATGGCCATTTCTTGCTGGCATTGGCTGTTGCAAGCGCTCTAAGCAGGAGCTTTCCAGGTGGCTGGTAATGTTAACCCCGGATTAATAAACCCCTGGTTGATTAGTAGGGGGGTGTCCCCTTTTAGTGGGGATTCATCACTTTTGGAGGGACCACCCCCCTAATAGTGGGACGGATGGGTTTATTAATCCTGGGTCAACATTAGCAGGTAGCAGGTAGGTAGCCAGGCACGAGTCCAGCGGCCGGATAGAATTTCTCTTTTCCAGCGGCCCACAAGTCATGATTTGGGCGTGTGTCTTGCTTTGAGGGTACCACCCTTTCTGGGTGGTTTAAAGGGAACCACGGACGGGGAAAGCTGCAATTTGGTGTGGGCAGCTACAAAAAAGAAGCCATTTGGTGAAACCGTGCCGACATCAAGCTATATACATCAAAAGGCCTTTCTGCAGTAAGCAAAGACGAACTTGTGAAAAAGCTAAATGACCCATATTTGTTTTTCAGTCTTCCCAGAAGAAACCCAAAGGCGATAATCGTTGTTTTTTCAGACCCTTATGTAGCACAACTACCCCAAGAGAATCTCGAGGGTTCATCCAACAGCGAGCATCAGGCTGACCGAGCACAGGTTTGTTGGCATTCAGAACCTCCACCTTTCATAGTTGTCGTTGGGAAACAATTAACATTTTTGCTTATTGTTTTAAATCCACCCACTTAAGTGCTAAAATTGAGAAATTGTTGCTCCCCTTCCAACGTCAACCAAGTCTCAATTTCCAATGTAAAGGTTCCCTTTGAGCGAGCCACAACTGTGGCCCGCCGGGCCGCAGGTTTTAGTCCGTGTTTCCATTTACCAGGTTCCATTTTGAGTACTTTTGTGAACCTGCCAGTCGCAGCCGGTGTCGCTACCGCTGGCTTTAGTGTCGCTCGCCTGAACAGGGGTTTGGGGTGCCTCGCGAGTCTTTGTGGGTCGGTCTCATGAGAGATGGCTGTGGCTCAAAAACATGTACCAAAATGGCACCTCCATAAATGGAACCAAAGACTAAAACCGCGTAACCCTAGCTCCTGAATTTTGAGCCACAGCCAGATGTGGTTGCCCATGGATATGAGCAATTGGGTTCTGGGTCGCCATTTTCCATGACACCCAAAACTCAAACATGGCCTGCAAAATGGCCTGAGCCATGGACATGGTTCTGCAACCATGTGGTTCTCTGCGTTGCCAGGGTCGAGTCGTTTGCAAAATGGCGTCTTTGTGTCTCGAAGCTCATAATTGGCGGGCACATGCTCCGAACCGTTGGGCATGGGTCCCATTTCAGGTATATAAATCCTTGAATGGGTGGTTTGGATGGTTTTTTTTTTCCGTGGGTTTGGATGTTTTTAAACCCCAGTGCCTTTTGCAACCAACTGGGAAAGGCAGCCTTTGCAAGGTCCAAATCACCAAACCAAGCCACTAATTTTGGGGTAAGGTGACCATGGGTTTCCGAATGGATAGCGGGGTGTGCGTCAAGCGAAGAGAATCCCCTCTTGAGATTTGAGAAAAAAAACACGGCCAGTTGTTCGGTCGATGGACGCACTTTTTGGTCGAAGCGGATGGGAGTTGTCGGACAAACTCTAAGGAGGGGTTCTCAAAAAGGCACCCCTTGCTCTTTGGTTAGGTTTGATCCAAAGAGCGGACGCATACATTGACGTGCACATTGGCCATGCCAATGTATGCGACCAGGATCTTTTCGGGGTCAAAAAGATGGCGATTGCCAGTCGTCCGGTTCCTTAGGTTTTTAGTTGCTTTTAGTTGGTTTAGTGGGGCACAGTGGGGTGGGGGGGGGGGGTTCAGTTTAACCATTCACTGTTAGAAAAGATGGCCCTTTTTCTGATTCTTCGGCCTTGTGCCGCCTTCTAATTTCGTTCAGATGCCGAAAGGGGCCCCGAATTTGGCCCCACGTTTTTATTTGTTTTAATCGCTTTTGGGGTTTTTGTCAAAGTTAGCAACTAGAAAGAAGGTGGTTTCCTTCTTTCCCGTGAAGCTGGGGGGGGTGACTTTGATGGTTGAGTCCTGAGGCCAGTTTCACGAGAGCATCTTTTCACGCTCTGCGACAACACCACACGTGGCGAAATGCAAAATTTGGAGACTTTCCGCATGGACCGGCTAGGCTCCAGCAGGTTGCACTCCAGTGGGCCTTCTGCAACTTGGGGGCGCCTCTTTTTTTTTTGTTTGTTTGTGAGGGCGCCCTTTTTTGGTTGGTCTTCGAGGGAATCCCAAAGCAAAGGTCGCCGTTGCTCGGGGGGGTCCCCTAGAAAAAAACACAGCTGCTAGTTTGCTTGCCGCAGCCCCAAAGATCAAACTTATCGCGAGTCCGAATGGATTTCGGCAGATGCGGCTGAATGAAGAGCACTTCTTTAGCCGAAGAGAAAGCATGGCATGGCGAGAGTGAGTCATATTTCTAGGGGTCCCCATTCTTTCAGCCATCGTTCTTTTCAAAACCGGCTGTTTTTTTTTTTTCCTGGGTTTTGATGGTTTCCTGAAAAGAAGGATCCCTGGAAATAATGGGGAAGGCACCCCTAGAATATTTGCCCACGGGCTGGTCTTAAACTTGCCGTATGTTTGGAAGTAGTGTGTTGAAAGGAGTTCAAGAGCAAGCTGCAGGCTGAGAAAGCCCATGCTATCTTTCAAGAGCCTGTAGGGAATCCTTTGAAAGTGAAGTAGTCAAGGAAATGGGGGTCAACCACTGTATCACAGATTTCGGGTCAGGGTTCCCGTGTTGGCTATGGATTTTAATGGGGGAACCCCCTTTGAACAGCGGTGGGTGGACAGAAACCCCCCAGCTGAATGACGTCCAGCACTTCGGGTCCCGAGAAGAAACATTCATACCCTATCTTTCCCCACGGGAAATCGAACACCAGCCTTCAGGCCAATGTAAAGCCACGGGGGGGTATTTCTTTTAGACGAAAACTATCCCCCCCCCCCCGCAAAAAAAGAAGAAGAAACAAACAAACCAACATCCCAAAATACATGTTTCTCTTCTACTTTGCTTCCGAGGCCCTGCGAGGAGAAGTGCTTTGGCCCGGGGCCCGGCAGGGTGTTTCTCGTTTTGACCCGGTGGTCGCGCAAGAAACGCCGAGCCGCCGGGACTCCTATGTCAGTGGCCCTGGCGGTTGTGTGCGACTTGCTCAAAAGTTTTCAGCCTCGAGCGATTGGCGAACCTCATTGCCGATGATCGGCTCGAGCCGATTCTCAGATATGGGTGTGGCTCAAAATTAAACAGGAGGGGCAAGTTCCGCAGGTTTTGGTACCCATGTTTTCACTGAGGGCAACTCATTTTGGAATTCCGGGTTTTTGGTTGCCACAGCCATATTGCTTGGTATTGGTTCTCACTTTTATCCGACTTCCCGGACTGGAGACCCTTGAAACGCACATCAAGTGAGTGACAAACAAAGTTGGGAGGATTTTGGGGGCCAACCCCACTCACTCGGTGGTTGGGAAACGGCTTTTACATGTTTGCTTCTGGTGGTTTAGTGGTAAATCCAACCACTTGGCTGCTAAAATTCAAATTATTGCTCCCCTTTCAACGTCAACCAAGCTCAAGAAGTGAGATATTGATCAGTCAAGCATTCGGCAGGAAAACTTTGTGGCTGTCGCAGAGCAGGAAAATCGTTGGCGGCTCCTTTGGAGCCACAAGAGCGGGGAGGCCCCCAGAGGTTCGGTTTTAAGCCTTGGAGGTTCGGTTTTCCCAAGCGGCCTGGGCTAACCCGCAAGAAACATCCACTTCGCATGTTGTGATGTGCGCAGTGTGGGCTGATGTGCCAGGCCTGCCTTCCAAAGGCTGCAAGTAACTCTAGGCCCAGTGCTGCTGGTCACGGTAGGCAGCCAGGGTGTCTGACCTCTAGGTATTTTTTCATCATCTCACTTCCTGAGTTCATGAACTTTAAACTTTTTGGGAAGACCATTTTAGTGGTAATGGTAAATGTAAAGTTTGGACTTTTTTTGGGCCATCCACTCAGCAAGTGAGTCATATTTCCCGCCGGCCTTCTCAATAGCTTGCCTTCCTGAAGTCTGGGAGGGACCTCCAGACGGCTGAGAAAGGAACGAAGCAGAAGGCTCATTGCAAGCCGTCTGGGTCCTTTTTGGCGGATGGGCGTAGATCTCGCGTCCCGGAAGTCGGGGAGAGAGGTGCCCGCAAGTTGTTCCGCTGGGCCCAACTCAACTTAAGGTTCGCGGCGTCATCCTTGAAGCTCCTGGGCTTGGCGCGAGGGATATGGCTGTGGGTGTCAAAGTCAAAGATACCATGTTGGGGTAGGTGAATTCACCACCCATTTTAGTCCATTTTAGTGGGGATTGGGATGTTCACTGGGGGTACGGCATGTTGACCCATGGCCATATGTGTTGGAGTGGAATAGGGCAAAACGCGCCCCAAGACCGACGGTGAGTCACTGAAACCAAGGATCCTTGTTGTACATTTTTGGCGGCTTCTCGCGCAGGGCGCGAGCGGGTCTTTAAACGAAGGCCCGAGGAAGCCTTAAGAAGAGCCCGTTTTGAGGAACAGCAAGTTTTGTGAAGATTCATGGTTGTTGTTGGGAAGCATTTTGCATTTTTGCTTATTGTGGTTTAGTGGTTGAAATCCCCACTTAACTGCTAAAATTTAAATATTTACTCCCCTTCCAACGTCAACCAAGTTTTGGCTCTTTCGAATTATGATAGATGAGAAGTATACGACTGAAAGATTATGGGAAGACTATGGGAAGACTGCGGGAAGGACTACAGGAAGACTACTGGAAGACGACGGGAAGACTACGGGAATAAGGTTGTAGACTACTGGAAGACGACGGGAAGACTACGGGAATAAGGTTGTGGGAATAAGACTAGCAAACTACGGGAAGAGACTACAAGATTACATGACCAAACACCCTCAAACACGAAGCTGAGTTTGCAAAACAAGAGATTCAGAGATATTCCAGTTGGGTACACAAGGTGTTTGGCGGCGGGTTTGTCTTATTGTGACCTGCTACAAGAGGCCGCGTTTGGTAGGGAGGAGGCTCAGAACAGCGCGACCCAAGGACAATTTGGACTTTGGCAAAGCTCCATTTCCCAATGGCGAACCATTTGGAGGACGTAGACGGTGGATCTACGCGACGCGTGTTTTTTTTGCCGAGGAAACGGCGCCGCCAGGGTTTTTCTGTGGATGGTTGCAGAATTCCGTTCGTTTACGTTGGGGAATCGAATCATCAGCCAGGGTTTCTGAACGGTGGAGCGAGAAATGGAATTCGAAGACGTCCACAGAACATGTTTTTTCCCATGGTCAGCTTTTAGGGGAGAGACCTGCAGCCATTTTTTTTCCATGAGCCGATGCTCAGGCGCCTGCACGGCAAAGCGCAAGGAGAGCTCTGGCAGCCTGCTGCGAAAGCGCAGGAGGGGCTTGGAATTGGGGAGGGGCCGGGGGGGGGGGGGGGGGGTCGGTCCCTCCCAAAGCTTCATAGTTCTTGGATGAATATGTTTGTTTTTTTTTTCCTGGGGGGTTGTCTCAGTTTTTTTTTTCTTTAGCGTTCTGTACGTCTCTAGTAGGGGGGGGGTGAAATATGTCAGAGGCTGCAAAAAACGAGTTTTTTCAGCTACCAGACCAAGGGTTGTGAAGCAAGCAGTCTGATTTGGCGCCTGAGGGCAACTCAGGGTGGTGGGGCTTGGGGGGTGGGACAAGACATTCAACAATATCATGGAAGTGGACACGAGGTTTTGGAAGACCATCATCTCAAGGACCCACATCATGCCCTGCGTCATGATTGAACCGAAAAGAGGCTTTTAAAACGACGCCATGCTCGCATTGGACCTCTCTTTGCTTTGGTGCATTTTGCTTGGATGTTAGGACTGTCACTTTTTGCCATCTAGATGGGTTTTCCGAATTAGACCACTAAAAGTTAGTTAAACTTTTAGCAGGGGAGCAGATTTGGCCACCGAGTTTGGTTGGTTCCTTCGTTGGTTTCCTTTGGGTTTCAACGAAGAGCGACGGTTTCCCCGGCGCCAGGAGCACGCTGGGCTTGCTCCAGCAGGACACCGCGGAGCCGCTGCGGTCCTCCGGGCGCCGCGGCAAGGCGCCGGAGCTGTGGCTCGAAAAAACCGGCGCCCAAAATGCACTTCCTGAGCGGAGATCAGCTCGAAAAGTCCAAAAGATCTTGTGCGCTTTTAACATTGTCTTCCAAAGCTTAAGTGGGCTGCCGATCCGTTTTCAGCTCCCCTGCCAAAAGTGAATACCTTTTAGTGGGTTTAGTGGAAACCACTAAACCGACCAAAGGCCTAAAGACCTAAAGAACCAGACGGCCGGGAGAGGAGAAGGGACGCGTCCTTTGGCCACAGCTAGGATGCGCCACAAGCAATCAGGAATCTCCTGCATCTCAAGGCTTTCCCGCGTCCACTTCTGCTTAGCCCCTCCACAGGACCTGAACCTTTCGGGGCTCTGCTCCAGGAGATATATGGGGGCACTACGCCTTCCCAGTGCCGTTCGAGCTCCGGCCGCGTTCCATTCCGTGTTTCTTTCTTCTTTGTCTTGGGTGTGAACAGCACTCGGAGCGGTTGCTCCGATGTATCGCCTGGAATCTCGGCGGGCAGGTGCCTGACCAGTGGATGCCCCCCTTGGACGCGTCCACAGGCGTGTGGGCACATGTGGCACGAAGTGGGTGTGCGTTCTGTAAGGGAACCCTTTGTGATTTTTGTGCATGTAAGTGACTGGTTGACTTCGAGTTTGTTCCGCCAGTTGTGCTGTCGCAGCTTGGGTGCCTCATGTAGAAAGGAAACAACGCCCCCCCCCCCCCCCACCCAGCAAAACGATCGACATTCCAGGGTTGGTGGGATGTTCAAGAGGGAATCTCCCCCTTCATATGGGAGGCTAGTCTTTGGAAAGCGACAGCCCTGGGTCGAAACATTGTGATGTGCTGCCGTAGCTTAGCCTTTCGCCTCAAGGCGCGTGGTTTTTCACGTAGGTCACAAGTCTTCGGGTTGAATTGGTTTTTCCATGGGTTGTTCAACTGGTCTCCTTTTGTTCCCCCCCCAAAACATTGGTGGTTCCCTTTTGCCTTCCTTCTAAGACCCACCCCCGCAAAAGAGAGAGAGAGAGAGAGATTGAGAGTGAGGGAGACAGTGAGACAGATTCGCGGACCCCAAAAGGGCTCCAACAGAATGGAGTCTCGCTGCCTCGCACCACCACAAATCACATCTTGGAATGGCACCCAAACGTCACCCAGAGGAGTTGAGATGAGGCAAAGATAGTTGCGACTCCCTGGCTCTCCTCGTAAAAAAAGAAGCCAGTTTGAGCAGGGCTCCTGAATAGATCTCCATTTCATTTTGGCCACCATTTGACACATGTGGCTCTTTCCACCCAACCTAAAGTTGGAAACAACACCATTTACAAGCAAGGCAATGTTCAGGTGTATAACTTACCTCTTAAAAACACAACTTTTCAACTTTTTGGGGGTAACATGGGCTATATGTCTGTAAAAGGTTAACTTCCCCGATCCTTGGAGTTTTAAGGGGTAAGGTAAGGATCCCTGTTGAGGGGTTTGCCCAAAAGAGACATGGGTCGTGGGCCACGCCCAAGAATTGGGCTACCCAACATGGACCCTTGGACTGGACAAAGATTGGGTCCAGATCCATAGTTTTGACCCATACATGTTGGGTTGTTTTCAAGGGAATCCAAGGGGCAAAAAAAGCAAGGCACACAACCGAAGCATGGGCAAAAACACCCACCCGATTTTGGGGACTGGTTGTTCATTTGACAACCATCCAGAAATTCGACAACCATCCAGAAATTCGTATTTGTCCAGAGGGCGACCTCGCTCAGGCGGGCTGGAGCGCTCGGAGCTAGGCTTGGAGGCGCTCGGGATGAGGGTTTTGACGGGAAGATTTTTTGAGTCACGGCCTGAAGTCGAGGGACTGTAAGACTTTACGCGGAACCGTTGTTAGCGGCAAGTCATGAGTTTGGGCCATGTTGGCTGAAGAAAGCCCTGGTGGATACCCCCTAACGGCTCCAAAAAGCGGCTCCGTTCAGTCCTGGAAGGACCATGTTGTAGTGGCAAGTAACGGAGTTTGGACCTTTCTGCCACGCCCCAAGGTCAAACCTCGGATTTTTTTGGGTTTCGGGGCAGGTGGACTACGAGAGTGGGTAGTCTTAGGCGGCGGCCGGGGCAAAGGGGGGGATTGAGGACGCATCCGACCAGTTCTGCCGAAAGCACCGGACGAATGACGTGGGACTTCGATCACGTGCCTTTGTCGGTGGTAGTAATCCCGAGGTCAACGTTACTCAGTAAGTGAGCCCTCAATCATGGCCGGTGGACATCTGGATCATTTGTTTTTGGGTTCAAATCTGTCAGGGGCATGTTGGTCTCACCAACGAGCATGAATACCCAAAAGAAAAAAGAACATAAAAGAAGAAGAAGAAGAGGGATTCAGGCGGACGTCAAGAGGTGAAGTAGCAATGATTGGAGACAACCATGAAAATGCCGTCAGGTAGCTGGAACACTCATGCAAATTCTTGGTAGCTCCCAGCCATCCCGTAGCTGCTTAGCTTTTTTGGGATTAGTGGGGGGTTCCATTTATCCCACTAAAAACTAAACTTTGAGCGCGGGATCTGAGGGCATCCCAGGATTGATTCCAGCTTTGTGTTACCCCCTACTTTGCTTGACTCCCCCAAAAGCAAGGGCCGCTCTCTTGAAGTGATGCAAACCGGGCGGTGAACCACACAATTTGTTTACCACCGCCGCCTCCTCGTTTTTTTGGTTCAACGTTTCATTTTGTAAGCGCCAGATGAAACCGCACCTAGGTCCCCCAGTAGCACCTAGTGCCCTTCAACCCTTTTTTGGTGGAGGGTCCCCTACTAAAATAGACTGAGCTCAAACTACTGGAGGACCTAGAACATCCGGGGCAAACTTGGCCTTGGACTCCGCCTTCGGCCAGGCCACCTCGGAGGTGCGGCGGTGGCTGCTGGGGCAGACCTCGGGGCAGCAGTGCTCGCAGGCGCTCCGATCGATGGGCGCTCGGCGATCGGCGCGGGCCACTCCGGGCGGGGGCGGTCGGCGCTCGGCGCTCGGCGCTCGGCGGTCGGCTTTGGCCACTTGGGGGGGGGGTGGGTGGCTGGGTGGGGAAGGAGCAAGAGCCAAAAGGTTTTTGCAGCTGGAATCAGGTGGGATCAGGTGGTACTTGGGGATCCGATTCGGGATGTTCAGCTTTTGGAAGTGTGATGTTTTTTGCTGGACGGATCTGCGGCGTCAAGACTGATCAGGTCCCGGGTCCCTCATTTCGGGGGGGGTGATTGTAGCCGGGATGATATTTTTCACGTAATGTCACAGAAATGGAATGTCAAATTTGAACTGCGAAAGGTCAGACAGTCCCCGGGCGAATTCGAGCTTCGGTTTTCCTTTTCGCTTCCCTTCAGCACCTCCAAAAGGGGTACGCTCCAAAAAGACGAGCATTGATTGGGTTGGCCCAGATGGCGCCTGAGAATTGTGCCTGGTTGCAGGTTGCCTTGAAACGTCGGGCTTGTGCCCTGTTCTCACATGGAAAGGTGTTTTGACTTGCGGGATCATTTTCTGGGCGTGTGTAAAGGAGGCAGGGGGATGGTCAAAATGCTGCCAGCTTGAGGGACCAAGGGTGCTTCAAGATTCAAGGACTTTCTGCGCGGAAGAATGTTGCAGCTCGGCCTTGGATGGCCACAGCGCAGAATTGCAGAACATTGCTAAATCGCTTTCTTCGGTTTTTCTCTGCCAGGGAGTCTCCACAAACAACCCAAGAGGTGTTTATTGAAGGTATCGATTTCTGTGGTGGTTTGCTTTGGTTGTGAGTTTCCATGGTGGTTTTCGTGGTTTTGAGTTTCCATGGGGTTTTCCTTTGGTTTCGAGTTTTTTCCGGTGCATGGTGTCCTTTGTTTCCGCCTTTCCCCCCCCCCCCCCCAAGCACCGATGTTCGAAGTGCACTAGACATATTTTTGGACAAAAAACACTTCTTCTGAATTAATCAAAAACATTTCATTTTTGCTAAGCAAACAAGGATGGTCAAGCAAGGGATATGGGTGTGGCTCAAAATTAAACAGGAGGGGTTACCCAGGTGTTGGCCTTTGTTTCCACTTACGAAGGTTCCATTTTGGTACCGGTTTTTTGAGCCACGGCCATATGGGCGTGTGTGAAAAAGGCGTTGGAAACATTGGTTGGAAAGAGTCAGGTGATCCTGGACCGTGCACTCACGGTGCTGTCCAACTTCAAGTTGGCCAGCTGGACGCCCGAGGTCTCTCCAGGGTTCTTGACCGCTTTTGGGCAACGGATCTTTAGACTTTAACTTGTTGGGAAGTAAAGGTGTTTTCCACTAAACCCCCAAAAAGTTAAAAACTTTTTGCAGGGGGGTCAGCAACCAAAAGGTAAGTTGGACTATTCAGCACTTCCGAGGCATTTCCCATTTTGGAGCGGCAGTTTGAAGGGACAATACCAGAAAATTGCAACTTTCGATTTGGGAATTCGGTGGCCCCTGCGGTTGGGCAGTTGGATGGTCCCAAAGGAATTGGCCCTAAAGGCCATCCAGAGGGCTCATTTTTTTGACGGTTTTTAGGGATTGTCAAAGTCAGACGGTTGTTTTGTTTACAGTTTGCTACCACTCAGGGGGTGATGTTGACTAGGGAAATTATTGGGGCCTGTCGCTTTCAAGCAGTTGGCTGATGCAAAAGGTTCCAGTGGACATCTGCGCGGAACGCATCGCAGGGCAGGTTTTTTCTTGGCATTCATCGAGCATACGGGCAAATCAGCGTGAAGTTTTGGGGTCCGGGGAGTGCACCAAAATTGGGGGCAACCACTCGTTGCGGATGGATCAGGGGTTCCTATATGGCTGTGGGTCAAAAACAGCTACCTAAAATGGAACCCTGGTAAATGGAAACATTGACTAAAACCTGCGGTCCCCGGTGGTTTAATTTTGAGCCAGACCCATATTTCCCTTTTGGGTGGTTTTGAACATCACCTTTTTGGCCCATGAAAGGTGAGTATTTCTGGGGGGGGATGTTTTAAAGGGAAATATAGGGAGCCCTGTTGATTTGGTGTGACACCGGGGCTAGCTGGTGATCAGAATTGGTGACACCCCCTCCCGTGCATAGTCGCCACGGTACTTTCGAGTGGGCGTAGGCCACACAGCATGTTGGTTTGGAGCCACCTATGGGGTGGGGAAGAGAACGTCAACAAGCTGCTGGCCGATGTGTATGCCAAGCCGACAGCAAAAGTGCCCTTTTTGATGGTTTAAAGGGAAACCAAAAGGACACCACCATTTTGAGGGTCCCCTCTCAAAAAACGAGAAAAAGACAAGGCGGCAAACCGGCTCTTGATTTGGAAAATCCGGGCAGTCCAGTCATGTTCGGAGCCTCATGCTTACGAGCTGCTTTGTCGGT